GTATCATATTCGAAGTTGTTTTTATGTTGCGTTGCACGGATTCTCCTGGATTCAAATTTATCACAGATATAGTAGATAGAGATAAAAAGGTGGTAGAGAAGTTTGAATTTCACCCAACAAAGAAGACTGCATTTGATGCTTGTGATAGCATATGGAAGATGATAAATTCCCAATAGGGCATTGGACATACTTTCTTTCAGTTGAAATCTGTAATCAAATTTATAATGTTGTGTGTTTTAATGCTTCTATCCAAGCATTTTTGGTTCCGAAACTTTTGATCCTGTTAGGTGATAGATGATTTTGATTCTTAAAGATCCTTTCTTACTGTTACTGATGTGTATTCCGATGCCAAACAAATGCATTAGGGATGTTTTTTGTTGATAATGATTCAAATTGTTGGTAATCTGGAACCAGCAGATGAAACTCACTTGTAGTCTCCTTTTTATGCTTCAACTTTAAACTTGGGAAGAGACAAGAGTTTCAAATAAGAGGACAGCAATTGCTTTTGTTCCAAGTGCAGAATGAAGATTACATCATAAATCTGCAAAGAAGAGTTCATCATAATAACCATAGGGATATAATAATAATATGATAGTAGTCCAATGATCCAATCAAATTCCTTCCTACATAAATGATGTAAAAGTCAAGATTAAATGGGACATCCTACTACTATATGAATTTATGCAGGTTCTGTTTTCCTCCACTGCAACAATGAAGTCTCTGATGAATTTGGAATTTCCTTTGCTGAGTCCACGTAGCAAACAGGAGACATTGAGCTTTTCTCTTTAGTTGCTTTTGTAGAATGTGACATGCAGGCCTTTGTCAGAGCTTTGTCTTTGTAAGCATTGCAGAGATATATGGATTATAAAATTTTCGCTCTGCACCGAAAATATTTAAAGGGTCAGATAGAGAAACAAAGGTGTTGATAATGAGGAACAGAAAGATGAGGGACTAACGTCATCAAGAGGTTAATTGATTATTCACTGTCACACCCAGGATAGTACAAATGTTTTGGATGGAGATCATTAGTTTCAGTAAATTTTTATTTGATGTCAGTAGAAAAACCAACAGATTATGTGACAAAAGGGCCGGTTGATTTATATGAACTTAAGCACATTTTGAAAGTCAGGTTCTATTTCTTTAAAATTTTAGTATAGTTGAAATCTAATACTCAAAAAGAAAAGATGATCATGATCATGATGATGATGATTATGATGTCTAATTCAACATCACCACTATCATGTTCAATATGTGATTCAGTGGAGAACAGCCTCTGGACAAACTCAAAGGCAAAGTTGAAGCATGCACGTCACCACAAATAGTACAGCATCCTTATTCTATGTTTGGACTGGGAAAAAAGTTATATATATTCATCCAACCTCACCCAACCACAAGCATTAACTATTGAGAAAAAACAGTAAACTTTAATTAAGAACCTGATTAAGCATGCAAAACCCTAATGTGCTAATGCCTAGGGAAGAAAATGAATGGATTTGTTTTTATATAAGCACCAAACAGAACATGAAGGATTTAGAGCAGAAAACAAGAGAAACTAATCTGTTACTTGAAGTAAATTGGCTCATTTGATCATGAGCTTCATTTTATTAATTTATAGGCTTCAAAAATACAAAAATAGTTAGCCTAACAGCATGGGTCACCATGCACAGACCCATCATTTTACCTAGACTAATCTGTTGTCAGAAAGTTCCAGCAGAAATGCCATACTTAGCTGCTTCAACCACTAACACACTAACACTCCTCCTTGGTATTTCTGCTGGAAACACCAAGACTTTTCCTTAATGTTTCAAACCTTGCCTTTGGTAAGGCTTTGGTCAGAATATCTGCAATTTGATCTTCTGACTTGCAATGCACCAGTTTCACTTCATTCTCAGCTTCAACTTCTCTAATAAAGTGATACTTGATCTTAATATGCTTAGTTCTTCCATGAAACACAGGGTTCTTGACCATTGCAACTGCTGATTGATTATCACAAAAAATTTCTGTTGGATCATCTTGCTTTTGACTTAAATCCAACAGAATTTTCCTTAACCAAATTGCTTGATTAACAGCAGCTGCAGTAGCTATATACTCTGCTTCTGCTGTTGATTGAGCCATTGTTCCTTGTTTCTTTGAATTCCAGCTGAACACATTTAATCCAATGAAAAACACATAGCCTGAAGTGCTTTTCATGTCTTCATGAGAGTCAGCCCAGTCACTGTCTGTGAATCCTACCAATCTTGAACTGTCATTCTTCTTGAACCAAATTCCAAGTTCATTGGTTCATTTGACATATCTCAACACTCTTTTTGCAGCCTTAAAATGCAACTCACTAGGATTTTGTATGAACCTGAGAGTAAATTTGCAGCATACATGATGTCTGGCCTTGTTGCTGTCAAATACAATAAGCAAGCAACCAAGTTTCTATAAATAGAGCCATCAACTTTGTTAGCTCCATCTTCCTTAACAAGTTTCTCATTTTGAGCCAAATGAGTGTTGACTGGTTTGTAATTTTCCATCCCAAACTTATTCAGGATTTCATTTGCATATTTTCTTTGACAAATGAAGATTCTTTACTGGTCTTGATGAATCTCCATTCCAAGAAAATAAGACATTTCTCCCATGTCTGTCATCTCAAAAATTTTCTGCATTTGGAGCTTAAAATCTTTCACAAGAGCTGATTTGCTACCTGTCACCAGAAGATCATCAACATACAAAGAAACAATCAACAAATCATTACTGTTAAAAACTTTAATGTACAATGTTGCTTTACTGAGGCTTTTCTTGAATCTTAACTTCAGTAAATGATCATCAATTTTGGAATTCCACACTCTGGGAACTTGTTTTAATCCATACAAAGCCTTCTTGAGTAGATAGACTTTGCCTTCATGTCCCTTGGCAACAAAACCATCAGGTTGTTCAATGTAGATCTCTTCCTCAAGATAACCATTCAAGAAGGTAGATTTGACATCAAGTTGGTATATTTTCCAACTTTACTGAGTTGCTAAGGCTAATAGCAGCCTTATAGTGTCCAACCTTGCAACTGGAGCAAATGTCTCTGAAAAATCAACACCAAGCTGTTGGGAGTAGCCTTTAGCTACCAATCTAGCTTTAAGTTTGTTGATGGAACCATCAGCATTCAACTTTGTTCTGAAAATTCATTTGACCCCAATGATGTTTTTGCTTCTTGGTCTGTCAACCAGCATCCATGTTTAATTTTTCTCAATCATTTGAATCTCCTCCTTTATGGCATTTCTCCACTCTGAAAATTTGACAATTTTTTCAAAGCTTGCAGGTTCAAGAATGGCAACATTTGATCTTTGATAAATATCTGTGAGTGGTCTGATTCCTCTCACTGGTTCATGATCAATGATTTTATTTTCAAACATATAATCTTCTTGATCTTAGAAGCTTATCATATCTGTAGCAATTTGCTTGACTGATTCTCCCTTTGATTTTTCTCAATTCCAGGCAGCTTGCTCATTAAATCTCACATTTTTACTTACAATCATCTTGCCTGTAAGTGGATTGTAAGTCCTATAGCCTTTGGTGATGTTGCTATAGCCTAGAAAAATACATATTTCTGCTTTTTGATCAAGCTTGTCCCTTTTGATATCAGGAATGAACACATAACAGATGTTGCCAAAAATTCTGAGGTGGTGCATTGATGGTTTGCTTCCATTCCAGGCTTCAAAAAGAGTGTTTCCCTTCAAAGCTTTTGTGTGTAGCCTGTTGAGCAAGTAGACAGAGGTATTGACTGCCTCTGCCCAGAATTTCTTTGGAAGATTCTTCTCAAACAGCATGCATCTTGCCATCTCCATGATTGTTCTATTCTTCTTTTCACTGACTCAATTTTGTTGTGGAGTGTAAGTTGCTGTCAGTTGGTGTTCAATTTCTGTAACTTCACAAAACTCATTAAATCTGTCAGATGTGTATTCAGTACCATTGTCTGACCTTATGATCTTGATTTTGCAGTCACTTTGATTCTCAATCCAAGCCTTGAACTTTCAAAATATATTTGCAACTTCAGACTTTTGTTTCATGAAGTAAATCCAACACATTCTAGTAAAATCATCTATAAAAGCAATAAAATATCTACTGCCATTCAAGGACAAAGTTCTCATAGGATTACAAACATCAATATGAACAAGTTGTAATTTTTCAGTTGCCCTCCATGCTTTGTTAATTGCAAATGGCAACTTACTTTGTTTTCCTAGTTGACAGACTTCACACACTCCAGCACTGACTTCAACAGTAGGCATGTTTAATACAAGATCATTTTTATGCATGAAATTCAATGCATTGTAGTTGAAATATCCCATCTTTTTATGCCATAAAGAAGATTCATCATGTGAAGTAACATATGCAGAGGAGTTTGCTTCATGCCAATTCAAGAAAAAATATTTTCATTTCATATTAACAGTAAAGAGTTCATGGCCAGTGGGATCATGAATTATGCATGCCTTGTCTTTGAAGACTAAAGAGTAGTTATTTTTTAGCAATTGTCCTACACTCAACAGGTTTTGATCTATTTTGGGCACAAATAACACATCTGAAATGATTTTGATACCTGTTGGTGTCTCAACTGCTACTACTCATTTTCCTTTGACTTCTATGAAATCACCATTACCTATTCTAACTTTAGAGGTGCAGGTCTTGTCTAGTTCTTTGAATATGTTGATATCAGATGCCATATAGTGTGTGCAGCCACTGTCAATGAGCCATGCACTGGAGGAGGTTCTGGTTCTATAGCAAGTTACAACAAAAACTTGCTGTTCTAGTTGTTGTTGATTGTCAGCAATTCTGGCTTGTTGATCTGGCTGCTGCTGTTTTTTATTTTTACATACCTTCTCCATGTGACCAAGCTGCTTACAGTACCTACATTGTATGTTAGATCTGTACCAGCAATATTTCTCCAAGTGAGTAGTCTTTTTGCAGTGAGAGCATGGTGGAAATTTTTCTTTTTTTTCACTGTTTCTAGAACCTTGGTTTCTTTGATCTCTTTATTTTCTGCCTTTACTTTCTGTTTGCATCTTGCCTTTCTTCTTGGCTGTAAAAGCACCTTCTGTTGAATCCTCTTGTCTGATAGCCCTTCTTTGCTCTTGAGCTTGTAGAGCATTGAATAATTCTGCTAGAGTTATCTTGGTCAGGTCGTTAGAGTCTTCAAGGGATGAGATTTTTGACTCAAACCTCTCTGGTAAGCTGACAAGAACTTTCTCTACAATTCTTTTGTCTGACAGCTCCTCACCAAGTAATCTAATCTTGTTTACTATCTTCATGAGTCTGTCATTGTACTCCTTTAAATTTTTAAACTCCTTCATCTTTAAGACTTCAAACTCTCTTCTAAGATTCAACACTTGCATTTGTCTTGTCTTGTCACTGCCTTGAAACTCTTCCTTGAGCACATCCCAAGCTTGTTTTGCAGTTTCACAAGTCATGATTCTAATGAATATGTCATCAGAAACTGAAAACTCAATACAGCTTTTAGCTTTATACCTCTTTGCCTTTTCTTCACTATAATTTTTCATTTGAGTTACTGTTGGATTTGCAGGAAGTTGTGGTGGTTCCTTCTCATTTTCCACCACTTTCCACAAATCAAAAGCACTCAAATAAGTCTTCATTTTGACAGCCCATATCTGGTAGTTTTCACCAGAAAAAATAGGAGGTGGAGGTAAGGAGCAATTGCTTGAGGCCATTTAAGGTTGACAAAGGCTGGCTGGAAAGTGTTTGATGGCTTTTCACTCAATTTTTGGGACTCACAGATCCTCTAAGAACTTAAGGAATGCTCTGATACCAATTGAAGGATTTAGAGCAGAAAACAAGAGAAACTAATCTGTTACTTGAAGTAAATTGGCTCATTTAATCATGAGCTTCATTTCATTAATTTATAGGCTTCAAAAATACAAAAGTAGTTGGCCTAACAGCATGGGTCACCATGCACAAACCCATCATTTTACCTAGACTAATCTGCTGTCAGAAAGTTCCAGCAGAAATGCCATACTTAGTTGCTTCAACCACTAACACACTAACATGCTTCAACCACTAACACATTAACAGAACAACATCAGCTTTTATTTCTTTGAACAGGCTGTATGAACTTACCTAGCTCAATATTAAAGCAGATTTCCTTCCTTAAACAATGCTTTGAATTTCAAAATTGGAATATGGAATTGGTTAACTGCAATTTTCATGACTTATGAAAGCAAATCCGCTGGTAAATAGTGCTTCTGAACTTTCATCTACTTGAGCGGTTGGCAATTTTCCATTTTAAGATTAGTGAGATTCTTTCATTTGCTCATTAGTGAAAATTGATCAAATTTCACTCCAACCTCCAAATTTAATGCCAGCTGCCAACCCATTTATATGCAATCTTGAGCCCTAGAATCTGTTTTAAGAAAGCCTCATATTTCTGAACCCAAACCTAATGCTAGAACTTCTCCTCTTATTGTTGATAAGGCCAAATGTTGCGATAATTAATGCAAACGACAGAGTGTGATTGATTGAAATATATTCGCATGTGATGTACACAGTATTTCTTAACTTTGGTAAATAATAAATACAATCAACCACAGTCCCAAAGCCAGACTGGCGAGCATCTCCCAGAGAGGGTTAATTATGATGGCCACGAACCAGGCAGGATCAGCGGCTGTGCATTTTTTTTGTTGGTGTTGAAGACTTCAAGTTCTTTGCATTACCAGTTGAGTTGATATCTGGTGGAATTGACTTGCAGCTGTCGGGTGCAGCGTTGCCTTTGTATGCTTTGCAGATATAAGCTTCAAGATTTTCGTAGTCCTACAAAAAGAAATGCAAAGATGTTGAAATGGAGAAAGTATAAGAATTGGAAAGAAGAAATTAATTTTAAAGGAACTAACATTTCCAATTGACAGATTGTTCACCACCACCCATGGAGTATATGCGTGAGGTGGACTAAGATGAGCAGTTTCATTGGCATATGCTAACTCAAGCTGCATATCAATTCATATCCAATGTAAGAAATTACTCATAGAAGCATGAGAAAGCAATAAAAAGAAATCACCGAAAAATTAATCCAAATTATGGAAGGCTACATTAATTTACCTCGTCAAAATCAATGTTATCATTACTATGATTATTTCTTTTATTTCATCATCATTTTGCTGGGTAATGAAATAGGAAAAAGAAACCAACCGTTCTTCCCTTTCCACTATTGTAGCAGTCTAAAATGTGTTTCTGAGGCAAGCCCAATGAGTCGAAACAACTTTCCCATTCTTTTTGCCTTCCCTCAATCGCTAGAAACTCAATGCAGTAGATCAGACCGTAATGCTTGTTCTGTAAGTTGAGCAGAATATTGTCATCTTTAAATTCTAGCTATATATGTAATATTAATAAAAAAAAAATGCACAGCAATATAACAATAAGGTATCAAGGTTCCAGGATAAAACAAATGTGGAGTGAGAGAGAGAGAGAGAGAGAGAGAGAAGAATCAACAATCAAGAGTGGTGCAGCTGTAGAATATATAAATATATATATATACACACACACACACATACACATATATGCTTACCACGTCAGGCCAGACATGAATAGCACAGGCTTCAATGGTATTTAACTGGCATTCCTCTTGTCCATGCTGCAAAAGTTTGTTGAAATGTAAGTCAGATAAAGAAACAGGCATAATGAAAATCAACAAGGATACCAGCATCCAGTGATCTGGATAAAATCATCAAATTAATAAGTGTGGCAATTTTTTCCTTAAAAAAAGAGGCATTTTTCAGAATGGAATTTTTTCATGAGAACTGAAGCTTATATCTTTTAACTTGGGGCTGGATAACATGGAAGACTGAAACAAGGAAAAGAAGAAGATGGTCCTCCATAAACTCATAATAGCGTTAATGTATGTCCTTCAACACCAAAGGTCGAAGATACGTTCCAGAATTGCCTCCCTTTAGAGGACAATTAGGTACTCCAGCACTTTTTGGGTTTATGGGACCTGAAAAGCCAGCTCAATAATCAAGTTTCTTTAGACTAGAGATGATTTGCTAGGCCTGGTACGACTTCATCATAAGTTTTTAATTTCAACTTTTTTTTTTCTAATCTTTCGGCTTTGTTAGCCAAAAAAAAAAAACTGATGGGAGTCTACTTCTCCCAACTTCTTGCTTAAACGGAGTGTAAACAGAATAAATCAAACCCAGATGAAGATGATGAAGGTAAAATATGACCTTACAAATGATGGTGTTGTTAGATTTATCGATGTAGGAATCACCCCAAGGAACTAGCGTGAGATTGATGATGGAGATAAGACCATTTTCGAACAAGCCTTCCAGCTTGTTGACAATAAACTTTGCACAATGAAGACAGAAAGCTTCGTAATAAATTGAGATATTAACATTTTGAGAACTACTGTTACTGTTAGGGGTTGAAACCTTGAAACCAGCGTCAGTTCCTTCAGAAGCATGAGATGAAAATGTGAACAAAAAGAAAAGACAAGCGATAACTACTGGGAAGACTAACTTACAAAAGGCCATTTTTGAGAACAAGTAATGTGCGTGCACAAATATATAGGCCTTTTTTTTGAAGGATGTCATGTGACATCAATAATGCCCCTATTAATATTTTGAATCTGAAACTAGTCTTCATCAAATTCTTCTCTTTCTAGTTTGATTAATTTTCAATCTCTTAGCTTTCCTTAACTTTTCGCTTAAAGGGCCTTCTAATCAGTCTGGTTCACTTGATATATATATATATATATATATATAGAGAGAGAGAGAGAGAGAGAGAGAGAGAGTAAATATCTTAGCAAACTGGCATGTTAAAAAGATCACCTCAAGTTTTAAGTATTATTATCTTCCCACTTCATGGTGAAGGAAGATCCATATATGTAGATATATATATCACAATCACAAGTAGAGTTAATTGACATTGAGCAAAATTTTGTTCCTTCTAAAGGTTCACTCTGCTGCCACACAAGTTTCATATGGTAATCCTATAGCAAGTATATCCAAAAAATAAATAACTAGATTGCAAATAACGAGCTACTTGCTCTTGGATCCCTATGATAGACGTGCTCTAACATATTTTCTCTTCTTCTTCTAAACCTATGAGATTGTGTCTGCAAAAGGCTGGCTGTGTCTATGTGAAAATTCACATGATATTGTGTCAGATGTACCCCAATCTTCTTTGTATTTTACAAAAGAGAAAAAAAGATTGCTTTCAATCTTAGCTGGAGAGTTAATTCATTAAGGACAAAAACTCTCACTGCTGCAGTTTTTCTGGAATGGTCAAATTCCTTTAATTGTGAATAAAAATATCACTTCCGAATAATCAACTGGGGTATACATTAACTTCATACAAGCATATATACTACAAAGTGCAAACTAGTCAGCTGTGGATTCCGGACACTCCAAATTAATTGCAGTGCCAACTACAGACTTCAGCAACACTCAAATCTCAGCCTGTAAATTATGAAATACTAATACTGCACGGAACAGATGGTGAGATCTAGTACACAACTCATGCCTGTAAATTATGGAATCCTTCCCATGATCATTCTATTTTAGCATTTTTAAAATTGTAGGAGATCAAATGCATATGATTTTTTTTCTTTTTTTGGTTCAACACCCTGCCTGACTTTGACTAGTTAGAATAATAAATTAGTGTTTCCCCACCAACTAGAGCGCGCAAGTATCTGATCCAAAGAGATTATTCAGTCGTCAAAACCAGAACTTTATGAAAAGGCAGTTTTATATGGCCGTGGCATCCATTTACATTTCAAATCCATCATACAATCAATTGTACTGCTCTATTATGTACTATTTAAGCAAGAGCAATCGCTATTGTTCAATTTAAGCAGAAAGAAGCCAAAGTGAATCCCATAATTCAGTAACCATGTGATTGAATGTGGGTGTATCAGCATGCAGCAATGATGCCTACAAACGAGGGAATTGACACAAAGTCTCAGATTTTCTTAACTGGTGTCAAAGCTTTCCAGTTCTTCTCTTAGCATAGCAAACTGGATTACTAAGAGTTGCCTTTTTCAAAGACTTGTTCATTAGTGGAAGTGATTGACAAGCCTCAGGCACTTGTTCGCCCTTGCATGCCTTGCAGACGTAGCTAACAAAATTCTCAAAGTCCTGTTTTCACAAAAATAGTGTAAGAGTCAAGACAATAAAGCCATAAAATTAAGGCAAAATGGAGAGCGAAAGAGATATAAGCTAGAAAATGACCTCCCGTAGAGGTTGACCGTTGACAAGCACCCATGGGACAAATTTATGTGGTGGATTAAGCTGAGCAGTTTCAGCAGCATTCCATTTTCCAAGCTGTAAACATATCACACAATTAATATTAGAAGAACAATTTACACGAAGAAAGATCAAAGAGATGATAAGATCATGAAACTAACCACATTTCCATAGTCATTTTTATAGCAATCGATGGGGACCGTGCCCAACCGAGTCATATCAAAACAATAAACCCCCTCATTCTGCTTGTTCTCCAAGGTTAGACGCTCAACGCGGAGAATAAATCTGAAATGCCACTCCTGCATATAAGATAAGTATGAGATAAATAAAGAGAAGGATCCATTGTATGTCGAAGGATGTTATGAGCAATTAACGTTGTATCCATCAATTATCAAGGTCAACTGATCAAAGTATGCTTGACAGTTCTCTTGGCCTAAGATTCATGAAATTAAGAAGAAAACTTTTAATCTTAACATGAGGATTCAATTTAAAGCTTCTAAATCCAAAGTTATTTACTAATACATTATAAAAAAAATTTTCTAAAACTAAACTTGGAGTTTTTTTTTTTTTTTTTTTTTACTTGAGATTATAAGAATTTGAATTTGAATTATTAAAATTAAGAGTTTAATACTTTACCTATAAAGCACATAATTGCTGGCAAACATCGAGATATTAACAAGTTAATTATTAGTAAAACGTACATATAAAGATATCGAACTAGTTATTTTTAAGTTAAAATAATAAAATCCAAAATAAATAAATAAATAAATAAATAGTAATTCCCTTGGAATATTTGGTTGCTATTAATAGCGCCATACATTTATGGCTTACCAATTTTATAAGCACCTGTAACTTTCAAAATAATGCAAAATTTCCTTTTATATGTCTCAAAAAATATCTTTTTATACAATCTTTCTCCCTTTTTTTGGCATCCATTAATTATGCATATATATATATATATAGGACAATTATATATGTGATTAGTTGAGCAAGATTCATGAATCAAACGCTAATACCTAATAGTTGCACACCAGCTCACTATTATATATATTTAAAAAAAAAAAAAAAAAAAGCAACAAGAGTTATCAAAAGATACAAAGGTATGTTAATTCCCTTTAAAAGTTTCTTTAAAAAATTTAAATATTTTATCATGCGTATCTTTTCTCTAATCCTATGTTCACTCATCTCATCCTTTCTCTCATGTTTATATACTTATTTTTTTTTAATTTTTTCTCTCTTTTTTAACTTTATATAATAATAAATTATTTATTATTTTAATATTTCACCTAGCATAAAACTAATTCTAACAATATATAAAAAGAGTCTTATGCCCACATGGACTAGCCTGGCCCAATTCACTAAATGATGGACAGACCAAACTCTAAAATATATTGGATGCAAGCCCAACTACTAAAGAGCTATAGCTTATTCTGGGCTCTATGGTAAATTAACGTCCTTACGTATGATTCATGGCAGACACGGCCCATATCCAATTCATATTTGCCTCGCAAACCCTAACTGCCCTTTACAGAAGTATAGAACGGAGTTATTAGGGTTTTTGTAGCCCCTCTATCTCCCACTCAAAGAAGAACGGCTCTATCAAACCCGCAGACTTTGGGCTAAAACAGCCGCATTTCTCCAAGATGGTCAGTTTCTTCTGCCTTCCCTAACTTTGATTTACTTATTATTCCATACTTTTTCATTCTTTGACGAGTTTCTTGGATCTGCTGTTGTTTGCTTTTGGAAAAGGCAATAAGATGTTCCAGATTAGTTTGTTTAATCACTGTTGTTTGATGCCTTTCTGGCTTGTTTTCTAAATAAATCAAGTGGTCTTGCTTCATTGATCTGGAATTTTTATTATATCTGGGTTTGCTGTAATTTCCCTTGTTCATTTTAGAAATCTGGGTTTTGGGCAGTAACAGTAGATTCAATAGCTGGGATCTAGCTTATTCCTTGCTTAATTAATTAGTATTTGATATAAAACGATGATTTAAATGATAGGGAAGGACTTAAATGGAACTTTAGATCATTTCTCTGCTTCTTATTCGGTGTTTTTCTATTTTAAATGGCTAGAATGTTTAAAATGTGATACGACATTTCAGTTTCATTTGCACTATCCTTTCTTTGTGGTGCCTGACAGGCTAGAGGGTTGAAGAAACATTTGAAGAGGCTCAATGCCCCTAGGCATTGGATGCTTGACAAGCTTGGTGGTGCTTTTGTATGTTATCGTCTTGATCCCTTCACTTCCATAATAGTTTACTGTTTTTCTTTATTCCTTCAGTTCTCTCTATGTCTTCTCCACCTGCCTGCTTCATCTATTTAATTTCAATTTTGTGTCTTATCTTCCTGTTATGCAGGCACCCAAGCCATCATCTGGGCCCCACAAGTCCAGGGAATGCTTGCCGTTGATCCTCATTCTGCGAAACAGATTGAAGTATGCTCTAACTTATAGAGAAGTCATTGCTATTCTCATGCAGAGGCATGTTATGGTAGATGGGAAGGTTAGGACAGATAAAACCTATCCTGCTGGTTTTATGGGTATGTGTACTTTCTCTTTATTTCCTTTACTAACTTGGTTCAGTTGAATCTTTTTTTCTCCCAATATACAAAGTATTTAATTGAATGTAATTTATTTGATTTGGTTTCTTTTTTTCCAGATGGCTTCAGGATCCTATGATCAAATCTTTGTGAACACTTCCATTCTAATTTTATAAAATACATTCTGAGATCTATTAGTTAGCAATATTCATTGGCATGTGGGGATCTTGGCTTGTTCTAGATTAGTTTTGAGACCCCCTTTTATTAGGATTTGACTCTACTCTCTCTGCCTTTCCAAACTTATTCTCTTCAAATCTTGTCTAACCATGCTTTATTACCTTCTGCCAGATGTTGTGTGCATTCCAAAAACAAATGAGGACTTCCGTCTACTTTATGACACCAAAGGGCGTTTTCGTCTCCATGCCATCACGGGTGATGAAACCAAGGTTTGAATACTCTATGTAGACAGTTGGATTTATTATCTGCTTGTTCTTGTCACATTTGTATAATAGCACTCAAGTTTTTCTCCTTTCTTCACCCTGTTAATTATAACAATATTTTTCATGTGCCTTTTGTATCCTGCAGTTCAAGCTTTGCAAGGTTCGATCTGTCCAGTTTGGCCAGAAAGGCATTCCATACCTCAATACATATGATGGGCGTACCATCCGCTACCCAGATCCTTTGATCAAGGCTAATGACACCATCAAGTTGGATCTTGATAGCAACAAAATTGTTGATTTCATCAAGTTTGATGTCGGAAATGTTGTCATGGTCACTGGAGGAAGGAACAGAGGTCGAGTTGGAATAATTAAGAACAGGGAGAAACACAAGGGTAGCTTTGAGACAGTCCACATTCAAGATTCTGCTGGGCATGAGTTTGCAACTCGTCTAGGTAATGTCTTCACAATTGGAAAAGGAACAAAGCCATGGGTGTCTCTTCCAAAGGGCAAGGGTATCAAGTTATCCATTATTGAGGAAGCTAGGAAGAGGCTTGCAGCCCAAAATGCTGTTTAAACTTTAGCATAAGATATCCAGTTATGTTTTGCTGTGGTAGTTAATTCTGGAGATACTGATTTCTTGTTTTTACTTGTGATCAAAATTTTATTTTCTTCTTGCAATTTAAGCCTTTCTGTTGTTGGATGATGTTAGTGACATATCAGGCTAGAAGTTATCGAATACTTGGATGTTTTAGCGAATATTAATGCTGTAGTTGGTTTGAGTTGCATCCCCCACCCTTTTCTCTCTGACAGAACTTTTTTTTCCTTGGTATTCCTAATTGCTATTTTGTTATTATCATTGTTTTGAATTTCTTTCCTCTTTAAGTCTTAGTTCCTTGTTTTTCGGAATTCTTTGGGATGAATTCCATTCCCAACCAATGGAATATTTATTTCCATATGTATCGAGAACAAACGTGTGCCTCCTTATGGTTTAGAAGGAAGCGTCACTTCATTAGTGGTTAATGAATTTCTTGCCGGTTACCCTTTCTGACAATAGAAAGACAACTTCCGTTTCATCTTGTAATATATTGGGTAAAAGTAATTAGCACCTTCGATAGAAATGAACGCGTCGGGGAAATGTAGGTGTCTAATTTCTATCCTGCTTTTTCTCCGTACTAGGTGAGGACTGAGTTGGGTGAACCAGGCATTAATTTTTATGTCAACCCGCTGAATTCTGGCTGCCTTATCATTGGTCATTTTGAAAGATTTATTTGAGTTTTGCGAGCAAGCTTCGGTCTTCTTTCTATGGATGGTGCCAAGCAGAAAAAAAAAAAAAAGTCTCTCAATTGACAAATATGTCCCTGTGATTACATGGGAAAAAGCTATCAACTTCTGTCTTGATTATATACCAATATCCAGTCATTGTTATATTGCAGCACTACGGATCAGATGCTTTGATTAATATGGAGAAAATTCTTAAAAGTAGAAATTTAAGCTAGTAATTCCTTCCCACTCTTATTTTGCTTTTAACAATTTTAAAGTTGGTAGGACTTGGATTCCATTATATTGAAACTAGGGTTACAATATTATTAGTGAAAACCAATTTAAGTAGACGGAGACTATTCTGTCTTGAAAATTGTTGTTTTCTGCCATGTCTGATGCATTTCATTGTCTTGCTTACGAGCATTAGTTTAATGGCTAATCGGGATGTTTAGGATTAAAACACACGCATATATATATATATATATATATATATATATATATATATAAAGGAGGAAATAAGAGGAGAAGCTAGCTGAGGAGCTTCTTCAAGACTTCAAAGATAGAGAAGTGGATTCAGAAATTTTTCCAACGAAATGTATACTAAAAAAGGTCACTACGCGTCTCAGACCAAAAGCTAAAGGTAAATCTCCTTTTGCTTTTTGTCTACGCACTTAAAACCTCATTTATGTTTACACACGAATGCACACCTGTTGGATTCTATGCTAATTAATATCAGCTGTTCCAACCAAAAGTTAGGGCAATAACGACAGAAAACAGGCGAGGGCTGCGTAGTCTTTACCAGGACATGGAGTCTTGTGGTGAGTATGAAGATATACAAGTGTTGTGGAAGATGATTAATTATGCTCGCCCGTCAATTGCCCATAAAACCAGAAGAAACAAATGGACTTGTTATTGGAGATTCAGATTCTGTTTTAAACCAAGCTAGATTATGCCCTTCCTGTCATTTATTTATACAATCTCACTCGGAAACGGTTCTCACTCACAAGCCCAAGACACAAGGCTTTTTTTTTTTTTTTTTGGGCCACAAAGACACAAGGTTCAGAGGAGCCTTTTTATGCATCACTCAACACTGTTCCTCCACTTACTGAGGTACACAAATAAAGCTCTCCTTTAATTTTGAGGGTAAAAAGAAAGTTCTCTAAGTCCCTCTAACATGGCAAAACTAAAGGGTTACTACAACATACGCTACAACAACAGTTTATTCTTCTCCACATAGTAGAACATCTCTGAAGCACTAAACAACAAAAGATACATCATTTGGATCTTCACAATCCAGCATCACCCTCGTGAAGGAGACTTTGATCAAAGTGCCACACTCCTGCAAACCCGATCAAGCAATTTCCCTCAGTGATTAGAAGTACGTAATTGAAACATTTGTCCAATGATTTTATTAATTGAATGCAAATGATGCAGCAAACTGAAAGAAAAGATAATACTTAGTATTTGATTCTATATTTTAATGCTTACCATGGCCTTTTCCAACCATCCTTAATTGTGCAACATATTCTGCTATCTTCTTAATGGCTTCAACCTATAAAATTTAGATAGTCGCCCACAAGTTTATTAGAATGGTGCCTTACCGGATAGAACAAATTGTTATTTGTTGAAGTCTTGAAGACAATATATAGAAACGAAGAAAACACAATTATAAGATGAATTTCCACCTGATGAGTATTTTGATGCAGATATTTAGAAAGAAGACATGCACAAGACACCAAAATACATACAAAAAAAAGAATGGTTTTTAATCACCATTCAAAGGGTTTGTTTTGGTTATTTGAAAGATTTTTTTGATGCTAAAAAATGAAAGTTGAGACTTGAACCCACCTGCTCAGATAAAAACTCTCTTTCAATGAATTCTTCCATCTGAGCGTCATTGTTTTGCTGCGCCACCTGTTATTCATCAAGAAAGTACAACCCGTGAGAACCAAGAAGAATAGATTAGTTGCAGACTCAAACATCCTGATCTACACCATATATATAGCTCGAAGTTCAAAAACAGGTTGAGCTGCTCATAGTACTTTGCTTTCAGGATTTCAATAGACCATTAGGTAAAGAAATAATACGTTGTGCAGGCTCAATAGCTTCTCGTTTGTCAACTTCTCCAAGGACAATGCTAATTCCAGGGCTGAACTCAAAAAAGTTAGCAAAAATTAATAGAACAAACAACACAAACAATATTAATTATTAAACAAACACTTATCAAATATAGAGTAGCAAAATCATGAGAATACCAAAGAAGATATTTTCAAGCATGAAGACATTAGCATGCTTTTGAGAGCCAAATACAGAGGTTTAAAAGGAAGCAGTCCAAGCAGATATATAGCTTCGCTATAAGCATGTAAAAGAGATACTGACTCACCATATAATGCATCTCCCTTCTCCGCATGTTCAAACTCTGAAGGGGGCATCAGAATAGAGTGTAGTTTTACTCTTCCTCCACGTTTGTTCTAATTAGACAGTTAAAAAATAAACTTATAAGGCTGCATTTGGAACCAAACGCAGCTGCGTTTATTATGAAAATTCGTGTCAACTGCACTGTATAATGTAAAAATGTGCATTTGGGTAACATGAACGACACGGTACAAATGAATTTTCACCGTGTTGAGCCTCAAAATTTTGACTGGTGCTTTGTGCTCCAATGATAAAACTCACCTCTACCAATTCCTAATTTTTCAAACAAGCCCCCCTGCTTCATTTTTTTTTCTTTTGCTTTTGCTTCCGACGGCATAAATGTATAGTTAATTATTGTCTATTTTTTTTTTACTTTGATTTTTTATTTAAAAGTTTTTAATATTTCTTGCCGTTTCCATTTTTTTTTCAAATTTTATTTTGAATAAACATAATTATTATTTTAATGTAAAAAACAATTATTATCTTCTAAATTATTATCAATTTATGTAAATATATTATTAATTTTTTTAAAAATAAATTTTATATTATTATCAATTTTATTAATTTTTAAAAATTTAACAACAAAATTATTATTAAAAATAAGAATAACTTTAATAATTTAAATAATTTATTAATTTTATAAATATCAAATTATAATTTAAATTTTCTTATATATAAGTTTAATTTAATATCTTTAATAATTATTTTTTATTTTCACTGCATTTCATCTCATCACTACTAATACTTTTGCATCTAAATTCATATCTTATCACTTATTTTAATGTTACTGCTACAATATCCAGTTTTATCACTAATCTCATCTCTATCACAACATTCAATCTCACCATAATTAATTTAATCGCTCGTCCAAATGTACCCTAAGATACCCGAGGGGTAGAAAACAGGGAAAATAAAAAGAAAATAGACATTTAATAAAACCTGATATTCCATCAGCTTCTCCGCGTGTTCTCTTTCTTCTTCACTAGCTTCCTTGAAAAATCTGATCGCAACAAGATCAAGGATTCACTATGTCATACGGTTAAAAAAAGAAGAAACTTTGAACAGGTTCTTGTTTCTGTGTTCTTACTTGGCTAAGCCCTTGAGAGCAATGTTGTCTCTGTCGAAGTAAGCATACAAAGAGTGGAACACATAGGACACGTTGTATTCCACACTGTGACACAAAATAACCCCAATAAATTAATAACTGAATCTGAATGAGAAAATGAGACTATAGATCTGAAAATAAGAAAGATCAACAACCTAACAGGTATAGAAAGGAAAACAAGAACCACTCACTTAATTTGCTCATTTATTGCGGCTTCACAGTTATCTGTATATTTTTGGCGAGCAAGTGAAACCTGAGGAGCGACTGGAATATCAAGTTCCTCCTTCTTGAGCTCTTCAAATGGCTGAAACACTACACCTGTAAGTGCCAAATTGTTGGTTTCCAAGGATGCAGAAACCCCCAAAGCCCTTCCATGTTTTCTGATTGGAAAACTCAGAGCAGAGGAAGAAGGAAAAACATAACTCAAACTAGAAGATGAAAATAAAGAGGAGCCCCTAAGAGAAGTGATTAGATTATCCCCTTGCTTGGTTTGGACAGAAAAAGATGAAACTGATCTCAAAAACATTGCTTTGACTAATTGATTACAAGAACTAAGTATCAATGTAATAAACGAAGAGAAGAAATGAAGAAAGATAGATGGTGGATGGATGGTTAGATTGCAGAGGATATATAGAACTGGTTGAGGATAATTACAAGAGTTCCAGAGTGGATGGGGTTCGTTTTGGACCGTTGGATAGGAAATTAGGTGGACGATCGTGGTTGAAACATGTAAGCAGGCTTGTGGCGAACTCGTGGTCTATCCAAACCAACGCGCTTTTGTGGAATTTTAGTCCCTCCCGATAATCTGTCCACATTACAATCTTAGCGTCAGCATATAGCTGTCTCCATGCGAAGTAAACTGTTCTCAGTTGCTAGTCTTCCAAGTAATCATACTCGCTCTTTCGTTAAGGCAACTGGCTCAGAATCACACATCTGTACGATGTTAGAAGGAGTGGATGTTAGCGTAACCCTAGAAGAACGGACATTTTGGCAGTGTCAATCTTGTCGTTAGCAAGTCAAAGAAGCTCATGTCTTCTACGCTCTGGAAAAAAGTGTTTCATATCTTTCTTTGAGAGAAATTTCCTTTTGTCTCGGCCAAAAAAAAAAAGAAGAAGAAATTGCCCTTTGTAAGGGAGAAAAAGAATAAATTTCCAAATCCTTTGGTCAAAAGTTCTCGATTCGCTAGTACAGACTAGTTTCTACCTTCCTGTTTGGGAAAGTCAATAATACTATATTTATCTACTTTTTAATAACACTTTTTTAGGGGTTAAACTGAATCTTGATATTAGAAGTTACGATTCTTTTTTAATCTTTTAAAGAGGTTGGAATATGATTTTCTTTTAAAAAAAAAAAAGATTGTAGGACAATATGATATAGAAGTAAAGTAAAATTAAAAAAAAAAAATTGAAATAAGTCGAAAGAAATGAAAAAACACATTTGATACTTGATATTTTGTTGAAAAAGTTAGAAAATTTATTGAAAGAAATGGAGTCTTGATGAGAAAGTTACTCTTTGTCAAAAACTAGCTGTGATTATTCTTTTTAACTCTGTAGCAGATTTTATGCTTGTTTGGGTGAAGGAATAAAAATTCTTTTACCCAAAGAAACAGAATTGAATTCCTGATTCTCTTTGTAACTCTGGTATATGCCCCTCCTATAACTCCATGAAAGTGGTGGCCACATTTTTCCATAAAATTCAACAGCTCCTAATATTATTGCTTCTAAGTTCTAAAGCATCAGATTTAACTCCATGTCAGGATGCCAATAGTTTTTATCAATGAAAATTCCTTTAACAGCAATCCTCCAGGTTTTCTGCCACCTCTCTGTCCTTTGCCATCCATCTCAGAGACGATGCCTTGCGGAGTTGCGGTTTTATAGTCCGAACTCCGGACCATGGCCTGCATTTTACAAATATTTATTTCATGGCTTTATGCAACAGGCTCAGCACTGACCCAAACTATAGAGGAAATCTTATTATACTCATAAAAGGACTAATGACTTCACTACGGTGTTTATAAATTATAACACAGGCAAAAGATCATGTCCTCGGCGGCACTATCGAGTGAAGGAGAAATGGGTTGTCTTATTGCTTGCAGAGGAACTGTTTTACGATGAATCTACCCGTCAAACAAAGCAGAGCACGAATTTGACTTTAATGTCACATATTAGAGTTAGATGCAAGAGGGAGAGGGAGGGCCTTTTGCTACAGATGAAGACAATTGCAGCTCATTTTTACGTAAGCTTTTAGGCACATCTTTGGTCATGAGATGTCGAATTTTACTACATTCGATGAAAGAGGCTGTAGCCTGTTGTAGAGGGGCTTGTGACTCCACGCGATCATAGCCACATGATGTTAAGCGTTCATATCCTCAACTGGGATAGTATTGCTTTCGTGTAATTGAAAGTCTTAATTCAAAGGCTAAGGCTAATTAAATTGCGACAGTGATCGATGCAAATTCGTTGAGCTAAGTTATTGTGCCATCGGCATATGCGCCTATGAATGTAAGCTGCCTTGTGGATAGCACACGGCTTCTCTACCTTGTGTTGTGTGAGCCACTGGATCTTTTCTTTTCTTTTTCTTTTTCTTTTTTTTTTTTTTTTGGGGGGGGGGGTGTGGGGGGGTGGATTACTCTTATAATCAAATCAATTAAACCTCTCTAAATATGACAAAGTTTCAAGGCATTTCACTTTATCATTGGCAAGCTCTCAATAGCCGAATATTCCAATTCTAGAAACATTTAATGGAAGGGTAAGTTTTATCCTTTAGGTTTTCGATTTATGATACATTCGGTGATTGTTTTTTAATTGATAATATTCTTTGGTGTTTTGGACTTAAATTAAACAAAACAAAACAAAACAATATAGGGAAATTTGATTAAACCAATATTAGTAGTAGTATATTCTAAATGAGTTTTACTACAAAATTAAGTTCGAAAGATGAGTGGCGGGAAAGACTTCCACTGTGTATAATTAATTCTTTGTCTAAGTGAATTTGATTCGTGTACTTAGTTAATATGTTCAGGGTCTAAATGGAACGAGCTCAGCCACTAACATTAGTAGCTTGAAACAGACATTAGAGCAGAGGTTGTTCCACTTTAAATATGCCAGCCAGGCGAGACAAACGACGTTCAATTAATCTTATCTTAATTAAGACGACTAGATTGAAATTTAACCAGGTTAAATAATGTTCAATTTAATCTTTCTGGATCTTTTGTCTTTTTAATCTATGTTCTCTAACTCGTTTTCTCAATGTGTTTTGTCTGTTAAACAGGGAGTCATGGTTGTGATAGATTTTCCAGCAGTTCAATTGGGAATGTTATTCAAACAATTGTTAAGGAAGATGCATACAGGGGGCCTTGTGAGGGGATGGATCCCAATGATGCTCTTCCATGCACAAGGTTCAAGTGTTCAACCCATGTGCCAATTCCTTACCATTAATATAAACATGGCATTGCCACCTTTACGTATAACAGAGTAAAGCCTTACCACAATAACAACCATAGGAGAGAACCAGTTTTTTTACTTGAATCTTAAAATTTATGGAGACAAAAGTACCTAGGTTCACAGGCTGTGAGAAAGGAGTTAAAGTTATAACAAAGATGGGATCACCATACGCATTCTAACCAGTTTAGAACTTATCTACACTTACACCATCCCTAGAAACCTCGTAAGCCTCTCTATTCCTGGTTTTCTTCACCCCGGCAGCGACATAGAGCTTTGATCCATCAGATGTGATACAGGTTACTTTTACCCATATCATCACTTTTGTCTTCATACCCTCTATATCAGCCAGCTTTCCTTTCTCCAGATACCCAGTCACAGTGGTGAAGAAGCGCAGGACTGATGAGTCCCTATATCCCACTTCACATATTGTTGGAATAAAAACAGTAAGCTTTCCCGTCTCTTCATTGAATTCGTAGTTAGTGGCATTATGAGGGAAGATACCTATTGGGAGATTATACTCTTTTAACAGCTCTGGCAATGGCTTTTGCATTTTTCCTGTAAAAGGCCAAATATTGGTACCAATGACAAATTTTGGGGGCAACACTTAAAGGAATTACAGTACATTCTACTATATATCTTGATACTGTCAAATAAAGGGTCAAGCTGAAGGCCTTCTATCCCATAGTTAACACCATGGAAGAGCCCCAACCCAAAGAAAGATATAGAGCTTCATTTGAGCGTTCGAATGGTAGTCTTTCTATTAATGTTTAAACTTATGATAAGAATCAATCTGTTTATTTTTTATGATCATAATCTATAGATATTAGAGTTGGGCCATGGAAAACCAGCAGAAGCTTTCTATTGGTGTTCTCTACATTAAGTATTATCACAAGGCCACTTGGTATTGAAAAACCTACTACTTTAAAGACTAATAGTTCGCATCATTTTCTTACAGGTTTATGTACTGTAGCTAATAAATAAACTCATCAAGATTTGGATTCTCTGTTCTGAAGTCTAAGCTTCACTTATTCCCAATTTTCCTCCGAGACAATAAGTCAATTACCTGAATTTTACCCTTCTCATCCTAAAACAGTTATTTAAAGCACAAGCAATGAACTGCATAGACATTACCCTTCTGAATAGCATAGCAAAAGTTATCTTTCACACATTAATACTAAGACAGAAAAATAGAACAATGATTCAGTAAGAGAAGGACAAACCTTTGATCTTATTAACCAACCATTTGGCTCCTCCTTCAATACTGGTGGATAAAGACTGTTTAAAAGGAGGGAAAAGATGATGTTAGCATGAAGAATGTTATAAAAAAAGATAGACACGCACAGCTCAAGGGGTAGGCAATATCGATAAATGAACATATATTCATCAACATACCAGCTTCGCTGCATTTTTTGAGAAAACATGAAATGAGTCTACGGCATTCTTCTTCATGATGAACTTAGAACTCTTAGATGAAGTAATATTGTTTTAAACTTTTGATAAGACTCCATTTGCTTCCGATTTTATAAGAAATTGCGTTAATATTATTATTCAAAGATTGGAAATTTGGCACATAATTGAATGCAAAACGCACAAAAAATTCATTTCCAATTATTCGTAGGCTAAAAATTCCAGAAACAAAAGTGGAAAAAAAACTGTCTTTGCTAATTACAATAAACAAATACCGCGTCGGAAATGATAGCTTAAGAAGTACGCAGATTAACCCTATTTTTAAAGTCAAATTAACCGTTACAATTACATAATAATAAAAGGTAGTCCGCACAAATCAATATTGAAACATTTTCTCAAGAAACCCTAGGTGAATTAACAAGTTGACCAAATTCTTGAGCAGATCAGGGGTCAAAATCGAAGAGGAAGGAAGTAAATGGAAAGGTAAAGAAAAAGATTTAGAGAAAAGGAAAAGCATACGTTGATATCGTCGCCGACGGAATTGATCTCCTTGTTAGCCTTCTGGCCCAGCCAATAGGAGCCCACCTTGTTCAATATCTGATCCATTTCTCCCTCCAACCTCAAAGCTCGACTATCCCAAATCAGTTGCTTAGTTTTTTTTTCCTCCTCCGATGCCTGGAAGAGAAACCTATGTATGTCTGTATGTATTCAAGGCATAATATTTAGAGAGAGAAAGAGACGTACTTCGTCTTTTCTCTCTTTAGACTTTGAATAGAATCTTCTAACCCCGCTAAATTTCCTAGCATTTTAACTGTTACTTATTTTATTTTTTTAATTTACTCCTACTTTTTTCGTTCGTAGATTAAAATTTTCACTAACGAAAATAATTTCTCTTGTAAGCTTACTGAAGAGGTGTGTATGTACGAATTATATATTCATTCATAGATTGCTATCCTTTGCGTCATGAAATATTGAAGCAAGGATATTAACTATAATAAATATCATTTAATCACTTATAATTTTGTAATCAATCCACTCAAGTCAAAAGTTAAATCTTAATTAATTTCACTGATGGCAATAAGAAATGGAATGACGGCATGGCCTTCTTCATGTTGTAGCTTTTACAATTACCTCTTCAATTGCCTGCCTGCTCATTGTTGTTGTAGTTATATACGATTAGAGTAAATATAGCATCATGATTCTTAAATTTTGAATATAATATTTTTTTAATTGTTAATAAAAAAAACTCCTTTTTTATTACTAAAATATTATTTATTTAATAAAGTTGAATCGAATGTTTCGACTTTATTTTATTTGGGGTGATCTTGAAATATAGAGATAGTCTGCAATGTTTCGGTTTTTGTAAATATCCATTTGTTAATAAAATTTTGAATGTTTAAATTGACAAGGTCTTTGTTCTTCAACCACATGCCACTGTTTGTTTCCCCCCGTAACACCGTTTGTTGGTTTCTCTTTCCTTGGCTTTGCAACTCTGACCGTGAGATAAAAATTGGTAACGTGGTCTATTCTTATTGGATAGCCTAGGCTTAATGCGATAATAAGGATCTATATAATAGTTTTTTCATCTGTTGATAATAAGTGTAATAAATTACATTTGAATTGATATAATATTAAATTTAAATTTTAAATTTTAAATTTTGATTTAAATTTGATAAAATTTTAATTTTTAAATTTAAATTAAAATAAAAATTGAATTAAGTTTAATTAATTTATAAAATAAATTTAAATTTTATATTTGATAAAATTTTAATTATTTATATTTAAATTTGAATTTAAAATATTTTATTAATAAAAATATATTAAAATATAAATATTAAATTAAATTCATAAATTATTTAAATCGAATATGAAAATATTTAAATTTGATTTGAACGATAAATTTAATTTAATTTAATTTAAATTTTATTTAAATTAAAATCAAATAACTTATAAATATTAATATATATTTTACACGTTTAACTGAGAATTTGCTTTTTCTAATTTTTGCTCCGTCACGTAATTTTCCTTATCTCGGACTAAACATCCGGCATCAATCACAATGTTGAACTCCCTTTTCTTTTTTCTTTTTTTTTTGTTTTTCTGAACATGGTCATATAAAAATATTTTGGAAGTCATGCCTGCCACAAAAATGACACGACACGGACAAGTCTCAAAGTACTTAATTTTGTTATCTGCCACATTTTAATATGGAAGACTCAAAGGGGTCCATCTGCTTAATTAAAAGGAAATTCCGAGTGCTGGTTTATCAAAGAGATACAAGTTGGAGAACATTTAATCAAGAGTTTTGATCACAAATACGACTTGAAATGGTCAGTTATTCAGTTTTGTTTTAAATGCCAAGTGGACGGAAAGCAGGGGATATCAGGGAATTATTTGAAAGTTGACGAGAACGTAGAAGGCTTGATGTAAAAGAACGCAGTCAAAGTTCTATTTGTTTAAAAGAAAATAATTTTTTGATATTTATTCGGTAAAAAATTAAATGCTCAATGAAAAATAATTTGTAGATTGACAAAAATAAAATAATTCCATTTATCAAGTTTGTGAGCATAATTTTACTTAAATAGGACCTTAAATATAGATTCTTTTATGCTTGAGTTTAATTTCATCTAATTCAAAATATTATTATATTAATAAAAATATTTTTATTTTATTTTACTTAAAATTAAAAAATTTATTTTAACAATAAATAATTTTAAATGTTCTAATAATTATATCAATATTATTTAAATGAAAACACTTGCTTATATAGATTAATTATGGTTATTGTAGATTCATTATGTATAAGAACAATATTAACAACTTTGTAAGCTTAAAAGCTATTTTATTTGGACAAAATCTTACCATTTATATTATTATGAATAAAGGCTGTAACTTCTGTAGAGACCAAAACTTATAAATATAAATCACAAAAGAAGTAAATGTAAGTAAAAAAATAATAATACGAGGATCAAGGAAATAAATAAAAAGATTATTTTTTATAAAAATAAAAGACATAAAAAAATTTAAAATTTAACTTAACATGATTTTTTTTTACCTTTCATACAATTGATATTAAAACTGTGAAACATAAAATTTAGTTCTCCGTTGTTGACATTTTTTATTATTATTTTGAATAAATATAAAAATATTAATTTGATAGTTATGTAAAGAATACTACTTTGACGAAAATATAGAACTTTTAAAAAAATTCAACTACAAAAAAAATTATTTTTATAAGATTATTCAAATAACAAAAAAATATTAACTTAAAAAAAAAGTTCATTTCTTAAATTTATTTTCAAGAAGTTATTTTAAACAAACAAATGGAGACCAAGTTGTGGCCTATTGGGCGGGGAAGAGATCAAGAAAGGCTTGGAAAAATATATTATCATTTCAACACAGGGAGCTCCTGCTCATGGATGAGTATCGAACTGGATCAATCAAAGGTCCAAATTAACCTATTATTATACCAAACAAACACAAGTTGATACCAGGTCTGACCAGGCCCCAGCCCAGACTCCCACATGATTGGTACCTGACTACCTGAGGATCAAGTGCTAAAGGCCCCTTCAACCTGTTCATGTTTATACTCTATACTCAGAAATATTTTTTTTTAAATGAAAAAACTAAAATTTGATTAATAGCAAAGGTCCAAGTCTTTGTCCTTAAGTAGTGGTTAAAGACCAGACAGAAGAAAAGAATCACGTTAAAGCAGCAAAAGTGAAAGGAATGGTAAAACAAATACGGCTGCTTTAACGTAGGCAGCTGCTGCCTCTTTTCCTGCTACTTGCTTAATTTTTATACAATAAATAAAATGAAAAAAGCGGTCAATTTTTTTTTTGGCGAAAACATTAAGCTGAGACATGAGAGAATGAGAAGAATTTTCCTCGCTTGCATTTTTTTCTAGTTTCTTTAAAATGTGTGTGTGCGTGTGTTTTTTTTTTTTTTTTTTTTTTTTTTTGCAGTCTGCACCAGGGTAAGTTTAAATGCTTTATCTTATCTTTTCGGCTTACGACTCTCAAGCAAGTTGTTCGTCTATTTGCCTTATTTCAAATCACCTTAGCTTTTGACCCTCACTTTCCTGGACCTTTACGAAATTTGGCACTCTCTGAATTTACACTCATGACCTTCTCTGCTAAAGAAATAGTTGCAAATCATCATTTTGTTTTCTTTCAGTCTTTTTAATTTTTTCTGCTGGCCTTTTTCTTGTAGCTTACTTCTCGAAAGATGGATTTGTGGGTAAACAGTTGGAAACATTTACTGCAACAATCAAGTTCAAATGGTAATGGACCACATAAAACATTTTAGATCTCTTTCAATAACTACATTTTATCAATCTCCTATTAGAATTTTTTTTTTAATATCTATTTGGTAGCTATAGGTATGCCTTAGGACCACTTATCAATTTGCAACATGTAATGGGCATGGCAGCTTGAGACAAGTTGCCAGTTTTAGCCTGTGTTGGACACGTTTGTCTAGGGTTGGGAAATGGATTAATTTCTTTTCACCTTTATTATCTTTTGTGTAATCAATTGGTAGTAGTAATTCTGTCATCTTTTTGGCCAAATGTCATATCTTTTCCATAAAGCAAAAATGTTAGTAATGGATAGGTAAAGACCTCAAAAGTACTTAAAAGAAAAAAACAAAAAGAAAGAGAGAGGGAGTAAAGGAGCTTATAGGGGCAAATAGAACGCAACATGTAATCAAATATACGGGAAAGTTCTCTTTATATTTATGGTTCTATTTAAACAAAACAAAAGAATATTTGGGGTAGTTTGGTAATCTCAAAGCATTGAGACATGGGGAGAAAGTTGAGCAGCAACTAGGCCTATTTTATTACCCCCACATAAACTTTCATTAAACACTCTTCTTCTTCTTCTTCTTCTTCTTCTTTAGAAAATTCAACCCACATCATCACACAGTGGAAAAACCTCCTCTTCCGAGTTGGAAAGCGACTAACCCAACACCTTCCCCTTCTCTCTCCACCATATATATACTCTCTCTTGCTCTTTGCACGAACCATTTCGCCAAAAAAAACATCACAATAGAAATGCCTGCGAATCCTCCAAAGTCATCCCTCTTGCTCCACAGAATCAACAATAACACCCCCAACACTAACTCCACCATCACAATCACTACAGAAACAGTTGATAATTCCTCCATGCTTTGCCAAAAGCGCTATCCTTTAACATGCACCATGCCCGTCCCCGACTCTGTTGCTCACCACCACACCCACCCTGTTGGCCCCAACCAGTGCTGCTCAGCCGTCGTCCAGCAGATCGCCGCCCCCGTCTCCACCGTCTGGTCCGTCGTCCGCCGCTTCGATAACCCCCAGGCTTACAAGCACTTCGTCAAGAGCTGTCATGTCATCGTTGGGGATGGTGAAGTTGGCACCCTTCGTGAAGTCCACGTCATCTCGGGCCTCCCTGCCGCCAGGAGCACCGAACGTCTCGAAATCCTTGACGACGAGAGTCATGTTCTCAGCTTCAGCGTCGTCGGTGGAGACCATCGACTAGCCAACTACAGGTCGGTGACGACCCTCCACCCTTCGACTGCTGGGAACGAAACGGTGGTGGTGGAATCATACGTGGTGGACGTACCGCCGGGGAACACCAAAGATGACACGTGTGTGTTCGTAGACACCATTGTTCGGTGCAACCTACAGTCACTGGCTCAGATCGCAGAGAATCTAGCCAGGCGCAAATAGCAAACAGCAAAAAGAAGCCATTTTCGTGAGTGAAACTCTTCATCCAAATAGATTAATTCCCCCCTTCTCTCCCTACTTCATGTTTTTTAGTAAAAAAAGAGTGTTTGGTGATACGCCGTCGTTTTTGTGAGTATCCGATGTTGGGTTACCGGTGGAACATCTTATCACTACCGAGTTCATGTTTCTCGATTCAACTGATGACAGCTTCTTTTGTTTGTTTTACTTTTCTTTTGTTTAATCTGTGAAATACTATTAATAAATACACACACTACGTTGTTAAAAAAATATATGAGCCTTCATGATTTTCTGTCGTCATTGCTTCCGACTGTTCTCTCCGGTTTGTATATAAGTTTATAAAATTAGACATCAGAATAAAAGAACAAGATAGAGTTTTAAATAGTATTTAATTTTGAATGTAATGGACGGAGAATTTGGGAAGATATTATTATTATTATTAGTAGGGAAGGCTATAATAAAATGGGTTAACGCGAAATACGGTACGGAACTGCATTAGACAGCAAAAGATGACCGATAAAAGGCAGCTTTGGTTTGAATAAAGTAGCGGAGTTGAGTGTTTTAATATTAAGTTTCCATGTGAAAGAGGTCTTGAATTTTTTCATCCAGAAGTTGGGCCGTTTCTGGCGATGGCTGACGGCCAGTAGTCTATCATCCAGTTTCGGCACAAAAAAAAAAAAAAAAAATTTTGGGGTTTGAATTTTTGAGTCGGAAAGGGCCGATATTGGAGATAAAGACCAAATACCTAGCAAGACTACGAGGTGAATTTGTTTTGCTCAATGTAAATTCGCGAACATGGTGAGATGCGCATGATGTGCTAAGAGATTTTGATTCGCCAGAAATTGGAGCAAAAGGAAAGCTCTTTTTCATGGAATATCAGAGCATGCGAATTAAGGTAAAAACTTGGGATCTATTGTAAATTGCATTGGAGGTACAGGGGGTGCATTTCATTTTTCTTGATCTGTACAGTAAATAGGGATAGAGAATCATGGAAAAGGGGGGTGCACGCTGGCAGTTAATGGGCAGACGAGAAGATGAATTTTCGAAGGGTAATTAAGTTTGCACCCGTGCGGTCCACATCGTTTTCAATTTGACAGTGAACAACCGGGACATTGCAATAGGACGAGTAAAACCGCGGTTAAATTATTACATGCATTCATCTGATTCTGGGTCTGGGGGTATAAAAATTCTATCCTCTGGCTCTGATCTGATAAACGGATTTAGGAGGTGTTTTTCAGTGGTAAAAAGTTGGTGAGAGATGCCTAACGTATCAGCGCAAGGAATCAATTCAAATGAACATTCCTTTTTCCTGCAGGCAGGAGCTGAAAAGGGGTGATTTTCCAAAGATGTGGTAACATCTATTAGTATATTGAGACGCAAGCAAACAAAATAAATCTGAACAATGGGGGTGGCCTGACCGGGAGGGGGAAAAGTGAAGGAAACGAAGAAAACATTTGCGAGTAACCTAGAAATTTCCGGTTCGGGTATTGCATGGGGCAGAAGCATGTTGCATTAAAATACTAATAACGTGAAAGGAATCCGACAGCTGCCTGTCTCTCTCTCTATCTGCAACTTGACTTTGATAACTATTGGTTAAAAGACAAGATAGATGCAAGTTGCAAATTATTTTTTCTTTCTTAAATTTTTTCTCTCTATATAGCTGTTAAAAGAAGTGCAACTTGCTCCCCGTCTGTCTCTCGTATGCTGAGCTTTTTGAATGGGACGGTTTCTTTGCAAGTTGGGGTGCAAGTGGGAAGGAAGAGGGTGTTACTTTTTAATCATCCCGTGTACTATTGTCTACTTTTGAATGCGTTCACGCCACCCATCCTCCTCTCCTCTGCTTCTTCGTGACATATGATATGGAGTTTCTTCTTTAAGACCTTTTTCATTCAATATTTGCCACTGCCAGGCATTACCATTAGCTTCCATATTTCCATGCCAATTGCCCTGCCATTCTTCTTCAAAATCTCCACATTACTATTAATTAGCATATATGTATGTATATTCCATATTAATCAAAGCTACTTACAAAAATATAACAAACTGCTGTCCAATCCAATACGTATGCATTATATATTGTATGCATTGTCAGCTTCAATCTTTTCCAAAATTAAAATATATCCATAGATGATGAAAATTATAAATTTTAAAAGTTTCTATTTCTTTTCTAATTTAAAAAATCGATAAAAAACAAACAAAGTTGTAATTGCACCAATTTCAAATCAACTTTATAGCCCAAGCCCTCAAACTAATTCAATTTGAAATTTATTTGCTTAAAATATGCTTTGATTGATGCATATTATACATGCATGATCAAGATATATTACGGATTAACTTTTTCACATGGGAGAATTAAGATTTATGAGTATTTGTTGTATAAAATGTTAGGTTTGTTAAATTTTAATAATTTTAACAAGTAACATGTTATATCTTTGACAACCTAAATTGACAACCACAAGCTCCATATTGTTGGGAAGAACTAGTTACCAGCCACCATAGATTGGTTCGAATGTTAAAACATGTGATTCTGCAATAAATTGGTCAATGGTAAAGGAGTAGTACATATCAGTAAATCACACTGCGAGATCTGGTCTCATTCGGGTCAAGCACGGCTAATATATAAGTCATATTCATGAGATAAGGGATTGTAAGACCAAAAAACAAATCATCTATATCTGATGTATAAATATGTAATATTGTTGAAGATTGCTAGACTTTGAAAGTCATAGGTGAATTGTCGTGATAATTGTAAAATACTTAATTTTGTTTAAAATTATGAAATTCAACTTTTAAGTTTACCAAAAATTGATATACTATAGACTATATTAAAGTATAAACTCTACTGGCCAAAAAAAAAAAGGGGGAGATGAACTGTCGCAATGAATTGGATTACATCATTGACTTTGTTAATTTTTGCCATCTTAAAATATATAACTCCTCTCCTCGTGCATGCAACGCCTGCCTAATGCCTTAACTCTTTCAGCAAATATAGCTGAGATGAAGGAACTACTTATAGTCCATATTCTGTACAACAGCTCCTGTATACTTAATTAATTAGAATCAATAAACTCAAGTTGTTTATCTTAATTATGCTTCGAGTCTTTTTATCTCATGAACTCATTCTGGTAAAAATTATCATAAAATCTTAACGGGCTTTACTCACAATTACAAAATTCAAAATTAAAATCAATAGTAAACTATTTTGTGGTTGTGATTAAATCACATCAAAGTTATGTGATTTATTTATTTATTTTACAGAATCAAGTCTATGAAAACAAAACTCATCTGCCCTCAGAGAGGATCAAATTTTATGATTTAAATCACATCAATTAATTAATTTATGTTTTAAGAGTAATACAGACGTCAAAACTTACTAGATCAACGAATAACTAAAAGCTATTTGAATAAAGAAATTTTGTTTTCAAAATTATTATCTCTTATATATTACATACATAATACATTTATGTCTTTTTTCAAAGATGGAATGAAAATTGAAAAGAGAGAACCATCAACCTTACTATTGTTTAGTAGTTATGGCGGAAAAAGTATAAACAGAAGTTATGTATCATTCAGACATGTATATGTGTGTGTATATACATATATATATATATATATGTCAACTGCTGATTCTTATATAAACAATGAAGCTATAACATCATAAAGTAGAAAAGTATGTATTTAAGGGAGTGGAGGAACCGGAGCGCCGTTCGGGTATGATACCACCGGAAATCTCCCAAAGGAAATTATTTCCGGCATCATAGAACACCTGCTACGTCGACATTTTCTCAATTTTGCTTAGGGCTTCTCTTAGGATTCTGGATTTTCAGAGTCCATTATATTGATGGCATTCGCCCTAATAATTGGGCTTCTTCAAATTATTATTGGGCTCATTCAAAAATTTGACAAGGCCCAGCATTTGCTTCTTGTGTTAACAAACCATCTGAATTTGAGTTTTTCTTTTTCTTTTGAATATTTATTCAATGAATTTAAAATAGTTATTTTTCTTAATTACATGATAAAATTAAAAGAGTATTATATAATTCAATAACAAAATATTTCTTTAACCTATGATCATTAGAAATCACATTGTCATTTGATTTCTTATTTACTATCTCGTCATTCACTGATATCATTTTTTGTCTTATATTTTGTCATAACCAATTTTTAAATAATATACATTTCATAATTGCATTTTCTTTAGAAAATATAAATATAAATATAAATTATAATTTTATTTACTAATAATTTAAATATTTTGCAAATAAATTTAAAAATATAATATATTTTTTATAAATTGATAATATAAAATATTATAAGAGAGTAAAAAAAATTTCATTCAATGATAAAAATAGCATGTATATAATTTAAAGATTAAAAAACTAAACTTATTTATAATAATTATCAACCGGCACGAAATATTAGGCTGGAAAATGATTTGAGAAAATGATTTTTACATTTTTAACTATTTATTTGACAAAAAAATAGTTGGTCAATGAAAAATGATATTATTTTTTTAAAATTATCTTATGAATTTAAAAACGATAGACATTTTTTTGAAAAATAGCTGTTTATGAGTATAACTATTATTTAATACTTTTGAGCATAATCGTACTTATAAATAATATTATATTAATAAATAATATTATTATATGGTAATAAATAATTCAAAAATAATATTATAATATATGAATAAATAATATTATTTTAATAAATAATATAATAATAAAATATTATAAATTTAATTAATAAATATTATAATAATATAAGAATAAATAACATATTATTAATAAATAATATACTATTAATATACTATATTAATAAATATTATTAATAATAATATTATAATATATGAATAAATAATATTAAGAATAATAAATAGTTTTATTTTAAGTATTTTTTATATTAACATAATATTTTAATATGAAATATTATTATTAAAATATAATTATTTTTTAATATTAATAATTTTAATAATAAATAATTTTAATATATTTTAATAATCAATCATTTTTAATATTTTAATAGTTATATTAATATTATTTGAAAAAAATTGATTTTCTAAAAAAAATTAAACAACAAAAAATATTTTTCATTAATTCATCCAAACAATAAAAAAATTTTTAATCTAAAAATATAAATACCTTTTAAAAATTATTTTTTATGAAATAAACGAAGCCTTATATTTGTATACATTGTCACCAGAGCTCGTGTGTCACATATTAGCAATTACCATTAATAAATCATACTGCATTGATTCAATAAGTTTAAAATTTATAATTTAATACGACACAAAATATACGAACCGTACTTAACATGACTCATTGATTATATAACGAACCGTACTAAACCCGGGCCCACAAGCTGCCTGTCACCTCTAGGACTGTGGGAGTGGGTACACCGTATAATCATTGCGATTTGCGTCAGATTAATAAGGTGGGGACCGGGGACCTTTGCTCATCCAGCAACCTGGCGTTGGGTCGCATTGCTCCATCGTATCAACAAAATTCGGTCCCAAAAAAAAATATATATATATATATACTCATCAAAAGTTATGTCGGGTGCGGGCCCATTTCAGCTTGATGATCACATTTATCCCAGATCCCCGACTTTCGGCCTTCACCTTTTTTTTTCTTCTTGTTTTGTTTTCACGTTTGGCGACTAATCATCCACGAGTTCGATTGGTAGCATGTGTCACTCGAAGAAAAAAAATGCAAAACTATATGCTCTTCTCTACCAAGATGCCCCCTCTGCCGGGCTTCGTTGCATGTGTGCAAAATCCATATATACTAGACGACATGGAGAAAAATGGGACTGTAAGCTCCATGAGAGATGTGAACAATGTGTAAATATGTAAGACACAGAAAATTAAAGATAGTCAATTATATTCGAATGAGAAAGTGATTGTCGTCTCTGGAAAAGATACTTGAACAATATTAAGATGAAGGAAGCTCAACTTCAGACCTTATATGAGATTAAACCAGTTGCAAAACTTTCTCTTAGTTGTTTGACCAGGTGTTCTTAACCTTTCTCACTTGTCAGTTTCCACTTCTCTCACCCTCTAGGGGCATGTATCTATGAAGTAGAAAACAATGTTAATAGAAAGGTTTAGGTTTTTTTTTTTTTTTTTTAATACTATTTTTCGGTACATTTTGCTCAACTTATTTATAATTTATCTATAGTTTTCCCGATTCATTTAATGCAACTCTTTCAATTCCCTAATCAATCAAATCGAGGTAAAAAATTTCTTATCGTTAATTTGAAAAATCATACAAATGTAGAAGAATAAAGTTGATTTGACTTTATTCATCGGCATTCATCATAAAACTCTTCTTTTTCAAATACCCTTAACTTTGGTATCCCTTAGGAATGTGCCATTATCTCTACTCAGAACTGAAGTGACCAAAAAATTTGGCAATGTTATATTATGGGACTGCCAATGTTGATGGTGGGAACTACTTGAAGCAAAAACGTGTTGGGTCAATGTTATTATCATAGAGTAAGAAACTTCCCAAATTTATTAACACCGAACAATTAGGATACAGTCTCTCTGTGATAATAGTGTTAAGTGGAGAAGACTGAGCCCCACATCATACTATTGCGTTACAATATATCACATATTTTTCCATTAATGGAGCTGGCAATGATCAAAGTAATCGACAAGTGCTGCAATTACGCTCATTTTTTAAACATTAATCTGAAAATGTGTTCAATGCTCCGTGAAATTGAACCAAAGTTGAGAAAGATTTCTATGAAGGCAATTTTTTCTCAACTCCTTTAATAAATCAGCCAATGGAAGCAGAAACGTGTGGGTTGTTAAACCAATCCCGGACAGGCAGAGTTGGGAGTAAGCAGCTAGAGTTTCTGTGGAAAGAAAGTGATTAGAACTGTGTTATGTACTATCATAATCATTAATCAGAAGATTAACCAAAAAAGAAGAAGTAATCATGAAGGGTAGAAAGAATTATTGAGTAGCTAGCCTTTGAATATTCAGCAGAAGAAGAGAAATAAATAAAACAAAGCAACTAACAGTGCAATTATTGTACAATTATGGCAAAAATACGGGTCCATTTATGAGCCAACCACGATTTACATGTTCAATTTCAACTAGTACCGTAGTCGGCAGAGGCGTTAAAATGACAAGATAAAGAAATCAACATAAAAAAAATACATGTATATATATATATACACATACATACATACATATTGTATATATATGATATCAAATCTGTCCCTCCCAATTGTCAAATAAAGAGTTATAAGTTAGTCAAGTTTCCTCATGGCTCCAGGCGCTGTCTGCATTTCCCCCACGTTCTCTCTTCTGCTGCTATAAATACAGGCTTCTCTTCTTTTAAATACCTCACCAACATTATCAGAGCAGACTATTAACTGGGTTTTCCTTTTCTTTTTACTTGGTTTATTTATCCTTGCTCAGGGGAGTTGTTTTGTTTATGAAGCTATGATTAGTACCGAAGAATCTGTTAAGCTCAGGAGGGATAGCGCCATGGAAGATCTTGAAGCTTTTTGATATGTAATCTGATCCTCATTAGCGCTATCCATCCTGAGTTTCATCGGTTCTTCTTGCTCTTGCTTTGTCTCTCAGTCACTGAAGAAAGATTCATGTGGGTACGTAGTGCTGCATTCCCCCCCCCCCCCCCCATTATCTTCGCTTCTCTAGTCTCATACCGATCTCGATAGCAAATTTATCAAGTTTTTGTTGGTTTCTTTCCTTAAAAATGTGTGAGCTTTAAATCTCTGCTAGCGCTCTTCTTGTTCCTGTCTTCAAACAATAAAAAATAATAGTGATAACAAATCTTGTATATATGATATACTATTGCCTTATAAGTTATACCTACTTGATGTAGCAAGTGGTAACAAAGGTTGTGAGCTTGAAAGAGAATGAGTGATTGATTGCATTTTCCATTTATTTCTGTAAACATCTTTGGCTGGACAAATGAGGACGGGTGGTTCGGTTTGCCTTGTTATGTTTGGTTTTCTGTTTCCTCCTATGTCGTTTATTCTTGTCGCTTGACTGGATAATAATATCTAATTCTAACATCTATACATATGTGTTTTTGATGATTATTTGTGTGGATCTCCAATGGGGAATTGGCATTGGCAACACCCAGGGAAATGGGTTTTGGGTAGGCCACTGATTTTACTTTATCCTAATGGTAGAATGTATATGTGTATGTGCGGACGGTTTGAAATGGAAAGTAAAGAGGGGCTGTTGCTGCAGGATGGACAAGGTTGGAGTTGGAGTGGAGAGATTGACTTGTTTCGTAATTCGTGTAAGCTGCGGTTCAGTTGTTATACCAAGGCCGCCTGTTTTTGCAATATCTGCAATCCTTCTCTTTCTGAACTATCGGATAGTTTTAATTCCCACTTTCCAGGTGACTGTATTTCCACGCTCCCTTTCTGCTTCCACTAGAAAAAAACGTACGCCCAATGGGGTTGACATGATATTCGGATTCAGGGTTATTTCATCTTTTCTATTTCAAGTTACAACTTCTTACCCTGTTGATAAATAATGAATGACCTCAACTTGTTGTAGTAACAATGGATTGCGAAACATGGACCATCTTCGATGGATTTGAAGACATCCTCAGTGGCATGGGGCGCAAGGGATAAGAGTAAAAACTTTCCAATTCCACCTATTGTTATTATTCTTTTGTTTTTAATAACCGTGAAAACAAGTGCGTGAATTGTTTACCAGCATGTGCGTCAATAGTTGCAAAAAGCAGACAGAGTTATGCCTCTCTGTCACCACGATCCATGTGTCTTAACTGGAAATATAGAGGAACCAGGGCATTTGAATTTTGATCTTTTCTTTTTTTTAGCCTTTTTTGGGCAAGGAGGGTTAATTTGTGGGCTTTCTTTTTTTTTTTTTTTTTTTTTGGCTCTGAAATTTAAGGGCTTTCAATCAATGTTATTGGAATTTGGACTTAACGAAGAGTGAGCAGCTGTCCATTTTAATTTCAGCCTTTTTTCCGGCTAAGAATTGACATGACCAACGTGTCGAAGGGTGTGTGTATGCAAGGTTTGTTCCGGAGTTTTTCCTGAATGGCTGGCCCATGTTCTTCAGCTTGAACTAGGGATCCTCAATACCAAGGACAGTAGACTAGCAGGGCACAATGGGAACAAGAAAAATAAACTGAAATTGAAATAATACTGATAAGTAATAACCTTACCTTGCTATTCAGTTTCCATAGTAAAAACAAAACATGTTTTTTGGTAAAAAATAGGATGGCATTTAAATGGTTTGGAAAATTTATAATTCTATTACAACAATCATCAGAGATAATTTTGAAGCTATTAATAAATTTGGATAAACCAAACTTATACAATACTCAATGAATTAATCTATTTGTTTAAGAATTTATTTTACATAAAAATGGTCCAAAAGATTAAAAAAATGGGCCAGATCCATGTAAACAGAAATGGGCTGATTTTAGAAGCTTCTGGACCGGACTTTAGATGGAATTGACCCGATTACATATGGCATTCATTAACTCTTTTTCACAGGCATAATCAGCAGTGCTTATTTGTTTACAGCTCTCACTTTACATATCTGTCATACTTTCCTTTATGGTGACTCAAGATTTTAGTGTTTCTCATCAAATATAAGATGTGATGTCCATTTCATTATTTGGCTTGACATGAGATATTGGGATTATGACCCTTCACACAGGAAGTAAAAAAGGAGGAAAAACAAATATTTACTTGCTCAGAAAATATAGTGAGAAAACATTCACAAGGACAAAGACAAAACCTGAAACAATGAAAAAAGGTTCAAAAAATAATGAACCCAAATAATCAGTGTGTAACATAGTAACATGGCTTCTGACAACATTCCTAAGATAAACAATATGGGTCTAACGAGATGTTTGGTATTAACTGCAATAACATGCAGTTACTAAAGATCATAGTCTTCATACTTCATCGGCCACATCATAAACGGCCCCAGAATTCCTAGAATCTACGCTCTGGAAACCATGAATCAGTATATTTTGTCGCTTCTATAAAGTCCAAATCAACATCAGGCGTCCAAAATTCCATCTTGTAATCTACACCAGGGTCTGTTTCGTTTTGGTTGAAGCCATCCTGTATCTTTGCTTCGGGCCCCTGCAGCCTGCCTCTTTGAAGGTGGTTCGTAGATGGAAACTCAAATTGATCAGAAATATTATCAAAATTCTTGTAGCTATAAAAGTCAGTAAATCCCCTAGGTTCAACCTCCACTTCTTCCTTTAATATAGGCGCTTCTGCTTTCATTTCACTTGAAGGCTTACAATAAATATCAGAGCTGAGGTTACCATCTGTATGCTCAGCCTGCAAGTTATTATCTTTACCAAAGAAACAATTATACCCCATGGATTCAATACTTCCAGCAAGTGCACCTTTCCAGTTTTCCCTCATTGCTGGCATCTCAACTTTAACATTATTAGGAGGCTCCGAGTCAACAATTGAAATGCTGGCATCTTGGTCTTCATAATTATCCACGAAATTGTGTCTAAAATTGAAGCCTATGTAGGCACTTGATATAATACTTTCCGATGTCTCTACTTCTGATTCCATTTTGTTCCTCTTAAAGGGTGTCTGCGTATTATAATCATCAGAATCCATAAAACCAATCCTTAATTGGCATTCTTCATCTTTCAGCTCATTTTGCAAGTATCCATTTGCATCCTTGATGCCCTTAGAGTTGTGGATTCTCATAATGAGTTCATCATTCGTGGCTTCCTTTAACGTCTCAACTTCAATTCCATGCTCTCTATAAGGTTTGCAGTCATTCCTTGAATTGGATTCTGTTCCTCTGGTTTCTTTTGCGTTGTCCTCTGCTTTAAATCCTGTTTCCTCCTTTATATAAACTTGAGAACAATCACGTTTCTCCATCAATTTATCCTTTAAGAAGACGTTTGATTCTTCAACTATATGAAGCTCAGGAGACTGGGGTTCTCCAAGGGACGCAAAATGAATAGTTGATTCCTTAACTTTTTCGTCCTCCGAATTTGATATCGAAGTAGAGTCAGTTGAACATGTTTTAGTAGTAGATGAAGCAGGAACTTTGTTGGAGTTACCTATTGATTCCTTGGAATGATCAGGAAAATTGAGGCGAGCATAAGGACCATACATAGCTTTTGCAGCCTCGTCATAAGCAAGAGCTGCATCAATGGCATTAGAGAACGTACCTAGCCACAGCCTGTTGTTTCCTCTACTTCCGGCATCACCCCCGTTTATTGGTTGTCTAATTTCTGAAACCCACTTGCCCCAAATCCTTTGTCTTACACCTCTAAATTTGCATCTGGAGTTCTCCGGGCCTCCTTTCCCTACCATACACCCCTTTTTGGAACCTTTGGCCGGAACCTTACAAACCTTTTTGAGGCCATCGTCTTCGCCAAATTGAAGTTGGTTGTTATTGTACTTCTTCCACTTTTCAATTGTGTCCTCTACCGATTCACGTCCATTTCGTATCCCCCGAGGCTTCTTATTACTAGCTTTAACACTATCCGCCATAACAGAAGAGTTGAGTTTTGTATTCAACGGGGAACTCATAACTGATTAATAATAAACAAGTGAAAAAGCTGACAAGTTTCTGGAGATTAGGTACCAAAAGAGGAAATCAAAGTAAATATTTACTGAAGGAAAAGAAGTAGTTAACAGGAACTCACACATCAACAATCTTAGAGGCCTGTGTGACTTTGAAAGTTTTTGTTATAAATTTTATTACAGGAAGTTCAAGTTTAACTTCCTTTGGTTTTGGTATTTGTTCTACTCTGTTTTTGGGGTAGGAAGTGAGGTCACCTACGACGAAGTTGAGGATTTCTTCGGAACAAAGAAAAACACCTGTTCACAGTATCTGGAAGCATTTGGAGAATTTTGTTTTGTCTTTTTGATATTCCAGAATGAAAAATTTGGGACGTGGCATCCTTCCATTGGCTTTATAAGTGGGTGATTCGTGGCTAAACCCCGACCAACGTAGTTGAGTTCCCATTGTTTTCTTGGCGTGGAAGACTTGTCTTTTGTTTTAAGAGATTTGACCAAGTCCAGATGCTCATCTTTTCCTTTCCTGAAAGTTCCATTTAAGGGGCTGTTTTAACAACTACTTTTCGAAGTACAAAATTGCGGCTACTTTTGTAAAAATAATAATATATTATTAATATTTTTATATACTACTTCTCGAGAAGAAAGTGGTAGTTTGTAGTAATGTTTCTTTAAACTTGTCCGGTGGGAGTTAGTAGGTGGAAACCTCTTCCTTGTTCTTGAACCGCACATGGTTTCGTGATCTTGTTTCCTGATCCCTAGACAGACAGACAGACAGACAGACGGACAAAGATGAAACTCTTGGCAAAGATAACGACGCCTTCTACATCTGTACTGAAACTTTACATTTCACAGGAATCCACTTCAACAGAGAGGTATCACTCCATCTCACTTCACTTCATTTGACCGCAATTTTCCATTTTTTGTATCATTCCCCTTCATTTTCCATTTTTTTTTAACAAGTCCTTGTCCACGAAAAACAAATAGTTTTAATCGTCAATCTAACCTTATTTGTAGCACAAAAACTACATCAACATCCTCATAGTAGAAAATTCTATGGCGAGAGCCAAATTAATTGAAAAAGTAATTAAAAATGGTTTTTAAAACATAGGTTCAATTGAATAGTTAGATTACATATGTCAAGTGGGATCATGAGCTACATAAATTTTTGAAAAGAATGCGTACCAAGATATGATCAGAATATATGCAGCCTCCTAAATGAATTTCATTTCTCCATCAAAATTCAAAAACCATATTTTTGTCCCAAATTACAGAATTAAACTTAAAATAGCAAATGCAGAAGAAAGAGATCAATGTACAAGGCTCAACATCATAGGTAGTATACAAATCCATAGCCTAGCTTTATAACCCTCCTGTGGTTGAAAGGCCACCCGAGTAATTTTCCAATTCATGAGGTATTGGCAGAAACGGTAGAATAAATCAATCAACTCATGCTCAATCGTCAAGAATGAAACCCAACCTTATGAAGCATCGAAGTCAATCATCTTTCATTATCAGCTCCAACATCAGGAATTTCTGTCTTCAAAGAGTCAGCTGGAAAACCAATAAGCCAAACAGAAGAGGAAATCAAATATTGTGAGTCAAACTGTTTCAGTTATTTTTTCATTTGGATTATTTTCCAATGAAATCTAGCCTACCAACTGAAGAAGAATCAATAGGTTCCAAAGTCTATCAAATGCACAATTAATTATACAATCCACTTTAGCATAAAAAAGAGAGTGATTTTACACACCATGATATCAGCGACGAACTTTCTCCAAATTTCTTAATGAGTCATACCTGACTACAGAGCGAAACTGCTAAAGGGCAGAAACCACAGAAGAAACTCAATAGGATAACAGGTAATTTATGCGTTTAGTCATTACATCCCAAGCATAAAGTTTTGAACTCATAAAGCATTGTATTTGATTAAACTTATACAAAATAAAAAATTCATAAAACCCTTGAACGCATTGCAACAAAAACACAATAAGAATTATGCCCTTTGTTTTTTTTTTTTTCTAACATTACAATTTTGCTTATCAATTGGCGGAAACAGAATCACATTTCTGAGACATAGATGAATAATCTCAAATACATGTGAGCCATAATACACAGAATAACACAACATTCTGTTGGCCCTCTGCATTTGCAGCTGATTTAAGGTAAGAGTTAAGATCTCTTAAACCCTTACAAAAGCACATGTCATGCAGCTCCAAAGATTCCTTCTACCAATCCTTTATCCTTACTGCCGGAAGCTTTCATGAAAACAAGGCAACTTAACATTGCCATTCTGTAGTTTACCCCTAAATAATGAGAATCTTCATCATGTCTTTCTTATACTAGTTTTTGTTTTATAAAACCATATACACAATTTTTCATAGTAATGCCACAGACAAACATAAAAGGCACTAAGAAAGGAAGGTACTAGTTTCTCCAAATAGTAAATACCACAAATTATTCAGTATTCATAAAAATGGCAATAATCAAAATTAGACACCATTGAAATTCGCTAAAACAAGGTGAACTTCATAGAAGGTAACAGCACCATATATCAAGCATGTAATGGGGAAACAAACTGTATTATGCTATCCTTAATGCTAAGTTCATTTGTAACCTAACAAAAAAAGTTCAATCTTGAACTGAGCCGATACACTTTGAACTAGTAAGCCACTTGGAAACAACTAATCATGCAAGTAAACTAAAATAGTTTAGTTTAGCCATATGAAGAGATGCAACAATAAGCATAAAAATGTTGATGATCTAAAAACACAATATAAAGTAGGTTCATTTTGGGAAAACTAAATCAAACCAAATATAAGAAATTAGCTGGCATGAATGATCAAAAACAACAGGAAGCAACTATTTCACTCAAGCAGACCTACCAACTTGGTACCTTAACTTCCTATTTGTGATTTTCCTGTGAACAATTGATTTAGAAAATATCCTGAAATGCACAAAGAAACCAACTTTAACCACTCTCAGCGTAGAAAACAATAGTAATAAGCTCACCTGTTCAAGAACCTTAGCTGAGCTGGCTTCAACGAGCCTGGCCAAGCTTTCGATTTCCTTTAATCCAGCCGTGTAATTAACGGCTTCCTGTCCAATCAACCGGCTCAATCTCCCAATTTGCATTCCCTTGGCGCACATATCCAAATCCGATTGATCCTTTGCTGTTTGTTTCAATCCAATTAAATTCTCCTCATTTCTATCTTCATTCATCGCCGTTGAGCTCCTTAACTCACAGTTCAAAAAGGGGAGCGCAGAGCTCCGGCTAAACGACCCGTAATGCCCTCTGAATGCAGGCCCAATGTTGACTGATAGCGGATTAAAACAGAGGTTCGATGATTGGAACTGGAAGGCCCGATGCTGGTTGGTTTGGATGAATTGGTCTTGTACAGGAGTTGTGAAGGGGAGGAAAATTGAAGGACCGAAAAGGGAATTGAAGTTAGCGTTTAGGATTGGGAGAGAGAGATTGGGGATAGAAAAGAGAGCATGAGCGACGGAGGATTCGCGCATGGAGAGGCAGAGGGGGTTGTCCGGAGAGAGGAGAACCAGCCGATGAGGGGTTTGTGGTTAAGATGAGTCGGGAGGAGTCGAACCGGCCGAGTACGTCGTAGAAGGATAGAAGGAAGGGTAGGGAAGGAGAGGAAGCTGGAGATAGTGGCAAAGAGTTGCGTATCGGGGGGAGTTGGGGCAGAATCGTCGGGAAGTGAGGAGGGGGCGAAGTAAGTGACGCGGCCGAAGAGGAGGCCGTCCACGTGAGGCGTTGGATCATGGAGGCCAGTGTGGGCACTGGAATTGCTATTTTCTGCAATAACAGATCGTCCATGACGTGCAAAGCTGAGAGAAACAGAGACTCAGTCGAAGGTGAGGAGGGGGGGGGGGATCGGGTGGGGGGTAGAAGGCTGCTTAAAAGAGACCATATGCATTTCACTTCTCTCTCATCTCTCTCAGACAGCTAAAGAGGCAAACGACACCCGTTCGCTTCTACGTCGCGATGCTTACTTGGGATTTGATCTACAGAGAAATGAAAAGTGGCTCCAATGGGGACTTGGGCTCAAAGCCTCGAACATGAGAGCTGTACTTGCTTTGTTTTTATTTTTATGGGTTAATTGGGCATTGGGTTTTTTGCTGTCTAATGAAAACCAAAACATTCGTCATTCACTCACAATTTTCAGCTTAGTCTGTCTGATACTAATATTATATAATATAGTACTACAATATTCATGGAGCATGAATGAAATGAAGAAGTAAAGACATGATTATAGATAGAGCAAGAAGATATCACTAATCACTATGACCGTGAATGAAATCTAGGTAATGAACCACAGCTTGATCATGTAAAACCCCCGCGATTTCAATGTGGAAATAACATGTATCATAATCATGATTTTGCTCTCTTAATAACATAAACATGAACTGCAAAAATATTTTATTTGTCCTATTAACATAAAAAAGAATACTCATTCTAAACAACTTATATTTACATTCACAAAAAACAACAAATAGTAATACGAAGAATCAAAGAATCTGTTGACTATAATTGAATTTCAAGTTTAAACCTCTCCTAATTCTGTGTAAACCCTTTCTTATTGCTCCCTAAAATGTTCTGCAAACAATGTAGAAACTTTATTCACTTGTTGCTGGAACTTTATCACCAGACCCAGGCCCCATTATCACCAGACCCAGCAGCCACCTCTAATCTCTTCTAATTGCTGCACAACCTGCTGAACTTCAGGACGTGCTGCAGGTGAGGGATCAACGCAATGGAGAGCTAATTTCAATGTGTTAAGCAACTGATCATTTATGCTTGTTGTATCTCGCATAAGCTCCAAATCAAAAACTTCATTAGTCCACTCCTCTTTTACAATGGATGCCACCCACTGCGGCAAGTCCATGCCATTCATTGGCTCACCGGGGGATTTCCCTGTAAGAAGCTCCAGTATGATCACTCCAAGGCTGTACACATCAATCTTTGTACTGGCATTCTTGAGCTTTGAGAGTTCTGGTGCTCGGTAGCCGAGTGTTCCTGCAGTGGCAATCACATTTGTACTGGCAGCAGCAGTCATTAGCCGAGAAAGGCCAAAATCTGCAATGTGGGCATTGGTTTGCTCATCAAGTAGTATGTTACTTGATGTGAGGTTTCCATGAATAATATTTTCTTGGGTATGTAGGTAGTTCAATCCTCGTGTAACCCCAATTGCTATTCTCATCCTTGTTGGCCAATCAATGGTGGTTTCTGGCCCTCGAGCTGCACAAGAAATTCTACATTGTTAGAATTGAAAGAAGGATCATGGCAAACAGACATGTATGTAGGCTAATGATGACAGATTTCTCCCGATTAATTGTTGAATGAAGAATTGAAGTTAACTTTTGGAGCTTGCAAAAGCTTGATTTTAGTTTACTACAATGTACTTAAGTTTTATTTCTGAATGTCTCTCATAATCTTAAAGTAATAACCTCGATTTCTATTTCTATTTCTGGATCTTTCCATGTTTATAGATGTGTGGAGGGTCTTGTCCACGATACACAATTAAACATATCCTTCTTATTTTTCTTCTATTTCTCTCCTAGAACTAGTTGAAGTATCTAACTGATTATGTATAGTGAATATGCATATACTTGTGTCTATACTAATTTTTAACTTACCATGGAGTAAAGATGCCAGACTTCCTTTGGGCATGTAATCAAATGCAAGAAGCTTCTCTCCTTTGGGACCCAAGTAATAGGCCCTAAGGGCAAGGAGGTTTGGATGGCGAATCTTTCCAAGTGCAGCAGCCTCAGTCTCAAACTCCCGCTGTCCCTTTGTAGTCTTCTCCCTCAACCTCTTCACAGCAACTTGATTTCCATCTTCTAAAGTTGCCTTGTACGCTGTACCATAAGTGCTCTTCCCCATAATCTCAGCAGTGGCACATAATAGATCATCAGCTGTAAAGACAAATGGACCATCAAAGTGAACTAATTTTCCACCCATTTCACCGCCCGCTTCAACTTCAGTGCCTGCCACAGGAACTGCCTTCTCCGTTTTTCCTATGGCAGCCCCCATTTTGCCACTCTTTTGTTTCAAACTAGCCTTTTTCTTAAGTAAGCAGCAGAGTAAAATGCAGCATAATGTTAACAGAATCGCTAGAAGGCCGCCAACTGCTATGAGGATGATGTCCTTGATACTAAGTTTTCTGTGATGGTGTTTGGGTGCCTCCACTGGTGCAGGTGAAAGATTGACAGCAGCAGGAGATGGACATAAGGTTGATTTTCTGTAGCCACAGAGCTGAAGATTGCCCAGAAAAGAGCTTGAATTGAATTTTTTGGCGAGGAGAGATGGGACAGCACTAGAGAGATTGTTGAAAGAAACATTGAACTGACTAAGATTGGCTAGGCTGGCAAGTGAATCCGGTATTTCTCCAGTAAAATTATTTCCAGATAAATCTAATTGGTAGATGCCAGATATGTAGCCAATAGTTGCTGGGATATGGCCGCTCAAATTATTATTTTTGAGGTTGAGCACTGTAAGGTTTTGCAGATTGTCCAATGCTTCTGGGATTTTGTTATCAAGGCGATTGCCCTCTAGATTTAAAGAAACAAGAGAGGAGAGGTTGGCAAAGCTAGAAGGAAAGCTCCCATTGATAGCATTGCTTGATATGTCTAGCATCTGGAGTTTTGATAGTTTCCCTAGTTCATAAGGTATGGTTCCAGTAATCTGGTTATGGCTTAAAGAAATGTGTTCAAGTAAACTCAACTTGCTCAGGGAAACTGGAATTGTTCCAATGAGGAAGTTTTGATCAAGGGTCAAGAACCGAAGTCGGTAAGAATTGTTTCCTGTTCCAACCCAAGTATCTGGAATAGAACCAGAAAGATTGTTATGTTGCAAAGCAAGAATAGAGAGAGAAGGTGACCTGGTGAGACGAACTGGGATGGAACCCAACAAAGAATTGTAGCTCAAATTAAGTATATATAACCTAGTAGAGTTGGCAAGACTAGAAGGAATTGTACCGGTTAGTGAATTGTTACTCAGATCAAGAGTTTGAAGAGCAGGACAATTACCAACTGAAGGAGGCATGGAACCTGAAAGACGGTTGTTGAAGAGATACACTCCTCTGAGATTAGTGAGAAACCCAAGAGACCAAGGAACTGGACCGCCAAGAACATTATCGTGGAGGCTAATCTTCCTAAGAGCTTGAAGCTGACCAATCTTCTCGGAAATGCGGCCACCTAGTCCCCTCCAAGGAAGTTGGAGAGCGACCACCTGTCCCTTAGAACACTTGATTCCAGCCCACCTACCTGAGCAAGCTCCATAGCCGCTGTCATTCCAGCTGCGTACGAATCCTTTGAAGTCGATGAGTTCGCGTTTTATGGCTCGAAGAGCTTGATAATCAGCTTGGGTTATAATTACCCCATCCCAGTGCTGGCCTGAAACAAGCTGAGACGAAAATGGTAGCAGGAACAGAAACAAGCGAGCAAAGAGGAAGAGCTTGTTTCTAGACACAAAGGGGGATATAAGTTTCTTATGTGGTTTTATATTCCATTTGGCCTTCTCCGAATCTGAAATATACTTTTTAAGCATAGATAGGAACAGGTATGAGCAAGATTCAATGAAGAGACAAGTATTTTCCATGAAAATGCAAGGGAAGCAGAAGGAAGGAGAAGAGATAAATTGGATATCCTCGTCTTTTATCTTCTCTTTTCCTTGTTTCCCTTTATAGATGCAGATATGAGATGAAGAGGACAAGGGTGTTTGGAGAAAGATGAAGAAGAAGAAGATGAGAGCGTAAAAGCGAAGTAAGGAGAAATAAAAAGGGAAAGAAAGAAAGAAAGAAGTAGGGAGTCTTGTTCTACTGCGGGAGACAAAGTCAGTAGAGATGGGAGTGGGAGGGGGTCTTCATCATCTAACATAAATTCTAACGGCTAGTTTAACTTCCATACCATAAAAATTGGTCGTCGTCTTCTTCACCTTAAGAAGAATACGGGGGGTTAGTTCTTGCTGTAACGGCTATATTTCATTGGACCCACGTCATGTTGTATTTTATAAAGCTAAATTCACATGCCACGTGGATATGTCATCCCGCCGCAGTCTTTGCCGCTTTTCTCTATAGTTTAAGAGATCTTTCTCCTGAATCTCAAAACATAATGGCTACAATTGGGATTTGGATATGGTGCTAGACTGCTAGTACTTTGTATCTACAAGGAAGGAAGGGATCTCATTTAGCATATTTGCTCTTAAAATTTATCAGAATCACGAAAACAGTAAGATCAACGCCTATTAAGATTGATTGAAGTATCTGTTTATGTAATGATCGGATCCCTCCATCGTCAAGAAGAAGGGGCAAAAGGTATTAAATCAAACCATAAAGGCATTAAACCCAACCACAAGACCAATTCTGTACTTAACAATGCTTGGTCATAGGACCAAACTACAACATTCAACCATCCTAATTGCACATCAATTAGAATGGTCAAAAAGTATTAACAAAAAACAGTGAATTGATTTGATGCACATTTTTATCCCATCCCACAAGAGTTCAACACAATTGCATGACCATGATCACAACTATCATCAGATTAAGATCTGTGCAACAAACCATGACAAAAGCAAGAGTACAACTCTGATCCCACTACTAATCTTTAAATGAAACCAATTCATTCAATTTAACAAACAAGATTCACACCTTCGACAAATGATAAGCACAAACCATGTGGGAAAAAGAATCCATATAGCATTTTCATTACAAGAATGGACAAGACTGAACTCCCAATAAAAGTCATTCTAACAAAGAAAATCAGGAAACGATTAACTAAAACAAGAATATTAAAGTATAAATTCAAATGTCATTAGATGTTTTGAGATCATTCTAAAGGTTGACCCATCAACATGTGTACACATAACTGCATCAGACTGGGGCCACCATGATCTATCATATTTAATAACTTTCCTGAACATAAAATTTTCAGTTGCAGTGGAAATTAATCTATCAATAGTTCATAATTAGCATGAAACTCTGTGTAAAGGAATTCAGAATGGTAATGTTGTAATTGGCAAAGATATTGCAAGAGTTATCTCAACCAGTATGCCAGAGCACCAGAAACCAGTAAAGAAGACCAAATACTCATCCTCATCCACATACATGAAACTGCATAGCCACAGTTTTTTTCTAACAAACAACATACCAAGAGAAGCGGGCATCTGGAATAAAATCTGATATACCTGATTGCAGAAACCTATAAGCATCCCTTCCCGACCCTTTAACCCAAAAAGCGAAGGGAATTAAATTCTCAATGCTAAAAAACACTGAGGGCCCATATTCAAAACATCATCCCTGATTTATAACTAGAGAGATCAACCATGAATATCATAGTAGAATACCCCACTGGGCATCATGCAATTTGATCTTTTTACCCTATTTCATATGTCTCAGGTTGCCAGTTGCAACAAATAAAGAACACTACAATTTGTTAGAAGAATCAACCGTATGCATACAAGCCGTATAGAAAAAAGTATAAGCGCCATTAAAATGCATAACAAAGAGCTGATTACGACTAGCTTTCGGTGACTTTTAAATTAACTGATTCGGGTGATTAAATTATCCTGTTTCTAAATGCAAAGAGGAAACCTTATAGGAAAGGACATATAATCATGATCTATGCACAGATCTGACACTAAGGATTCTCATAAAGTTGTCATAAACACATTCACTAGATACAGAATAAACGATATGATTTCTACGTATGATCTGTGCCAATAAAATGGATTACAACTTTGAATCATGGAGTCTCAATTGACGCACCAGAATAAAGTATCTAATAAACCAGATCCAAATACATTTCATCAATATTAACATAAACCCTATTTCATAAAATGGGAAAATTTTGCAAAAATTTATTGTCCAAAAAAAGGGAAAAATTGAATCAATCACAATTGAAGCGATATTGTACTATCCCTAGAGAACAAGATTCAGAAAGACGGATGATTGGATCAGATTCAGACACGAGCGGCAACAGCAGGGGCAGCGGTAGCAGCGGCATTGGAGGCAGCACCACCTAGGAAGGACAAGAAACCAGTGGCTGCTGGTTCTTGCTCGTCCAAGAAGAGATCCTCTGGGACCCTGAAGGCACCGTGAGCACAGACGAGTCCGATTCCAACCATGAGAGCAGAAATGAGAAGAGATCCAACAGTGGTGAGGAAGACAACGAAGACGCTAAAGATGATGAGGATACCGAGGGTCTCGAGATCGGAGAAGGTACGGCCGCAGATGACGAGAGGCTGGTCAGCAGGGCGGAAGAGGTAGAGGAAGATCCAGGAGCAGAGGAGTCCTAGAAGGAGGAGAAGGGAAAAGGGGTGGGATAGAAGCGAAAAGGCAAGAATGAGACCAATCAACGAGAGATAATTGACTCGGAAATACGAGTAATTTTTGCGGACACGGAGGGCGGCTTCGGAGAAAGACTCAGGCTTGGAGAAGGCGGAACGATCAGCAAGTTCGGCCCAGGGACGACGCTGTGAGAGGCCGTTACGGAGGGAATCATAGAGATTGGAGATAAAAGTGCGAAATGCAGGAGTGGCGACGGGTGGTTGGGATTCGGATTGGGCAGTGGAGATTGGAAGGACGGGTGGAGCTGAGGAGGACATTGCGGTTGGGAGATGTTTAGGAGGGCCGGAGAATGGCTGTTTTATTTGGTAAATTGATTGGGCAAGAGACAGAGAGGTTTTTGGAGTGGGGATTTAGATTTCGACTTATGGCGTAGGGGGAAATAATGAGAGAGATGGGATGGGATGGGATAGGGGAACCAAATTTTGTGTGTTCTTCTTCGTCGTTACGGATCGCCGACAGTCATCGCAAATTAATTTCGCTTCATTCTTACGTTCTTCATCCACTCAAAAGTTGACACGCCATCACTGACTCTGTTTTTTCTACTGTTTTGGGTCGGTTAATTTGCCAAGCCCAATAAGAATTGGTACAAACAACAAATAAACTAATGAGACATCTGTTTCCGACCACCCTTTTAGCCCAGGAGGGACCGCGATTATCTTAACTTTTTGGGCTTGTTCATCTGATTTATCCGTTTTATCCCTGCACCAACAGTTTTATGATTATTTTATATATAATATATATATATATATATATATGCGTGTGTTTGTGTATATTGAACAACCTAAATTCATTCAGATCAGAGGGACTACATATGATTTACAGGCAAGGACTTGCTAAGCAAATGTAATGGATCAGTGAGTGACGAGTTCTGAACCAAATTATCGTTCCACCACTTGACACCATCGGTTCCCTAAACCCTTCATTCATAATCATAATGTACAGTTGCAACCCCACCTTTTTTGTTACTTCACAGTCACATAAAGGAATTAGCCACACCAAATGTGAAACTAAGCAAAGTATGATCATTGACTTTCAAGATTGTTAGTATTATACACCAGCAACATTAGCCATCATCTCTCAACCAGGCAACTAATAGATCAGTCAGTATGTGAAAGAAGATAACTTTCTCAACTTCTATGTAGGTTGTGCTTACATGCATCGTTTGCTCTGTGTATAAACCACCACCGATCCCATTATTGACATGAAATAGCATCATGTAATACCCACCAGCCATAGTATGCCTTGTTCTAGCAAACTGACACTCTACCTAATCTGTTTAAAATACCTGTGCCTACCTAGCTTCTCGACAAAGAGCAGCATACCAAATTTTTTCTCCCACTAAACCCCTAATCTTATCATGAGCCATGACCCCTCAATACCTAAGTTAAACAGCTGGGCTCATAGCTCCTCCTTGCACTGTGCAAGAGAGCTTGTGCAAAAATACCCATGGACACAACAATATGAAGAACCTAGAACATCAATCCAAGCTCCACATCCAAGAAGATTAAAAGAGATAAAAGCAAAAGGAGAAGCTACGAGGGTATAAGAATGAGCTCAAAACTGTCGCTATAGCAGTATAAACCATAGAGCAGATAGTTAAACATCATCTCGAACAGATCAAAACAGTAGACTGAATTATGTGCCATAATTTAATATAGGCTACTGCCAAGATAACATAAAGTTCCATGCCAAATTATTATGCATTAACGTCTGCATATCATGTTCCTAAGAAAACACAGAGATAAACATGATACCATGCCAAGCTTTACCAAATATTTTCTACACTAATTCACCATAGAAATAGAGCATTCAGAACGGACAATATCAATTTTTTCAGAAATTCATTACATGCCAGACTCAGAAAGTGGATCCATTCCATCCAAAGTTGGAACCCTGCAAAAAAATCAAAGTATCAGCACTCTCAAGCAGCAAGTGCCACGAATGAGCACTAAATATTATCACAGGCCAAAGAAATGGCATCAATTGGACTAACAAGAAAGCTAATGAGAGCAATGCTCACAGTATGAAACAGAAAAGACATATTTACATTATCTAGTGCTGGTGTAAAGCATGCAAACACTGTGCATATTCTTGGCTTTGATGTGCCTAAACAAACAGGGAAATGCAATGAGTAAAGACAAATAGATGACAATGACCCATCCTCTTGAGAATTAACAAAGAAGAGATAGCCTGCCTTAGTATCATAGAATTTGAGGAAGAACCGTGACTTAGGCACTTGCAGTTTGGTTTCAAGTATTGCAGCAATTGCAGCACTTAATTTCTTGTTCACATCTGGATTAAGGCCACCAATGGATACCAACTCGCCATAGGCAGCAGGCTGCTCAGTACCACCAAATGACATGGGCACTGAACCCTTCAACACAATCATCACATACTGCATATCAAGAGCCATATGTTACATGCCATGGACGAACATGCAAGACTGAGAACAGTATAATGTTGCTTCTAGCTTGCTAATAAGAGGCAAAAACAACAAAGGAAGAGAGCAAGAGTATTTGAATAAGAACATGCTTGAATCAAGTGTTGTAAGAGATGCCAAGTGTCTAACAAAGCCATTCACAAGTCTTATAAAAAGCAAATGAAAAACTGAAAACATGTAGAACAGTAAAGCATTTACTACATGCTTGATGAACTACAATGTACACAAGTAAAATAGAGAAGATGATGGTAACTATTATGATATGAACATGCAGAACTCTTCAGGCATCGGCCAGTATCCAGCCTAAATTTGATGAACTTCTTATGTTACACTTGGAATGACGTTCAGAATTGAAAAAGGCGAAAAGATAATTTAAAAACAAACGAATTCGCGCACATGTATATAAGCACGTATCAACAGCCTCTTTCAAACAAGAAACAGAAGCAGAGTTCAGAATAATGCATTCATACCTGTGAGACAATTGAATTGTTGCTCTTTTCTGCAATTTCCAATTGGAAAAAAAAAAAAAAGGTGAAGAATCAAAGGTACTATTTAGCTTAGAAGCTCCACGATAAGATATGTATCAACAAGTCTTTCTTTAAAGGGATCTTAGGACGATACAGTGCAAAAACAAAAAGTCCCGGTCTTAGCGGCTACTTAAGCAAGCAAGCATGCATAAGCGTAGTACCCTCTGAAGACCCCATTCCAAAAAAACAAAATCCTTAAGTGGTAAAGGGTTTTACCAAGTAGGATACATACTATGCACCCAACACCGAGACTACAGAACCATACCAAGACCGCAGTATTTCCCATTTTAATAAAGAAATTATTAAATTAAAGATTCACAAATTACATTCCGATAAAATAGAAATCGAAAGTTGTAATAAAGAGAAGGGAATCGAGAAACATACGGCCTCAGGTTTGCCGATGAGTTTGGCAACCGTAGAGGTGGCTTCAGAGAGGATGGCGGAGGTGTCAACGTTATCCAGGTTCACGTTGGTTGAAAGGTTGAGGCAAGGCATCTTCTGTTTCCCAGCAGTGACTCTGGACTCTTCTCTCTTCTCCAACTACTGCTGCCACAGGCGCCCACACCGATTTTCGACTCTCTAGCTCCGCTATCCCTATCGTAAAGCGGCATCAGGAGCAACACAACTTTCTAGTTACCCAAAATACCCCTTCAATTCCTCAGCCAGCCAATGGGCCACCGCTCCTCGTAACCGAAGCTAATGTGGACCCTTAATATTTAATCTGGCAAAAGCACTGTGGGCTTGGCTCTATTCTGTCAAGTTTTTCTAAGCCCGTAAAAGAATAAATTTGTATGAAGTTATGCAATTTTGCTCATTCATAAAACGGTTTATTAACTAAATGTAATAATATTTGATTTTCTTCAAAAACTACATCTAATTTTAGTAATATATATATAGATATTTTTTTTATCAAATATCAAAGCCTCACATTGTTGAGTTGCTTTATTGATTGTAAGTTTGTACTACCTCCATGGGTAATATATAGGACAATTAATGCTTTTATTCCTAATTAATTTGATGATTATTTAAACCAAATTGACTTGTTTATATATGTATGTACTTGTCTCCAAGCTTAGACATACATAGCCAACATAAGTCACAAATGCAAATCCTCTGTCAAAGTGTAATGGCTCTTGATTTTGCATCAAACCATAATTTGTTTTTTATTGGACAAATTGAGTAGTTTATTAAATAATTACATTGAAATATCGCTTACAGAAATTGAAACGCTACTTTTGTAATTTATTCGTAACATATTGAAGGGAATTATATTTTGGAGGTATTGCGGCCTGCCGTTGTGTCATACACTTCGAGAAAAAATCGTGTGCTGGGAATACTAAACTTGTTCTCTAAAATGGTTCCCAGTGTGGCAATCAACCTCCTCTTCACTTCTCTATTAATGCCGCCCATTGAGACTACCTCAGCGTACGCAGCTGGTTCCTTGTTCCCGTTAAACGATATTGCCACCGATCCCTTGAGAATGACCATCACGAACTGCATGCATGGATTTAATCATAAAGAAATCAAAAACAAAACCAAACCAAAGTCTTATCCAGTTCCTTAAACTAGATTTTTCTTTGGTAGCTAATCTAAGTAGCTAGGGACTAGGCATAGGAGCATGTTTTCGCCAAGTGAAAACAATAAAATATTTATCCAAATATCAGGTGAATTTTATCTGGAAACGATGAGTGGAACCAAAGGCAAAACTGGAGAAGTGTACGCATCGTTGCAAAATTACTCCATATGATTAATATTATTGACTAGTATCTTCTATCAAATTAAAGGTTGTTCTAACTTGGAGGCTCTTGTTGTCCTGAATTTATCATTTATAACCAAAGTTAAAAAAAGTCAGATGACTAACTCATCCGAAAATAGAACCCTTTTTCTCCTTTGACTTACCCTACATATATTAATATATCAGTATCCGAAATATTTACGCAAGCCCATCTAAAAAAAAAAAAACTGAACATCGAAGTAAAATTAATCTGCGTGGTCTGGAAAATGGAAAAAGGAAAAAGAAAGCAGGAAACACAATAAAAAACACAAAAATCTAATAATGCCCTCTAAAAGTAGGTACTATATATAGGAATAGAAAGAGTAGAGAAAGCAAAGGGGAGAGAGAGAGTTTACATTTTCAGGTTTTCCGATGATGGAGGCGAGGGCTTTAGTGGCTTCGGAGAAGATGGGTCCAGTGTCAACCTCATCCAAGTTGAGGTTAGTTGAGATGTAGAGGCAAGGCATCTTCCTTCCTTTTTGGTCTGCCCGCGCTTTTATTATATCTATAATTCTTTCTGAGTGCTAATCTTATGCAGCAATGCACCTAAAATGGTTTAAGGTTCTAAACATAACAACAATGCTTCACAACCGTTGCCTTTATATAGCGAATTTTGCATATATAGGAAATGGCCTTTTATTTAGCGAATTTCTTTTACGATGATATTTTACTACTTTTATATTGGGGTAATGGAAAATAGAAGATGTGGCAAGCTGCGGTGTGGGTATCAATCTTGGACGAATTTGGGTCTCCTGGTCCTGGACCAGTAAAGGCTGCACGGTCTAAGAGCTGGACTTAGGCTTTTGTTTAGACAACAATGGACCGGACTTCCGCTTTGATTATATTATTATATACAACACCGCTGTACTTTAAATTATGATTTCATTTCATGGACTTGGCAGAAATAAAATATATGTCCAACTAAGAAAAATTATATAATCAAACTTTATTTTGTAATACTATCCTGCTGTTGAAGAATGGAAGAAAGAGTTAACTCATAAATGTTGTTCAAATGAATCTATATTATATTCTTTAAAGGTAGTTAAAATTTGAATTTTATTCATTACAAACTCAAATTAAATTATAGATATTGATAGAGTTTTTCGTACGAATATGAAATCATAAGTGATGTTTTGATTTAGTGTTAAAATTTTAAAGTATATAATTTTGATATGGTTTTATAAATATTTAGTATGAATAAGTTGAACTTGAAAAGATCAATTCAAGAAGGAGAAAAAAATTGCCGCTGGGAAATTAAGTTTAAGGCATCAAACATCAAATGTAACATACTAGTTATAAAAAAAAAAAGAAAAAGAAAAAAAAGAAGCTATAAATCATAAGACAAGCAGTCGTATTAATACAAAACTGGTAAAACCACATAAATATAAACATGTTACATCAGCTCTCCATTAATCACATTAAAAGATTATTCTACTATTATAAGTGGTTTGAATTGACTAATACTATTGTAAGATTCACGTGTTAAAAAATAGCTACTCTTGATTTTCTTGAAAGCTTTTTCCTCATGCCATTCCACTGCCAATATAAAACTCGGAACAAAAAAATTTGGAAATTGGAAAAGATCCATGATTCCACCAGTTTGTAATTTTAATATTTTTTACCTTCCTAAATCGGAACTGCATTAACTGGTCTAACTTTTCGGGTAAAGTTTTTAAATTTTACTAAGACGTTTAAAGTTATCACATGTTCAATTAAAATATGTTTTAAATTTTTAATAAATTAAAAGATATATTTTACTAATTTTTTTTTTTAAAAGAAAAAAAACAAGTATATGATAACATTTTATTTTTTGAAAATCTTCATTAAAACTTTCCTTGCGGTCTTATGCACTTGAGTCAAACTCTTTTGAGTTAATTAGAAATTTTTTTTTTGTTAATGCATTAATTAATCTTTATAAAATAAGATGTATTAACATATGAATTTTTTTTTTTAAAAAAAAAGGGAAATTGGAAATATTGTTATAAAAAGTAAGTAGTAATGCTGTATATTTTAATTAAGAAGGGAACCATTGAATTGATGAATGGTTGGTGGAATAGTTTTCTAAATTCCACAACCACTCCAATAAAGCATTTGATTTGCTTCAATTAAATTCTCACTTTCAAAACATGGGTTGCTACTTTTCAATTTTCTCACTTTTTCACTTACGTAAATAACAAACATAAATATTATTATTACCACTGACACTAATTTATTTCCCTAAATAACCTTACATAAATTTTCTTACTTTTGTAGCCACCTTTTCCACATATTCCTTGCATCCATCCATTTTAGTTTAGTGAAATGTATAGAAATAGGAAAATAATTATATGGTTTAATATCAGATTCGCAAATCACGTGTCCATTATGCCATCTATTAAAAAGCAAATCCATGTAATTGGGGAATTAAATTGTAATTTTCGCAAATTCAAAACCCTTCTCCATTGTCGCAGATGGAGCATCAAGTTATCAACTCAATCCAACAATCAACCCCTCTTCCCAAGCCTTACATTCCCTCTGATCCCTCGTTATCAACCCCACCACCTCCGATTTCACCCTGTCCTCACTCCTCCACGCCCTAACTCTCTCTCTCTTCAACACACTCGCGACTCTGTTTTCCTCCACCATTCTCTTAAGCACCTCTCTCCTCTCGCCCTCGACTTGATCCATTCCGGCTCTCTCCTCATGCCAACGAAAAGATTAATCCTTATGGAGTGGGAAAACTAGAGCTTCTATTAGCAAAATTACACAGGAGAATCAAGAAAAGGCTCATCTGCTTGTGCAAAGGAGAGGAGATGCAAATCTTGAACCTTAAAGTTGTGGCTTGTCTTTCGAGGTTGTCCAAAACTGAGATCTGCTGTTATGATACTACCATGAAAAAGTTGTCTTCCACGATTTCCCATGTAGAATTTCTCCACAAGGAGGGAGCTATTGAACCATCTCATTTTATAGTGATGAGGTCGGGAATTCACATTTGTAGCCCTCCCTTCTATCTAACACCCAAAAGCAATGATCATTTACGTTGAGGGCATTCTATAGGTATAGAATGCATGCTTGGGACAGAAAGAGAATGTTGCTTATCAAGTCAAAGCCTTGGGGGGTGTTCGAAATATGAACTTACATACCTGTCCCGGGAAAGAGATTTTTCTTTATAAGAGCCCTAAATTCTAAGTTAGTACACTTTTTCTTTTGTTAATATTGCTTTGGCATGACATTAGTTAAGGTACATACCATGTGCTTTATCAGAATCAAACACCAATATGTTGATAGCTTGAAGTTTGTTGGGTTAAATGAGAACTTGTTGCAGCTGCATTGTCCTCGAGTATGCGTAGAGGAGGAAGGGATGTGATTTGACAAAATATTCAACTTTGAGACTGGCTTATCTAATTGATTTATGAGTTTGTATTTTTCACGTTTTAACAAAATATATATTAGTTGGTTTCATCCCATGGACTTAAATAATTTAGCTTAGATAAGTGTTTCATCAATGGCCAGTGAAACTATTATATATACGCTTCTTCCACCTAAGCCATGCATGCTTTTATGTTTATAACTTCAAAAAACAATAGCTGATAAGAAGCACCTTTTACCCACAGCCTCGGTGGTTTTCACTTGCCAGCCCTCACCCTCCTTGAAACATTCCACCTGTAAACAGTTCAGTAAATTAGAAATCAACCACAACCAGTAACTGATGCACCTATAGAATGAATGGGACGTAAAAAAGGAACATACCGAGTCTACAATGTCTTCACCGGCTCTCAGACCTCCAATAACGTATATTGATCCTTTTACAACAGCTGCAGCTGCATATCCCCTAGGTTGGTTAATTGGGTCCCCACTTGTCCATGATCCGAGACGTGGATCAAATATTTCAACACTTGGAACCATTTTAGTACCATCAAAACCGCCAATAGCATATCTATCAAGGAAGCGTTTCTTGTTAAGAAGATAATTTTTCACTTCTATGGCCTTTTTGGATAATTGGGGTCAATATAATAACCAGAGGCATGTGATTGATTAAGAAATATCATGTACATTATGTGATGGTTCTGATCATATCAAGGAAGCTGAGTAGATAATAGCATTAGTTCTCTGGAAAGAACGGGAAAAGGTTACTTCTAAGGCAGAGCATAACCGTGAAAATGCTAAGGTATGATAAGAGCAGTCTTCCAGATTTGTGCCAGGCACAATAAAGCATTTTGTTTTGGATTCACAAACTGGGCTAGACTAAAGTAGCTCTCAAACTGCCAACTGAAACTAATACTATAATGACAATAATAATCACACACACAAAGAGAAACAAGCTTACAGTTTTTCATCCAACACAACCAGTGAATGGCAGCCCCTCTTTGTGCTCATGCTTGCAATTTTGGTCCACGAATGCTCTCTGGGGTCAAATCTTTCGGCAGAACTGACATAGTAGGATATTTCAGTCAACTGTCAATATTCATGGCTTGGGTGAATGGCCCCGCAAATTAATTCATCAATAAACAACAGGCTTCATGAATGGAACCATGTGTGCATGTTTACAGACATATAACAGCCTATGGCAAAGAAAAAAACAAAGGAAAATGGCATGACAACTTACTTCAAGTAATCATTCCCATCATATCCACCAGTAGCATAAATTGCACCATTAAGTTCCATGGCAGCAAGAGCAAATCGCTGTAAAACCAAGTTCAGATAAAATTTAACATTAATAACTTATATATATGTGATACATGTTACAAAAGAGTTGCATAATTTAAGAATGTTGAAAGCATGCATGCAAGAATATGTATGAGGGATAGACACATAAAAGGAGCATAAAAGCAAGATGGAGGCACACCATGCCCTAAAAACCCAACAAAAGATGACTCCTCACTTCCTCAAGTTACCCAAATTATAAACCCACAGTTAACCATATTATTGCATTTGATGGGAGACATTAACCATATTATTCCATTTAATGGGAGACATCACTAAGAAATTGAGGGTACACTTGTCCTCAAATAGAAATTTTAGTATTTATTGTGATATGCTTTTAGCTATTACTGCCTACTTGAAGGATATACTTCAAATATATACTTATTACCTCTCTCAATAGAGGAACCAGATGATCTGTTTTTTCTATGACAGGAAAATGTCAAAAACAGATTCTTTTACATTAACCAAAAGGAAAAAGTCAAGCACTACATTCACCTTTTGTAGCATTGAGCGAGCGTTGATCCATCGTCCGACAACAAAGTCAAGCATTTCAACATCTGAAAAGCATTCAACCCCATTCCCGCCGCCAATGGCAAATATTTTGCCATCCAATGCAGCTCCAGCTAAGCTTCCCTTTTTCTCCTTTAGCGAAGGGCAGAGGGTCCACTGATCACTTGATGGGCTGTATGATTCAACTTGACAAAAACATAACAGAAACATGAGACATAAGAAAATTTACTTAAAAGAACAATAGGATTTTAGGACAAGCTAATACCTGTATCATACCATGAATAACCATCACCTCCGCCGAAGACATAAAGCTCACCGTTCAACTGTGCAGCTGAAGCGTATGAACGGACAGAACTCATCGGTTGAACAGATTTTATCACATCTTGAGATGGGAAATAAGAATCCAGTGCTGACAACCACGATTCACCATCATATCCTCCCACTAAAAAAATTGACTCTGTAGGATCCAATTGCAGCTCCTCAGAGGGCTCAATTGCCTTTCCATTAACATGTTCCACAGAATAATTGGACAAGGATTCCAACATCAGACAACGATCTTTCAGCTGTTGAATTTCCATTTCTGCTGCAACCTGAAAAACCAGGGTTATATGTATTATCCATTCCACTGACTGGAGTTTTGCATGCACAATTTTCTGTTACTATTATAGATGCAGAGCAATTATAATTTAGGAGGATGAGAAACAAAACATAGGGTCAGGGACATTGCCATCAAGGTTATAATTTTGGATTAATTTGACCATAAATTAACTGAAAGAATGGATAATTTCAACCAGTGGCAGTGAGGCATACAATTGTTAGTCACTTCAAATCTCTCAAGATTGCCATGCATAATTATGATTAAAATGTGGTAGTGACCCTAAGTAGCCATCAGCTAAATTGAGGAACTAAACGCTACTATGTTTTCAGTTTCTTTAATATCATGCTTTCTTTAAATCCATCTATCTAGACGCTAGGCTAGGTACTACAGAAGATGCCATCAAACAACACAAATAATAGCAGCAAAAATAAGAGTCAGCAGAGTCAAAGTGATAAGAAGAATTTTTTAATAAAAACGGTTTGTTCTTTCAATTCTTTGTTATATATTATAAATCTTGTCAGAAAAGAAAAGAGATAAAAGGGGGCGCGGTGCAATTTGTACGAGTTTTTGCTCCATTTGAATCATCTTCACGCATTGTTCTTCTTTAAATGTCCTGAGCTCTTCAATCCCTTGAACCAACTACAAAATAAGAAGATAAATAAATTAGTGCAGAACGTTTTCTTCTTCTTTTAATTTTTTTTTTCGAAAAAAAAAAAAAAGAAAAGGACCAGATCTAACAGTCATTGGCCCAAAAAAAAAAAAAAATCCTTCCACTTTTCTTTAAAATGTATTTGAACAACAGAGTTTCTCAATCACCTGAGCTATAGTGGATTGACAATGAGATGAAGAACAGGCAGGGTCTTCATTCTTCTGCACCAAATCCATTTGCTCCCTTAAAAACCCCTTTTCTTCAAAGTGTGTCTCTTTCGTACGAGTGGAATCTTCCACATTTTCCGACAAAGAAACATCTTGATCTCTACGCTTTTGAGCCAGTTCTTTCAGTTTAGTCAAAATAAGGTCTTTCTCATCTTGTCCTGTTGTCTTTGCATCTACCTGAGTTTCCAGCGAATCAAAAGGAGCAGAATCTGTAGAATCTGATTTTCCACTTGATTGACTAAAATGCTCAACCTCTGAAGCTGAGAACTTAAATCCTTCATCTGCTACTTTTACTTCATCAAAATAAACATCTGTATCCAATTTTCCACTTGAGTGATTAGAATGCTCCATCTCAGGAGCAAGTGGTCTAAATCCTTCACCTTCACCTTCCCCTTTGGTGCAAGTTGAAGGAAGAGCTTGGAAGATATATCTCCACTTTGCTGTATTTTGAGGTAGATAAGTGCTTGGAGAAACTGCTAAAGATGCTAATAAAGACAGCAATTTACTTGTTTGAGCATGGTCTAACTCAAACCAGAAATGATTAGAACAGTAGTAATTGCCTGCAATAATAGGCCTAAACTGTTCTTCAAGCAGAGGTTGGCATTGTAGTCGAACACGAATCTGAACCTTAATTCAGAAAAGAAAAATATCAGTAAGAGAGGGAAAAGTATAACAATAAATTAAACATGAAGGAACTTTATAGGAGTACTTGCGCAGGATATTGCGTTTTCTCTGAACCATCAGTAGTCCATCCATATGGGTTAATGTTCATCTGACCATGGCTAGCAGCCTCAAAGATTCCGTGTAGCTTCCGATCACTGTAGTTGAACAGAAACAATGGCAATCCTGGATCTATGTTCTTAACATATGAAAAGTGTTGAGAAGGTAAGCCTGATAAAACCAGAACAACAATTACCATGGCACTTAAAAAGTTCATTTGCAAAAAGAAGAAGTCCAAGGAAAAAATATCTATGAGTGAACTTTCTTAACCAAAAAGAACCTCAATTTAATAGGATTGAGAAACAGCAAGGTAACTGAGAAACAAGTGCTGGGAAAAATGCATCTGAAATGAAGATGACATACCAAAAAGCTGGCTGGATAGACACTCTTTGTAGGTGCTGTTCTTGCAACCAAATATGACACCCCCTAGCTGACTCTTCCTCAGATTTCTAGCAGCCACAATGCTGTTGGTCAGATTTGGAGTAGAAGGTGCATTTCCATTAACTGGGAAAGTCTGCGGTTTCCTTCCCGCCAGCATTCTGTGATCCAAATATGAATTAGAAAAGAAGAAGCTTTTATGATCAGAGATTGTTAATAGTTCAAATCAAATATATGAAACAGACAACTTGATTCCACCCTAGTTACACCAGTGCTAAACAGTAAGCAAAGTTGATAGTATAACCATATTTTATACATGCTGAGATCAGTAAATTCCTAATGATTAAAATGAAGAGACAATATAAGAAGCACAAAAACCTCAAGCAAACGGGTCATGATTAATTCAAGAAATAATTTTTAATCACCAAAATGAAAAAAAAAAAAGAGTAAAATTTCTCAAATTTGGCGTATAATAAACATACTTTACAATTCCATGGTGTTAAGAGACAGCAGCAAATTCATTAAGCAATGTATTATTGGCAAACCCCCAATAGAGAAAAAAAGCAAAAACTTTTTTTTTAAATGAGACACATTGGCTGTATTATTGGCAATCTAAATCTGCATTTAGTAGATATCAGAATGTTAATAAACCAATTAAAAGGCAATATCTGAGCGATCAATAAACCCTAAAGACAGCATAGCTAAATATATATATATATATATATAGTGGTGGAATTCAGAGAGCCAAAACACCTTCAGAATCAAGTCTAAAAAACACAATAGTAATTTTATTTAGAACAACATTAATCCATTAAATGCAGAAGAAAAGAAAAAAAAAAAAAAAAAAAGAACCGCTCGGAAGAAGAAGAAGAAGAAAAAAAAATAGGCTCTGCAGTAAAAGAGAGAGAAGCGTACAGTGGAGAGTAACGTTTGAGTGACTGTTGGGTTTGCAGCAAAACACAGAGAAAGGGTTGGAGGAGAAACAAGAACCGCCTGGCCTGCTCTCTTCTATTCTGTTGTACTTTTAACAAAACAAAACGAAATATTATTTAAAGAAGTGCACATCTACTTTTGATAAAAGATTTTGATTAATTAAGTAAACTGAAAGAGCAAATAAATTGGAGGATTGAAAATATATTTATTTATTTAATTTTTTTTTGTAAATAAAAAGCAGTACACAGTTTTTTTTTTTTAGCTTTAAACATAAAAATAAATATGAAGATTGGACATGTCATGCTTTAGGCATGAAGCAACGCATATCGTCTTAATTTCCGACTTGCCTGCCTGGCCTGGCCTGGCCTGGCCAGGCCCTGGGTTGCTCAAAAATGTATAATTTTATTTTTTTTATTAATTTCCTTCCTTGAGATCGATTGGACTCCAAAGGCCAGAAAAGATAATAGAGAACCATGCTTCCTCTCCCACAGACGACAATGGATCAGCCCATGCCCTCATATCGTGAACTATGGCCCAAACATTTCAGAACAAATACCCTAAAATCCATCATCTAAGGACTAAGGAGTCCTAAATTTATATTATTATTTATATTACATAGAATAAATATGCACCCAACAAATTGAATAAACTATAACATCCAATGAATATCAAGTTTTGGATGAAAAGAAAAAATCTTAGCCTGCTATGCACCAGAAACGGGTATGGCCTATGGGGAACTTTTGCTCTTGGAAATATTTACGTTCCTTTCCGTAAAGTCATCATTTAGCGTGCACCATGAGAAACTCTTGAAAAATGGTGTTATTGGATATTCCATCCATGATCTTAACACCTGACGGAAAAACGCTTCTGATCACTCAACCAAAAGAAAAGACGAAACGCTTCTGACCATTCATATGCCTCAAGAGCATGATGATAGTATAGACATTAAAACAACACCTCCATTCCCCTTTCTTTTCATGCATACTGCACTATATTCTTCCAGGCACTGAAAAGTTGCTTCAAAGTGCATGCGAGTCTAATTAAATCACTGAGAAGTTCCCAAAACATGCACAACAATTGTCTAATAAAACCTGTGGCTGATTATTCTACAGCAATTAAATCATACATTTCGATATTTATTCTAAGAGTACTGAAGAAATTCAAATAACTGGCATCAAGCAACCTTTCATGTTTGACAATACCTATAGCTCTTGGCAACCCTAAGGTCATGGCCTGCAAGTTGCAGTTGCACTGACAATGTCTTTGACTAGCTTGAATTCTGATATACCCTGATTCGTTTGTCCGATTGTCAAAATTGTCCGTGTGTCGAACTACATTTGCACGTAGTTCAGGCCAGTCAGGCTCCACTATAACAAAAAATAGGACAAGGTGGAAACTTGGCTTGTCTAGACGGCTATTTCTGCATGGAGCTTTGGATGACACCAGAACTCAAACCTTCTCATGATCATGGAGCAAGGTCCAGACTCCAGAGTTTAGACACCAAAACTCCCAAGAGGCAAGGCATAGGATTAATCCAGTTATCGAAATTAAAAAGAAACATGTGGGAAATCCATAATAAAGGATTCCCGTATTTCACTGTAACCACTGGCCAAATGTTTTGGGGAGAAATTAAGTGATTGAATGCCCAATACAATCTCACAGTAATCATCAAATTTAAAGCTATGAACCTTCCATAAAGGGTAGGCAACAGTATCAGATTATCAACCTTGAAAAACTAAGCCTTGACCCTGATTACTCCATAATTAAGCAGAGTGGCGCTTTAAAATTCTCGTGATGGAGGAAGGACATTCTTTTTAGATGACATTGTATGAATCAGTTGTGGTTCATTATTTCAATTTTTTAGTGCTTGCATCGCATCTTCGTCTTATTTTAAATTTTAGATTACACATGGCATTCGATTAATAAAAGTTGGAAGGCATGTCCAAACTTTCTTTTGGAATTGAAGGTAGACAGTGATAAATAATTTAGTGTTTCTATACCTTTTGATCTTCATACATCTCTGCTGTGATCATTTGTCATAAATAATTAAACTAAGAAATTAATTGTTCATCCAGCAAATAAATAATAAATAAAAAAAGAAGAAATTGGGACTCTGATTATTGTTTAATGGAGTTCATTTTTAGTCCAAAAGTCAAAAGTGACATGCTCCAAAACCAAGAAAACAAAAAGTATAAGGATTATTTTGAATTTAACCTTGTCTTCTTTCCGCTTCCAATGTTTATCTGGGCTTAAACTTATGTCATGGCCTTTTTCGAGATTTAAGCTTTTCAAGTGCAAAAACACGGTGCATTGGCCATGGATAAGTGCATACAGTTCACATCAACCGATGCTTGCTTTATCAGGACAAAATTGGTAACTTGGTAAGCAGTACGAACAGGTTTAACCATTTTTTCAATAATAAACAAAAAAAACATTACATAAAATTCCAATATCATGTTACTAGCAGAACATTTAAAAAAAAAAACCTAAACCATTATCATGAAAGTGATTTCCCTATATCAATTTTTAAAAACAAATATTGCACTAATAGCATGTTAAAGCAAATATGAAACCAAACCACCATCATCTATAGCCCTGCTGGTATCAATTTCTACGAAGGGGCTAAAGAGTTTTTTTTTTAATGAAAATGAACATGTATTCCAACTAAACACTCTTGCTTTTCCCAGCCTTCGCTTTAATTCAGGCTGAAAGAGACAAAGATGTTGCTCAAGGACCCACACCGTTACAAATACGTATTTGATGTACAAAAATTTGAGCCAACAATGTCCAGTTGCACGTAGCAAAACGAACAAAAGAATCAGCTATTGTCCGAGAAGAACGACAGGACGACATCTCTGAGGCCAATCATTTTCTACATCTAGATTGAAGCATCAATGATGAAATAAAACTGACTGAAAATGATATTTCAAACTGACGGAAGTTTTGTTTTTATCCCATCATTTCAACAGAGTAGATTTAAGTGGGAGAGATCTGGCAAACTTGTGAAAACATAAAACATTTATGTTATCCATTCATCATTGAAGCAAACTTTATTATAGATACTGTAAATAATGCAATATATCCCTCTCCCGGAAATTACTAGTAATAGTACTGTATATTCCTGGAAAAATAGGAAAGCGGCAAAAAGAGCATGGGCGCATGGCATGCAATTAAGGAGGAGGACTTTGTTGCCTCCTCGTTAATTCATATTCACAAGAATAATTACTAGACAATTTGTAGTCAAAAGTAAATTTTTCAACAAATCTGGATAGCAAAAATTTTTTTCTTGAAAAAAAAGAACAAGATGCAATAATAGAATTTACCCCATTTTTAGAACTTTGTTGGAAATAAATTTCAGATAGGAAAAACAAAATATTCTGGATGAATCATTAAAAAGTAGAAAAAAGTTTACAGGGTATGAGTACTCGCTTCTCCACAGTTCACTCCAGACCAGGACCACTGAGTTTGACCAATAGCACCCACTTTAGGACAAGAAACAGTTCATTTCAATGGTTCAGCTTTCATTAACAAGCTTAATTACCATTAACTTAGGATTTACGTTCTCCCCACTCCAGAATTATATCCACGAAGGTCTTCTTGAAACCCACATGTCATGCTACAGATATACAGCGGTGTCTTTTCTATTGCAAGTACTGGTAGTATTTATCAGGCTGCTTTGTCACGAAAAGGAAACTAAGAAAAAGAAAAAAAGGAATAAAAACCCCGAAATTCGAACATGAAGAAAAGGGTCCCACCAAGATGAGAAAGTAGAGGGAAAAAAGGTCGTTCCTGGGGAACCCAGTGGAAGACCAACTAAGGCCCCGTGCCCCTCTCATCTCCCCTGAAATCCTCAATAATTACCAGGATTTCCGCAAGCCACCCGCTTTAGCCCTTTACCCTTTGCTCTCTTTTTCTTTTCCATACCTGCCACTCACGGGCTTAACTCGGCTCAGCTCAGAGCGTGAGACCACTCTCTACCCTCCTTAACAGGGTTTCAACATTTGCTGGCTGCTGCTGCTGCTTATGCTTTTTGCTCTGTTTTTTAAGCCGCCAGCTTTTGAATGTTCAAAAACCAAATTCGCCGCTCGTTGTTAAGGTGCTTTGATTTTTTTTTTGGGGGGGGATGTGAGAAATTTCTCTGTAAAAAAACTTTTCTCTTTCTCTTTCCTCTCATCTCGTCTGTCTCTTTTAATCCTCTCCTGGGTTGTTTCGGCATTGGTGTGTGAAGCACATCAGCAGTGTCAGTAGTCACTTTCTCTTACTCTGCAAACAAACAGACAATCCCAAAATTAATGTCTTCAAACTTCTTCTTCTTTATACTTGTAGCTACACTAATTTCATAAGTATCAAACAAATCCTTGTAAAACTCTGCATTGTTACACATATTCCATCGGGCTATCTCTCATAACTTCCCCATTCAATGGAGAATGCAGCCTCACCCATCTCCATTCCCGAGAAAACCCCTCCACGAAACCCACCAGAGGCCTGTCCAAAGCCTTACAAGAAAAGCTTTGTTACTACTCTGATGGAAGCCGCCACTCTCCGCTCTCCTTCTTTCAAGGAAGACACATACTTTATCTCCCATTTGAAGTCTTCTGAGAAGAAGGCGTTGCAAGAACTGAAGGATAAGCTTATGGCTTCTTATGGCCCTGACGGGGAATGCACCATGTGGGGAATCCCTCTTCTCGGTGGAGATGAAAAGGCTGATGTCATTTTATTGAAGTTCTTGCGAGCTAGGGACTTCAGGGTCTCGGATTCGTTTCACATGTTGGAAAAGTGCCTTGCTTGGAGAAAAGAGTTTAAGGCTGACAATGTTGCAGAGGAGGACATGGGATTTAAAGAGCTTAAGGGAGTGGTTGCTTATATGCATGGCTATGATAGGGAAGGGCACCCCGTTTGCTACAATTCTTATGGGGTTTTTGGAGACAAGGACATACATGAGAGAATCTTTGGTGATGAAGAGAAGCTGAAGAAGTTTTTGAGATGGAGAGTTCAAGTTCTGGAGAGAGGAATAAATCTCCTGCATTTCAAGCCTGGTGGGATTAACTCTATTATTCAGGTGACTGATATCAAAGACATGCCCAAAAGAGAGCTTAGGGTCGCATCAAATCAGATCCTCTCTCTCTTTCAAGATAATTACCCTGAAATGGTGGCTCGAAAGGTAATTAATGCTTATATAAATAGAAATGGCTGCCTCTTCTCTTCAAACTATTCTGGAGATTGTTTTAACTTTCCATTATCTGCTTTTTGGGTTTAGATTTTCATCAATGTCCCATGGTACTTCAGTGTGCTGTATTCAATGTTCAGCCCATTTCTAACGCAGCGAACTAAGAGCAAGTTCGTGATCTCCAGAGAAGGATATGCAGCAGAAACGCTCTACAAGTTAATCTTCTGGCTACATTTTATTCTTTACTTGCTTAGCTACTTTTCAGTCCTCTGCATTTCCATCTGTATAGATTCCACAGCTTCACTTTTTAGTAACACGTTGTCCAATCTCCTAAGGCTACTGGGTAATATTTCCTTATTTTCCCATCAACAGTTCAATGATCAAAAATTAAATTTTGAATCCCTCTCCTTTACCCTCATTGGTTTTCACTGTTGTTTTGTCCAGTTTCTAATATTTGTTTCTTTTAATAGCGTTGTAGTAATTTTGCCATTAAAAAAAAATCCTATTCTAGCTCTGCTAAAATACAAAATTTTGGTTGTTTCTTAGATTCATAAGGCCTGAAGATGTTCCAGTACAGTATGGTGGACTGAGTCGACCCAACGACTTGCAGAACGGTCCTCCAAAACCAGCCTCCGAGTTCACTGTCAAAGGCGGAGAGAAAGTGAACATTGAAATTGAAGGGATTGAGGTCAATTCTGTTACTCTTTATTAACTTTGATTTCCTTGGTCAATTCATATGCTACTTTGTGATTAAAGAAAAATTTTCATAATCTCTTAAAAGGGTCTAAACTTTAAGTGATGGTTACTAGGAGTAGTTGGGTAAAAATAATCTTGTGGGTGATTCAGGCTGGTGCAACCATAATGTGGGATCTGGTAATAGGAGGCTGGGATTTGGAATATAGTGCAGAGTTCGTGCCCAATGCGGAGGGCAGCTACACCATTGCAGTGGAGAAGCCAAGGAAATTGAGTCCTTCAGAGGAGGCCGTTCACAATTGCTTCACATCAAGAGAAGCTGGCAAAATGGTACTTTCTGTGGATAACACTGCTTCCAGGAGAAAAAGGGTTGCTGCTTATCGTTATAACGTCCGCAAACTAGCCCTGGTGTAGCTTCAATAGGAGTTTTAAGAGTATTTATCTTGATTTTTGTTTTATTTTGGTCTTTGTTCCTCCTTGAAGGGGTTAATTAATGGTTGAGAACTTTCATTTTTTCCACTCTACTTGAGAGTACTATGACAGCTTTTTGCTTTGTCTGCAAGCCTGTGATTCTTGAAAAAAGGGGTTTTGCTCACAGCTTAGCGAAATCAATCCGTATAGTGAAGAGAGATTTTGCTAGCTTTGTGTCGGGAGTCTTGAAAGGGAATTTGGTTGTGGTCACAATCTTCTGTTGATTTCCCAAAAAAAAATTGGCTTGCCTGGGTGCGTTTCAGAAGGTTTTGAAGTGGTGATGATGGGGGATTTCACATTCACAGTCGGGTTGACTGTGTGGCCAGGGCTGAATTGAGTTTGTTATACAGCTGGAGACTACTAAAATCACTTCCAACTATTTCTTTCTTGAAATTTGAATTGAAAAGGAGTTAGTAGGAAACATATCTGGGATTGTGCCCTTTTTAAAAAGTTAATTATATGTTGATTGTTACCATCTGAGAGGAGGCATGGAGGGCCCTGGGCCTGCAATCTGAAGCAGGGGCAAACAGGCAAAAGATTTCAAATTTCAAGGGTTTGGACTTTTTGGAGACGGCTTCTGCTTACTTCTAACAGTCCTTGACCTTATAGGCCAATGGTTTAATTGCATAACTTAGACGAAAGCCAACATTTTGAAAAATAAGGATTTATGTTGTAAGACCTTCAAAGTGGAAAATGAGACACCCTTCATATTATTAAGTACATCATTGTTTTTCACCCTTCTAATTTAAAACTTTAGGTCAAAGAAAATCCGCCAAGTGCTTGTGTTTCTTTTTAATTTTTAAGATTTTCTAGACTCCGCATGCCTGAATCTTGCCAAGTTGCATTGTCCCTGAACAACTTGCAATAAGATTTGGCGAAAATTAAGGCCAGACTTCCAAGAGATTATAGCATGGCTCATTTTCCTCAAAATTCATAAAGAACGGTATTTTTTTCTTATTACTTAAGAGTCGAATTCCTACCTTCTAAGTGTTATTATTATTTTTTATACTTTGAGAATTGAAATTAAGGATCCAACTTTTTGACAGATCACACAACTATTGATCAAATCACCCAAATGTTATTATTAGTTTTTGTTGAAAAATTTATGAAGAATACTAGTATCATTGCTGAAATTGCGATGTGACAATTTTCAAATGTTGAGACCATAGCAAACTAAATTTAGTTTCGGTTCAAATCCGGGCTTTTATTGAGGAAGTTGATCACGCAAATCCTTCTCTCGCCTGCTTACACTTCTTGGATCGACAAATTTGGAGTCCAATCTATCAACCCAGAGCAACTCACTTCTGGAAAAGTTACAATGAAAATTACTACGGACAATATCAAAGGATAAAATTTTAAACAAAAAATGATGAAGGCAAAGGCAAACCATTATCGTGTCATATAGCCAGCTGATCCACAAATTGGACGCGCCAGGTTTTAAAGGTTCCGGACTTGTCTTAACATGAATGAGCCATGTACCCAAAATGACCCACTATCTATATTTTAGTGCATATATATGTATGTGTTTTATAGCTAGATGCAGCTACAAGAAGCAAAAGAAAATGGCTCTGGCAACTTTTACATCAGAGGATCAAATTCAGGCTGCTGAGTGGCGACACCATTCCTGCAGTTGGGTTGGGCACTTGGAGATCTGGTTCTCAGGTGTAAACTCTGTCTTCACTGCAATTTGTGGGGGTAATGCTTCTCTTTATTCTTTATACCAAGTTTCAGTACATTGCAAACTTCGGTTTCATAATTTCTATCTGGGTCCAAGCCTCCAACTTTGACAACGCACATAATTACAACTGGAAACGATCATCCGCCCGTTCTAGGCCGAGTATGGATCGGGCTTTAAACTCACCCTATCAGAACTTGATATTGGAAAATTCGTGCTTTTTAAGTAATTTCTTTCCCTTGCTAATTCTGATTGATTCAATATTACATCAATTTTTTAACTAGTATGGTCAAGCTTGTTTTTATGCACATGTTCTTAATATCAGCTTGATAAATACTAACTCTCGTGGAATCTTTAATCATGGCTGCAGGCTGGTTATAGACACATAGATACAGCCTGGGAGTATGGAGTTCAAGAAGATGCATCCCTTCTTGCAAGACTCATTTTGCACGTTATTAAGTGTCCCAACTGCCCGACAAGCAAATCTCTTTGAAATTTTCTTTCTTCCTTCAGGTTGGCGGCCATGCAATCAAAGGCAGCAATAGACGCAGGACTTGAGGGAAGGGATCTTTTCGTTACATCCAAGATATGGTAGTAATATTTTGCGTGAATAAGTAAATACACATCTTTAATACTTTTCTTTAAGTTGACAAGTCTACACTAATGTGACTTTCTCTCATTCAAAAGTAAAAATGGATGAAATTTTCTTCCCATTCAGAATTAACAGTTGTGCTTCGTATACCGATGTACTCTATCTTGGATTGTACATTTCATGCATCAAACTTTTACATCTATAAAAGTGTACACATTCATCGATATCACATTCAGGATTTTTAAATAATAAAAAATAATGCTGAAATAATATAATGCTGTATACCACAATGAAAAACAAAAAATAGGCTTCAAAGCATTAACGAAGACCTTGAATTGATGAAAGGGAGTGAGCTCCCAAGATATTTAACCAATCTCCATAAAAATGGTCTCCAGCAAACTAGTACGTGCTACTCATGGACCAGGCTGTACCTAGATGTAATGACAGAAGAAAAGGTTTCATGCAGGATCTGCATATAGTAGCTTCAAGATGAACATTTTCCGTCGCCCAAAACTTTCAATGCAACTCAATCTCTAGATGCCACTAGTAAGAAATCAACTGCCAGCTTCTAGACGTATTAAAATAGCATAAACTTCCCGGTTAGCATAAATCATATAATAAAACTATACACGTGACATGCTCCTAGACATTTGTCAGGGAGAGATTCTGTCAAAAACCAAATGTATGAAATCTTGAATCAGAAAGAATTCAGAAATCAATTGCATGCTAAAAGCACAGAAAACTGTTATATGTACACTTTTAAGGCCTAAATGCGCAAACTAAGACTTAAGGAAGAACAATGAGACAGGCAACTATGTGATAAATTTTCATTTGCAGCTACATCTCTTAAATATAGGAATCTGGACAATAAATGAAACAAAAAGGGAAACTAGACAATAAAAAACATCAAAAAGAAAAAACTATGGGCTCTAAAGGGGAGAAGAAAAAACATTACAGAACATGCAGAGCTGCTACGAGTCACCACCACTGATGAACAAGCACACCACTTTCTTTGAGGGAAGTAAACAGTTCCAAGCATTGGCCGTAATTCCTCTCATATTTTGTACTCCTCTGACCAGGGCAACATCTCTGCCACCTATTATAATGGCATTCAAGGAAAATCTCATCAACCAGACAGATTGCTCCCGTTTCAAACAACCTCGGTATCAAGTCGAATTCAGTTCCTTCAACATCCATCTTCATCACCACAAAATCCCTCTCCCTAACAGTGCTCTTCAACCAGTCTGCAAAATCAAACCCCTGAATCTCATCAACCACATCATTTAGTTCACCTTGGCTCGATTTCACAGGTTGAATTCTGCCCATCCCTCTGCCTTTATCCTTAAGCTCATTCACTTCTTCCTGGCCAGGATCACGATTAATCTCAAAAGACAGTGTCTCATTCCTAACCCATGCTACATATGGCAACAATGTAACCAGCTTCTTCTTCGATTCATATTGTTCATGAAAAGCTTTGTCAGCCTCAATAGCATAGACATGAAAGGTTTTGTTCTGTTTGGGATATTGTTTCCTGAACCAGCTTCCAATACTAGAACCATAACTCCTAGCCCCAACATCAACATAAACATACCTATTCTTGAAACTTATATCAACCATTGATGGCAAATACTTTACATTCTTTATATTCCTTTTCAAGGTAATCCATGGCTTTAAGGGCTCCTCCTCAATCAGCGGCTCCGCCTTCTGGACTAGTTCCCGTTTATGCTCCGGAACGGAGCACTTATTATCAGAGTCACCATCGAGAATCTTTCTTTCCCCATGGTCAAGAATTTCAATCTCTTTTTTCAAAACAATTTCTCTAATATAAGGCATTGATGAATCAAAACCATCAATGTCAAGCATTTTAACTAGTTTGCAAGAATTGAACAAATCAAGAAAAGAATTGAAACTATACGTATCATTGGCCTTGATGTGGACCACCGCAAACCCTTCGAGTTTCAGGGTCCGAGCGATCTCTGATGCAAAATCTGACGGTCGAGCTGATACGTCGAGGCGGGCACCGCCAGAGAATATGAAGTCAAAAGTATTAGCATCGAACGGTATTTGATGCCCCTCCCCTTTAATTACCAAAGGCCTGGCCGCTTTCTTGAAAATCCCGATGGGGTCCTCCACGCCAATCTCTTTCAAGGCGAAAACTTCCTGTCCGAAGGGAGTCTCTACGCAGAGAGACTTAGAGTGAGGCGAGAGGTAACCCTCAGATATCAGATCTTGGAAAACCGAAGAATAGAAATGGACAGCCTTGACCCACTCTTTGCTGGTGTAGAGATCACTGCGAGGATTAGATCGGGGAAGGGCGTCGTTTCCGACGATAGCGAAGACTCCGGTGCCGGAAAGGACGAAGTTGAGATTCTGCGGCAAGGAGAAGAAGCAGAAGTCTCCGAGATTGCAAGATTCGCCGGTGATGGTAACCACATAAGCGAATCGGACGACTATGACGAATACACCAAAAAGAAGAGCACGCGCCAGAATATTCCTCAAAAGGCTCGGCTTCCCTGTAGTAGGTTCCATGGGAGTAGTAACTATACAGAGAACAGGCAATCAAAAAGGGGGGCTTTTCCCTGTTTGAAGTGTATCTTTTGTAGTCTGATTTTGATTACCAAAAGAAAAAATATATAAATGTGCAGAAGACGATACGAAGAGAGGGAGGTGGATTAGCGGGAGCAGAAGCGAGCAGAGGTATGGTTGGCTCCGACGAGAGTTGTGGAAAGAGAAGGAGAGGAAGGAATTGGGAAATAGAGATGGAAAGGAAGGGCAAAATGGGATTGCATTTTGTGGAGGGATTTGTATTTGCTGTTTACGGAGGGAGGGAGTTGGAGGCCATTGCTATCGCTGCCTGCTTGGGCTGCGGGATTTTGAGGTTTCCTTTTCGCGAGTGTTACTTATTGGGATTGTTGGGGGCGAAACATGAGGAAGAGATAAAATGGGTGAAATTTGGGATGGAATGGGAACGCCGCGCGGTGACCGGCACTATGAGGTTTCCACGCGGATAGAGCTGAGCTGGCAGCTGCGAGGATGGTGAGTTTAAAAATTATATTGCCATTGATTATCCTCTATTTGCCATCTTAATCCATTAATTAAATAAAAAAATAGTTTGGGAGTAAAGGAAACAGGTTTCATAATCAACGTACATCAGGAAAAACACTGCACGAGTTGAAGATAGATAGCCACAACCCAATAGTATCATGATTACTGAAGAACATGTAATTAATTACTATTACTTGGAAAAAGAAAAACGAAAAAGTACAAAAAAAAAAGACAAACTTTTCGTTTCTTTTCTTTTTTTTAATTTTGTTTCACGGCGGATCAATTGGTACGCATGCTGTGTGCGCGCAACTGACGCCGGACTAGCCGTCATTTTACTTTTGGCTGTTTTTGTCTTGTATTGTTAGTAAAAAAATACTCAGAATTCAGAATTCCGCTGTGATCCACTCTGAGGCCTTTCTCTTTCCGGCACCAACAGCATGGCGCTTTGTCTATACACATTCACTTCACACGTTTCTCCTTTTGGTTCAGTTGGTCATTGTCACCCGCCATGGCTGCTGCCCGGTGTAAACTGTAAATTAAGGATATGAATAAACATCAATTTTTGTTTTTGCTAAACTTCGCAAGACAAATTAATATAACCCTAATGACTAATCCATAAATAATTATTCAAGAAAAAGACTAATTCATAATTAGGAAATGCTAAAATTTATCCTGACAATTCCTAATAAAGAATATCACATTTTCAATTACCAATCGATTAATGATTGTTTTTGGGGATAAATGTGAAATTTATTATTTATCCAAAGTAGGTAGGGAATGAACCTGATACAAAAGACTGCTGTACATTAATGGATAAGAATTGTTAGAAAACCATTTACAAAAAGGTTACTTTTTTTTTTTGGTTCATACCAAAAGATTGCCATTCGATTAACGTTAAAAACCAGTTGAACATACAAAATCAAGGAATACTCGCAGTGTGGTCGGTGTACCGTTGTTTTGGTGTTTAACTGCCAGAGGATAAGACGTTTATGATTGCGGGAATTGGGTGGTAAACGGTAATCTTAGAGCAGGCCACGTGGAGGAGGGGGCGATGTGCCTTCAGATCAGACGTGGATGGAACTGGAAGGAAAGTTGAAAAGAAGAGAAAAACGCACATAATAAAACGAGTGAGGCCTACATGCTGACAGTAACTACCAAGTAGCAGCCGGATTCAACGGCCACTGCCTTTCCTTTTTTCTTTTGTTTGTTTTTACACATATATGAGAGCAATCCATGATAATTCACGTGAACTCCGTTTGTCAGCTGAGGGTGGGGGATTGATTATACGGCACCTTTATCATGTTTATCAAATTTTCATGTGACAGTAATTTCAACAGTTATCGAAAGACAGCAAAAAATATTATGTTTTTTTTGTAATAAACAGTTATCGAAAAATATTAGAAAGGAAATTACAAAAAAAAAAAAAACACTAATCCTACTAAGTAAATATTAAAATTAAGTAAAAGATTGTGTCTTTGATAAGGAAATCTCGAAAAATGCTTGAGTTAAATGTTAATCAACCCATGAAAGCAAAGAAAGAGGGAACCATTGTTTGGAGCATATTTACTATGCTAAAAGAGGAACATTTTTTTATCTCATTTCCATTGGCATATCTAATTAGTGCAGTAATTCTGTACCAGAAGCAAACAGTATAGCCTTTTGGTAGTTTAACTGATAAATCTGTGGATGCCAATTTATGTTATTGCGTTTCTTACTTTACAGATTTTGGTAGTTGTGTCTCCTGTTTTCAGAGATTTTTCTAAAACTCTCTCTGTCACAACTCACATTTGCTGTTGATCCCTACCTTTTTATTTTTATTCTTTTTAATTTATGCTATTAGCCCTTTTATTGCATCGAGCACAACAGCGAAAGGGACATGTTAAGCAAACAAAAGGCAACCTTCGCATTTCTTAACTTTAGAATGGGTAAGTTTAGCAAAATGTATAAATGTAATTAGTGGCCAGTTATCCTACCCCAACATGAATGAAGGCCAAGTTTCAAAGGAAATGAGAGATTGGCGTATACCATCAAATCAATTATTATTCAATAATCCTTACAGTAAATAGGGCAGGTGTCCAAAGCAACTTTAATTGGCTGTGTACGGTTTCCTATACGGAGTAGTATTACATTTTTATGGTGTCTTCAATTGTGGTGATGCCGGCTTAACATGTCCATGTGGTGTTAGCCAAAAAAGCGCACGTGCTTAATTTGTTGTGGAATTGAACATTTTTGCGAACTTTAATTATTAGGCCATTTATAGATGAATAGAATTGAGATGGGCATCTTATGTTTGGACACTTCAGATATAGATAACAGCAACAACCCTTTTTATTGATTTTGATTTAATTATTTTTAATAATTTTTTAAACAAAATTTGACGTAAAATACTTCATTTAATTATTTGAAGGAGAGGGTAGCCGCTGTTATCCAGATCTGAAGCGTACAGTCGGCTAATATCCCTCTTTCAAAGGTTACATACAAGGCCCCTAAGATTAGAATTTGATTGGATCCCATAGAGATGAGGAACGGTTTGGGCCTTGTAATGGTACCGTCGGATGGACTAGGGGAACGCAGCCTTTGATTGGGTAGAAAGAAAGAATCTGTACGTGATCAAGATGCGAATTGTATCCTGCTTTTGGAGAAATTAATTAATAATGTTAATGATCAACAAAAATAAAAACCAAGGCCTTTTTCTCTCTTTTTCTTAAATCTAAAATATGAAAACTAATTATGAATACAGGAAAAATGAAGAAAGAGTTCTTTGATAAATACTGTATTTTTTAGGACATTTGAAAATAAGAAAATACAAATAATTAAGTGAAATAACAAAATGTAGTGTAATTTTTTATGGACTTCCTTGCCATGCCATGGAAGAGCAAAAATGCATTCTACAGTTATAAAAAGAAAAGAATTCAGAAGTGCCTTCATACTAAAGAATCCAAATCAATTTCTTTTTCTCTTTTTTCTTATTGTAAACTTCTCTTCACATACAATTGCATTCCAAACTTAAATTTATTGGGATGATTTTATAAGGAATTGTATGGGATAATAAAGAAGTAGCGGGGTGGGTAGGTCCAGGAAGTGCCAGCCCGTGAGATGTTTATTTGGTGTTCCCTTTCCTTCTTTACCACCAAAGGCAGGCCCACTTATTTTATTTTGGATCCTTAAGGCCAGGCCACATTGGGATGCACGTGAAATCTGGTCCACCAGGCCCAGGGAACAGTCAATTCTCTTTTAATTGCCAATTTGATCAAAATAACTACAGTTGTTACGCTTTTGTCTTTTCCTCACTTTTTTCTTCCATTAATTTTCTTCTCACATGATTTATAATTGTATGGATATCTATTATATAATATAAATAGGTTGATTATTTATTTACTTTCATCGTTACTTACGAACCTTACAATTAAAATATGTTGTGTAGTATTTGCATGCTTTCATAAAAAACTTTGTCGACTGCCTAAACCATTGATTTCAACCCCTTGCTAGATGCTAATGACAGATTGCAAAACAAAATTATTACTAAAAATCACTCCTCATCCCCAATTCACATGTATGTGCTCTAAGAAAGTAGAAACTTCATGTACTTGTTTCTCCAAAATGGCCAAATATATTTTGTTTTAACTCAAAGAAAAACAGATCTATTGTCATTTTTTGTCAAAATACTATTAGTATAGAATTATTTATTTTTTAGATAAATTCGAGTTGTTATAATAATAATAAAAAAATAGAGGAGATGGTAGATTATTTTTCCATTGACGAGAAAATCGGAAAATACAACTCCCTTGTTTAAGCAATCCATCCAGTCTAGAGTTGTCGGCACGGGCAGTAGAAAAGACCTTTTTTGTTCTTTAATAAAAAAACGAAAAAAGGGTCCACGGCTATTGGCTTCTTCTCACCCGAATTCTTATTCTATCAAAATAAATAAATATAACACCATATTAAGCAAAGTTTTGTTACACGACACATTCCATGTCAAACCTTGATAGAGGTCCCACCAGTTGGACGAATCACATCATATAAATTATTTTACACGTGTCAATAGAGAACCATAACAACGTTTGACTTGTCAGTTGCGGGAAACAACGTTTCTCTATCCACACTTCCTTCCGTTCCGCGAAAACTCTCCGCTTTTCTCTGCTCTTCTTTCATTTTTCTCCATATTTTATTTTTCCTAACTCTGATTCAAAATCTCAGATTTCTAAATTAGATTCTCATATGTCGAAGCCCTATGAACCAACCACGAATTATCACTCGGGATCGCCCGCAACCACGGCTACACCAACTACCGACGTGGAGAACCCCACACCGGGTGTGGGGCTCGGTGTCTCGGAGATTACCAGGCGATGGAAAAGGGAGGATTTGTTGAAGAGAGGGTCCCTGATCGCCAGGGGATTGGCTTTGTTCTTCTCTTTGCTTTCTTTCATAATCATGGGTAGCAACAAGCACGGTGATTGGAAAAATTTCGACAAATATGAAGAATACAGGTAATAGAAAATCCAATCGTATCAAATTGGGAATTAGAGTTTAATTTGATTTTGGGGTTGTTAAATTTTGGAATTTTGTTTCTTTGCAGGTATTTGTTGGCAATTGCAATTCTGTCGACTTTGTACACTGGAGGACAAGCGTTGAGACACGTGAATGCGATTTGGAATGGGAAATGGATATTTGAACAACGTATCTCTGCCATGGTGGACTTTTTGGGGGATCAGGTTTTCATAAACTTTTTTTTTTATTCTGTAAAATTTGTGCTTGGTTGCTATGAATGGACCCAAAAAAAAGTACAAATAGATTTATTTTATGCCACCTCAGCTGCCAGTTATTAAGAGTGAGTTAAAAAAGTATGTAATCTGGTTGACATGAACGTTTGTTTGTAAGTCGTGAACTAACAATTTCTAGTTCTTCAACCCCTTAGTAGTCTATTATCACTGTGTTATGGTGGCAGAGCAAGGTAGCTAGTGCTTCCGAATTGGGGGGGCACACAAAAAAGGAAAGATATAAAAAGATTAGAAAGATTTTCTTTTGTTTATCCACCAAAAAAAATTCATTTCTATTCAACCCGAAGTGCTGCTATGCTATGATCAAGATTTGATGATTAGAAAGTACCACGTAGAATTACAAAATAAGAGGTGCTCTCTCAAGTTGGGAACTTACGGTGAAGGAATAGCATTACTGTTTGTGAGCCTGTTAGGAAGAAATAAAGGAGTCTAGAAAGTCTCTGTACGGCACGACGCTGAAACTAGGATTGATTTACCTCTGGAAGGAAGCCTCTTTCTTTCCTTTTAGTGTCTATAACTTTTGTTGAGTTGGACGGCTGCTGACTGAAACTAATCAATCTGGCACGTGTGCTTAAAAGTTAAAAGTAAAGACTCTGTCAACTGGGCACGTCTGATTTGAAGTATTCCAATTTAACCAAAATGATGATGCTTTTGGCAAACCAAGCCAGCACCAAATTTCTATTATTGATATTATTTAGGACGTTCTTTATCCAATTAGAGAAGAGTTGATTACATGTCCACTTAAGTTGCTGTGTAAATGAATACATTTTTGCAGTATAAAATTGTATATATCCGACAGTTAAAAAGTATAGTCGGAAAGGGTTTTGAAATATTTTAAATTGCAGGTGGTGGCATATCTGTTGATATCATCAGCATCATCTGCGATTCCGTTGACAAATAGGATGAGAGAGGGGCAAGACAACATTTTTACCGACTCCTCAGCTTCGGCAATTAGCATGTCTTTCTTTGCGTTTCTATCACTGGCACTGTCGGCCGTGGTTTCAGGCTATAAACTTTCAACTCAATCATACATTTGATTATGGCTTTTAGCTTTTTATCTTTGTTTCATTTTCTCCCTTTAGCGATTCATTGTGTATTTATCATTCATTTGTCCTGCATGTGATGTATCACTTGTACATTTGTTAGTTAGATGCGGAGCAGCAATATATTTGTTTTTTTCCCGGGACAGAGCAGTGATCATACCTCCTTGTATGTTTGATAGTTTTGAAAGTCGTACGGAAATGCCCTTCTTCCTGTTGCTTCAAGTTCTTCTAAGCAATGATTGTGGATTGAGAAAAGGTAACCATTCACTTTTGGCCGAACTTGAGCCCAACAAACAGTCAATGGAAGATCTCCCACTTTTCTAGGTGCTGAACGAAAAAGGAAGTTGTAAAACGCGGTAAAGAACAGAAAATTACATGGTAATTACTCTCAAAGGAGAATTCTTTTTTCATTTCTGTTTTTTGGGAGGAAAGAGCAAAGATAGAAAGCGTCATAAGTAGAGGACTACCACAATTTCACAAAGTAAATACTAAATTGTGCTGAAATTCAAGAAATTCTTTATTAGCCACTGAAATTCATTTTCTTCTTTCTACTCGTACAATCTTATACAAAGTTGAAGTGAGGCATTGTCTATCGGGCCCCAAAACAAATGAATAAATGCACTAATTCTGTTTATCAGTCACAAAAACCTACAGAACCAAGTAACTATATATAGGTAGACAATAAAAATAAGCAAAGCTAATTGATAAACATCTACTTTGTTGATGTGCTCCTTAAGTTGGTTGTTTCACTTTCAAGACAGGAATCCATCAAGAAATGAATCATCCCTGGATTCGTCCTTACCTCTGGCTCACGTAGGAGCCAATGGGCTTTCCAAATCCCGAGAATCCAAAGCCACCTGTGTTCTTCAGCATTTCTAAGGTAACTGGTACCTGACTTTCTGATGTCAGCAATCTCGTCTGAAGGGAGTTTGGATATGTTGTGTTGTTAGGCTGACTGGGGACAGCAGAAGGCCTTATGGGCATAGAAGCATTGCTGTTGTTTGCAGTGGATGGTCTATTTATTGCATAGCCGCTCCCACGTGCTGCTGGAACATCATGATTGTGTTTCCCTTCGTAAGTTGTGATCACAGCCCTCAAATCATCGGATGCTCGCTCTACATGTTTTCTCACCGGGCAACGAATTGTTGTACATTTGTAGTAGCTCCTGTAGAGTAGATGATAGAATAATTTTAGTTAAGTTGAATAAAATCTGTAAGCAACTTCAACTTCCTAATCAGTTAGGCGAAGAGTAATCACCTTGGATTGGGGTTTCCCTTTACCACTTTCTGTCCATATTTCCTCCATCTATATCCATCGTCAAGAATGTCGATATCACTTGTTGTTTGCACCACAATTCTAGGCTCTCTTACAGTTCTGCTACCAGAACCTATGATACCCTCATTCTCATTTTCCCCTTTCCTGCAAAAGAGAAAATTACATGATCAGAAAACACTTGTGCTTCCTTCATAAAAGCATAAGCAAGTTAGCAAATCTGTTTTTTTGCTAGGCTTACCATCTTTTGGTATCGGGTTCATTTTCATTGTCTTCACCACCGTTAATACTTATTGGTGAAGCTTGGTCAAAGTCATCCTCCCCTATGGAACCTGAAGTATCCTCTTGCATTACAAAGGTGTCTGTTTGCTCGTTGTCTAATGTGCCAACTGCTTGATCGGATATCTCTAAGTTGGTGCATGCACAATGAGATGATGACCTTCTTTTAGATTGAGGCTTGGGATGGTTGTGGCTTCCCTTATAAACTATTTCAGTTATTTGTCCATCCAAAGATCTCTCCACCTTTTTCTTTGTGGGACAGTTAGGATATGAGCACTTGTAATAACTGCGTGGGTTTTCACTTCCTTTCACTTGTTTTTGCCCGTATTTTCTCCAATTATATCCATCTTCCACCTTTCTGTTCTCGCGGATATACTGAGACGATAGATTGTATTGGTTGTAACCAGCTGGCTGGGAACCCGTATTGCTTTGCACATTTGTTTGCGATGGGGCCATTTCCGAGGAGAAGTTCTGCATGGGAGCAAATTCTGATTTTACCCCACCGGCCTTCTCTAAGGACAATTCAGGTTGCTTCATGGCCTCACTGAAATTCCATGTCGATAGTTCCTGTTCATAAGTGCAAAATTATTTTGCCGTTTTTGGTAGTTTACAAACCGACAAAGCATCCTAAAAGGCAAGAGTATTTTGTGTTCTATACACGACACAAAAAAAAAAAAAAAAAAAATCTGCGACAATCCCAATAAATGACTGAATAAAGAAAAATTAAAAAAGATGCGATCGTTCCATCTCCAAACAAAGATGCGAGTTTCAGAAAACCTTGATGATTAGAAGATGAATGAATAAAAAAAGAAGAAGAAATTAATGAATTAATTAGCATACCGCCGCCGAAACATCGCTGGAAGAAGATTGAAAGGTGGATGAAGAAGTTGTGGAAGGCCTTGGATGCGGTTGAAAAGAAAAGTCAAAGACGTTGTTGTGTAAGGTTTGACCAGTAAAAGCCCAAGTAGTGGGAGAAGGGCAAATCTATAGAAACCCAACAAAAGAAGAAAAGAAATCCATAATTAGTATAATAGTATTATGAGAACAGTTCGTTCATAAACATGTTTAATTAATTGTTTAGAGAGTAGAAATTAAGAAACTCTTTAGAGAGTAGAAATTAAGAAACTCACACTAGAAGTAGAGGAAAGAACAGGTGAGTCCAAGAAAGCAATAGGGCTAAAATCAGCAGCAGAAGGTGTAGCCAAATAAGGAGGACGAGAAACAGGAGTCGGGGAGATGGGTATTGAAGAGGGAGACAGTGACTTGAACATTGGAATTTCATTGCCAAATTTATGATCAATTTCAGTTGGGTGGTCAGAGAGTCCCCAGCTGGTAATTGACGTGCTTCTTCTGCATTGGTTAATGTTGTCCATGTTCATAAAATAAGAGGAAGCAGCCATGGGGATGGGGTTTGAGCTTGAGAAAGATAAGTCTGCTTCAGAATTTATAGAAGTATAAGAAGTGTTGGTTCCTGAAGAAGCCATGAAAGGAGAGAGCGGAGGCGGAGGACCGGTTGGGGGAAAAGATGGTTTTTCATGGTGGCCTATATTTAATTAAGGTCTCGGATCCATGCTTCTTCTGAGAAGCTAAAAGCAAGTTTGACCGTGGAAAAATAATAATTCTCGGTCAAAATTGGGTCTTTGACTGGACTAGCCATGTGTTGATATTATGACACATGAATGGCGGCTGACGAGCTGCGCTGATCTGAGCAGCGCCTTCCTGTTCTATCTTTTGAGAATCCAAGACTATACTTTTTGTAAAACATCTGTTCTTGGCTAGATCCTATGGTTTTATTTTATGAACGAATTTCAATGAAGAATTCTTCCTTGCTATCTCCGACGGTGCTTTGGTCTATCTATCATTTTGGAATATACCACCGTAAAAAAAAGGGAGGAGAGAAATATTTGGCCTTCTTCTGGTCAACGTTTCCTTCTTCTTCTTCTGGTCATATACTATGAACAACATTTCCTTCTTTTTCTTTTTTTTTTTCTTCTCCTTCAACAAAATCATGCACACCTTTACCTTTTGATGTAAAGTGTGTTTTGATATTTTACCTAAAACAGTAACATTAACTTCAAGCCTATGTAAAACATTATTTATCTCGTTTCAATAAGATTTGTGTTTAAATGAAGTGTTTGTCAAATTTTATCATGATTAAAATCCATGGTTCCAAGTTATTTTATCAGAAGAATCGACTCTCTAATAACTATTAAATGTTTTTAGGATTTATTTCTTTGTAAATAAATAAATAAACAAACTAACAAAGGCCCAAAAGTAAGTAGCAAAAAATAAAAAGATAGAAAAAAAAGAAAGAAGTGATACGGTTTGTCATTTAGGACGAGTAAGTAGCAAGCAAAGGCCCAAAAGTATTTGCCAGGGGAGAAGGTAAGTCGAGCTACCAGCAAATGCAAGCCGATGTTTTTATTTGTAAAACCGATAATTATGACATGGTCTTCTCCTGTAGCATATTTGTAATTTTGATCCTTACTGTGCTTGACATGATTTTTTTTCTTTGGCCAAAAGAAATGAAACGTTGACATCTGTGTTTACTAATTTCATTTGATTTGGCCAAATATACAACATGAAGCCACCGGGGTTCCATGTTGGAGTTAGTGTACTCTGGACTTAGAATGAACTCTTTGGTGTGCAGTAGCACTAGTATAATATTTTTGCTCGACTCGGTCAAACTATATGTATGTAGTCCATTTTGACTACCAAAGAAAGCTTTATTATTATTTGCGTGTTAAACTTCAACATCAAAGAGAGCTCTTTGGTTAAACGCTTAAACTCAATTCTTGATACATAATGTTTCAAGCTTTTGTTGTCTAGTAATGTGAATCCATTGCCAACTGTTATATAGAAAAATAGAAGCATTGTGACTACGATCACTGGGTTCAAATTCAAAATTCCAATCCTCAACTTTTTAACTCTTCAATGCCTGCCTTCCCTTGACATTGGCATTAATCCAATTGACTCTCGTTCCTCTATTGTCTCCGCCAAACTGCTGCTATTTTCTTCAAAATTTGTTTATCAAGTCAGTCTGCCTTCTAACATCTAGGAGTTGAAATCTCTTCTTTGACAAAAGTTGCGCTTTTTCCTTCCTTTGAAATTAAAAACACCCCAACAAATAGTGGCCAAATCGAGCGTCATACCACTTTCATACATACAAATTTTTTAAAGATCATGCTCATCACACACTGGTAGCCTTTGTTTGTTTGCTTCTTCTTCTTGTTTTTTTTTTTTAACAAAAAGATTGCAGTTCACATTTGACTCATTCAATCGACGGCCAATTTGAATTATAATGCAAAACATGTATAACCCTTTCTCTGACCACGTCAATTATCGCATCCAATTGCTGTACCAGAAGAAAACGCAATGGCATACACATTTTGGTTAAAAAAAAGAAAAAAAAAAACCCAGCTCCGTCCTTGATCAAATTCGAAATTCTGCCAAAGTTCAGAGGCTCGGTAAATTGTCATTTGATTCTAATGACAAGTAAGCATAGTAAGCATCCATAGAATAATCATATACATCAAGCAAACTTAGGAATAAAAAACATAAATATATATATATATATATATATATATACACATTCTCCAATTCTATCTAAAGTTTCACACGTACAAGCAACTACGCGAGGCATAGAGCCACAAAGCTTCCATTATTTGCATCAAAGGCCAACACTTTGACAATCCATCAATATATGGCACCCGAACAAACTTTGCCTAACTTCATTTGTTAGTAGTAGCTGTTGACTCACTCGATCGAAGAGATCTACAAGAATCTGAAAGAGCATCTATACAGCACCTGAAGGCTAATGATTCCCCCAAGTCCACCACAAGAATCTGCATTTGCTGATAATAGCTGCTAACTCCGACCTACAAGATCTTCAAGATCTGGCATGGGATCTTCCAACTGTAATCTCCAACACTTAGGATCTAATTCCACCTGTCAATTGCATAATTGAATCACTTAAGTCCATAGCAGAACCATTATTCAAACCTAGTTTCTTAAGCTTTTGACTCAGTATATGCATTTTGTTCAATGCAAAATTGTCAAAGTCCCTCCCCCCTATGCTACGAGCTGATTAGTTCCTTACAATTATAGATAAGATAGACCAGGCAGAGCCTCAAATTCAATCGCTGCACCACCTGCATCTCCTATTTATTGAAGTAGAAAATTGAGTCTGACCATTAACCCGTCTTCAAAACCATCATTCAGTTGCTCATAATCATCTTGCAACTTCTTACATATTAACACGACCATTTCCAAATGAAAAATTATCTTTGTGATGTTCTAAAAATAGGTGTGCATGACATTTGAAATGTATTACAACTATACATGTATCTTCTGTTCCAAACAATATTTTAAATGTAACACACTTGAAACAAGGCACTTTTGTTCTGATAAATTTTGTAACACAAATCATGTAACTTACCTGAAGTACTTTATCTCTCCACTGAAACATACAACCACGAGCTTCCAAATGCTCAACAACTTGATAGGGTAACAGCCATCTAAATGCTGCCTGAAGTTTCACTTTTGTTAACCCTCCACATGCCAGTAAGGCAGCTGCTAGTCCACTGGGAGTCAAGCCCTTTAAGTGCAAGATTGTTATGTTCTGTAGGCAGCTGATGCTGGCCAGAGACAACAGTCCTAAGTCTGTAACTGAGCTATGGGACAAGTTAATCTGCAAAGAAAAAGAACGAATCAGATTTTGCGGGATGTCTACTTTTCTTTTACATGCAAAGTTCCAAGCAAAGGAGAGGGCATCTTACTTGTCTGAGGTTTTGAGAAAAATGAGCAAGTGGAAGCAGTCCAGCATCATCAATGTTATGACACTTCTTTATGTCTAGCTTTGTAAGTTCCTTGCATCTCACAGAAATGGCTGTTAGTCCAAAAGATGTTATCAGAGAACACCCTCGACTTTCAAGCGTCTTTAACTGTGAACACTTTGATAAAGATAGCAAGGAACGATCAGTAATATCTTTACAGTAGGCTATATTAATCACTTCAAGGCCAGGGCAACCTTGTGCAATTGCTAAAATACCCAAATCTGTTATTCCTGCAGACCTGAAAACAGCAGCCATGTTTAGATAATCATGAATGTTTTCTTCATTGCATCAATGACAAATCAGTTCATATATATAAACTGTAAGCAAATTTGCTTGTGACAAAACCAAAATTCCAAGACGAAAACATATGTGACAGATTATCCCTAATACACTAAAGGAGAAGGGAAAAAAGAGACCAAAAAAGAATCCTTAATGGGGCTCAACTTGCTAACCTATACAGATCAAGCTCTAAAAGTTTTGAGCAGCCCCTGCCGATATGGATGAGTCCCTCATCAGTTATATTAAGGCAAATTCCTAGTTTTAAGTTCGAGAGTTTGGAACATCTGGAGATGTACTTAAGACCTGCAAAGAGAGGGGGCCGTAAGTGCATCAAATTATATCAAAGTTCAAACTATAATAGAAAAAAGAAAAGAACAAAACCTTTATTGTCAATTTCGTTATATGTAAGGTCAAGCTCCTCAAGCAAATGACACCGCTGTCCGATCAAAACAAAGGCTTCTCTAGAAACCAGGGTACATGACTCCATCCTAAGAGAAGTAAGAGAGTTGCACGAATTTGTGATGTGGGCAATAGAGACATCAGTTATCTTGCGGCAACATGTAATGTCTAGCTTCCTTAAGTCTTTGTGTTTTGTCACCAATGATGAGAGGCTTTCATCTGTCACTCCTAAGCATTTACTTAAGCTCAGCTCTCTTAGTGACACACACCAATTTCCAGTGGTTTTCAACCCATCATAGGTAATCAGACAACCATCCAATTTCACTGATTGCAACAGGGAAAGCTTTTTCAAACAAAATGCAAGAGAAGAAGTTACCTGAAGCATCACCAAAATGCTACGTTATAAGTACAAAAGAGTAGGAGAGAAACCCTTTGAAATATATAAAACGAACCTGTTAGGAGAGGAAGAGATGACCATATAGAAAGACTTACCCGAGAACCATGTGCTAAGGTAAGTTGCTGCAGACCTTCAGCACCACTTAATAGGAAAGACAAGTCATTGTGCACTCAATTCTAAAGACAATGCATATCCAAACTTGATAATGACAAGTGAATGATAATATCAATTATATTCAATAAAACAAAAGATATCTTTGATCTCAAATGATAGTGCTTCCAAGATCTTATCTAAAATGGAAGCATAAATCCTTTTATAGAAACATAAAGAAATATCTAATTTCAACTGAATCCAGGCAAAATATTCTGCACATTGACCAAAATATTTTGCAGCGGAATCGGATTGAAGCATAAAAATAAATCAGATTTGCTGAACACTTTTTCAGAATGACAAATGTATAGATTATGAATATACTGAGACGACAAAAATTTTTCCTGGCTCATATATACATGTATTGCATAAAAGTATTTTTACAATAGATATAGATATTAATCAACATCCTCTAACTTGGATACAAAGTCCTAAATATTTGCATGAAATGTTTCAGGACAGCAAGGCTGTCATCCAGAATCAGCTCTTCTAGATGTTGTAATTTCAAGATAGAGGATAAACATTTATTTGTAATCTGCACAACGAATATTTTTAAAGCAACAAATAAGAAAACATATATTTTTAAAGCTCCAACGAATATTACCTATTCAGCAATTAAAATAGAATAAGATATGAGATGCAGCCACCAGAATTTGATCAAGCAATGAATTTCCTTATTCTAAACAGTTAAGAAAGAAGCCAAATCACTCGTGACTAGGCTTGGCAAGAATTAAGAACAAACCAACAACCAAATTCAACAACAGAGCAAAAATCTTGAGCTTGAGAGCGAAAATTTGACGAACAATCGCATGTAACCGAGGAAAATAGAACAAAGAATAAAAAAAAAAGAAAAAGAAAGAGGAACATATAAGAAAAAAAAACGTCACTTACAGGCAAGTAAGAGAGATCCAAGTAACGAATATGCTTGCACTTAACAGCTATCAAACCAACACCCAAATCACCAACCCCCAAGCACCATTTCAAGCAAATGAACTTCAGCTTTCTGCATCCCACTGCAACGCATCCCACCCCCATATCTGTAATCGACTTACACCTCGCTAACCACAACTTTTCCAAATTCTTAGCCTCAGCAACAGCTACCATGGCTGAATCTTTCAACTCCGTCCCGTTGGATAAATCAATCTCCACAAGGTTCTTACAATTCAGGGCCAAACCCAACAACCCAGAAGTCGAAAATAGACGAGTTCTAGAGAAATCAATGGAACGAAGAGTGAAGGTGCATGCATTTGATATAATGGAGAGAGAGGTGTCGGAGACACGAGAGCAGAGGGTGAGATCGAGATGATTAACATTGGAGTAGCGGCAAAGGATGGCTAGGAGGTGTTCCTGGCAGAGAGGCTTGAGCGTCCTTCGGTGCTTGAATTCTGTAACGTAGAAAGACTTACAAACTAAAGAGAAAGATTTTTTGTCAAGAGGGTTGTGGTTGAGAAGGTCGAGGATCATGAAAATGATCTCTTCAGACAGCAGATCAAAGGGGTTGAAGTTAAAGCCTCCAAAGCACTCTTGCTTTAGCTTTTTCATAGTAGTTGTTTTTTTTTTCTTATCTGAAAGTTTAGAGGTTGGGAGTTTCGGACAAGATTGAACTTGGAGAAAAAGAATTTGTGTGTTTTAAGGCGGAGAAGTAACCAACCGTTAATAGAGAGAAAAAAAAAAAAGACAAGCAGAAAAGAGGGTTTGAGTATGGCCCAAGAACAAGAAAAAAAGGTAGGACTGTGAGACTAGAGAGTGAGGCAGAAGAAAGAGCATTTAAATTACGGTCATAGGCTTTGTGGGCCCTACCATTAACCTTGGCTTTATTACTATGTTTTTCTTAAAAGGACGAAATTACCCATATCGTCTTCTTTGATTGAAAGAAAAGTAGAGATAGGGAAGGGCATGGGAGGAAGAATGACATATCAGTACGGCCAAGGACAGGAGTATTGAGGAGGGTAATGTGGGGAATAGAAAAAGTCATTGTCTAATCGGAAAGAAAAAATCATTTGGTGGAGAAGCATGTGAGGAAGGACAGGACGGACGGATGGTACGAATCTATGTGAATCCCCCCTCCCCCCCAAAACCCAACTCAAGTACGCAACTCCCCCTATACTTACACTATCCCTTTTATTTATTTGTTATTTATTTATTTAATTAAAATATATTTCATAACGAAAAAAAAAATATTACAATAGAATTTTTGCATATTGATACTCGACAGTACCAGCCTTACTCAGATAAGAAAGAAAAAAAAACATGTCAAAAAAAGTAGGGTTGGGAGGCAGTGACTCGTACAGGGGCTTTCTCCTTTTTTTTTTTTTTTTTTCTATTGTGGTTCCAACATGCCCTTCTCTTGTGGGGGTGCCTTCCTTTTTCGATTGAAATGAGGTTAATCATGCCTACAACAACAACCCGATGCCCTGATTTATTTAAATTATCTTTTGGTTTTGCAAATTAGAGAGGAAATTTATTGTCAAGGCAGAAGCAGAAGAAAAAGATTCAAGTATTGCTTCTTTCTTCTTTTGGAAGGTGATGCCTACCTGCTACTTCTACTGTTACTTCTACTGCTACCCCTGTATTTGTGTTGTTTTCCCGATAAGATTTTCCCATAAAGTCAGCATCGCTGTAGTATTACTCAATGCTTGACTGGACTGGACTGGACTGGACTGGGGATACAATCAAACTAATTTTTCAGGCTACAAGTTAATATAATGGATACTTGCAATTTAAGGGCACATTAATGTTTTTCACTTCATGTTGCAAGGTTTTATTCTTGTTTAAGCCACGCCAGTTCAGATTTCAAAGATCTTGAAGACTTGGCTCCATATTATCATCTCTATTATTTGAGTTCTTATCTAATCATTGTACAGATCGATGTTTCTCAAATTGATTAGATTTATCTATTTGAGATATTCAATCATACATGCCTTTCCGGTTTTCACTGTTGATATTAAAAAAGAATGTGAGTAGTCAGATACATATAATAATTACGCGCAACATTGACCAAACCACTAGTTTCATCTGGTACAGAGCTATAGATGCAACTAATCTTTCAGTTGAAACAAAGATAAGCCACCCCAGGCCAGGATCAAAGAAAAATAGAAGCTTGCTACGAGTAGCAATCCTTGTTGCCTTCATCACCTTCATGTAGGATATGCACCGTATTTGCTCTATTAAAAAAAAAAAAAAGATAGCCCTACCTCGGATGGGATTCACAGATTGAGTATGAGAGCAATCAACAGAAATCTGACAATAACATGTAGCTAATATTTATTTATTTTTTTATAGTGAAGACCAAGTCTAACTAAACTAATTAAAGAGGATAATATTTGTAAGAATTCAGGTTAGTGAATGGAACATGAAAGCCGTGTTTAAATCTTATTGCAGATAGATCAGCGACGAAGACCTTGGCCTTTTTTTTTTAAATATTATTTTTGGTTCAGACTCTAGATATTGTTTTCAGATACTCGTACAAACACCAAATACACTGATAATAATCTACCCTAGACACAGTTTGTCCTTGTTTTGCTCGTACAAGCAATTACTTGCTTTGTGCTAATTCTTCTCAACAGTTAAAGCCCTCCGCTCCAGGGAAGATGTTGAACACCTAGCCCAAATCAGCTCCGTTATTTAAATTGGTTGAGTAACTTTTATATCGAATATATGTTTTTCAATGCTCATTATCTAATATTATTCTATTCTTTTACTTGCTTGTAACATCATTCCAAAATTGATTGATAGTTTCATTGGGTGGGTCAAGTCAAGTGTTGTCAATGGTAACATCATTCCAAAATTTGCCAATATTGTTGATTGATATTTTCAGAATATATTAATGATATGTGTAACAATTTGCCAACGTCCAGGCAAAAAAAAGTCACCATTTTATAATGACAGTATACACCTAACTATAGTATAAGGACTAACTAGTTTTCTTTTTGGCCGGACGAATTAGTTTGCATTGCATAACTTGAGAGCTTTAATATGCATTATTATATATATTTTCTATTAATCAATTAACTCTTCATTACAAAATATGATAATCATTTGGCTCGAAAGGATCATTTTGCCAAAATTCACCATTTCATCAAGACTCAAACCAAAGTAAAAGACAACATTTAACAAATTATCCTATGATAATAAACTGATGCCATATGTATCTGGTGGTAAAAGGAAAGGAAAAAAAAAAGAATAAAAAAAGAAACTGACTTATACATGAAAAACAAAAACAAATAGAAAAAAGATTGTCACAAACACATTCAATGAGACAAAACAGGCATCACAACTATGTGAACCCTGCAAAGAAATAGAAAAGACATTAGTTCATATACAATGGATTGCTGTGAAAATGAGATGCAACAGCAAATTAAACATTTAAATAAACCACCAATTATCTATTGACCCAGGTGATACTCAATCCACTTGAAAGACGAAGCCTGCCAAAACTAAAGCATACTCTAAAACCTAAAATCCCCCTTCAGCAGTGCAGCAGAGTCACTCTCATTTCCTGCATGTACTTACTAGGGACCACGTTCTCAGCATCAGTTTTACAGGTGCATCTTCTGAATTCGCAAAGTACATTAAATTCATTTAATTATGTTTACTCATTCACCCTTTCTAACCATGTTATTTAAAGTGATATACGGAGCAATACTAAGGCAAGTAAATAGAAAGGCACAGAAGTACATTGCCAATAGAAATGTAATCCACAAATTTATAACTGAAACATAACCAGTGCCAAGACCCTATAAACCCATATCTGATTTAATGGCAGCAGCTATGAAAAAAGGAGTTCAAAGGTTCCATGAGTAAAGAATTAATCTAATTCTAAGCACATATATATGATGAAAGAATGTGTCTGATAAGTGGACCTCTCTTTAATTATCTTGAACATAAAACATTTTGGACCAATTAAAATTGACTAGTGAGAATCAGCATGAGCTTTCTCCCTAGTTGATCAGCAACTTTACTCATATGCATTGAGATTTCATCTTGTATTTCTAGCCCCCAGCCCGTTAAACAAAGGTGTATTAATGAGAGAACAAACTCATAACCTGGGTTGTATCTTAGATGAGCAGCTCACAAGCCATTTGATCTTGGCATGAGTCGAGATAACTAGGGTATAAGGTCAAGCTTGAGATTGCATAGGCTTGTCAATAAAATAAGCATACTTGAGTCAAGCTTGTATGAAGCTCAAGCTTGTATATAATAAGTCGATCCTGTAGAGCCCAGCTTGACTCATAACAATTATACCCCATTACTCCCCTTTCCCCACAATTCCTCAAAGGCAAAGGGAAAGGGTGTATATGTTAGTGTTGGACAAAATTATCTTCAATTAAGGCTTTTGCTATTCTTCTTTAGTCAAGTAAATCCCATTAAAAAAGTCCTATTCATATCAATCCTAGAAAAAAGTGTCCTATAAATGGGATGATGAGACTAATAACTGATAATCTGAGGCTGGCTCAAACACAAGAATAAATGTCCCACACCACATAAAAGAAACATGAAGAACAGAAATTTAAGTATGATAGTTGGTTAGACCGATGCTGCTTATTATCCTATTTCATCAAAGTCCAACCTAGGACAGAAACAATTTCATCACCCACATTCCACCATTTTGAGTTTGTGACAGGGAACTTTTGTCCTACAGCTGCAATTATCCTGGCAATTCCATATCTATCAACAATGTGCGGCAAATTTGTAGCAAATAATATGAAATAACTAGATAATTACAGAAAAGGACAAATGCTAAACTCAACGTTAATATCAAACATCAGAAGAACATAAGCATCTCCAGTATTCTGTGGTCAATTCCTAATCCAAGAGTCAGCGATGGAGAACTTAGGATTCTTCTAGCAGTGAAAAAAGGCATATTAAGTAAAATAAGACCAGAGCAAAGCAATAAGGCACTCACAGTTCTAAATGTTCCAAATGCAGAGACCAAGTGGATTATCTCAAGAATCACCCTTCATTTCATCTGAATCTGAATCACTTGCATTATAACCTGATAAAGACTCACCAAAGCAAACAGAAAAAGGCAGTCAATTATCGTACTAGTATTATAGTATCACTGCTACAAGGTGACCAGGATAGTGATAGTTACAAAGATGAACCTGGATGCTTATCGCTGACTTTCCAGACCGAAGACCGAACCCTCGAGGCCCTTGTCATCCAAATTCTTCCCTATGATCCCAACAGGCCAAACCCAAACTTAGTAAGAAAAAACTAAATTGGACGAAACAAAATGAAGAATAATAAAGGAAATAAAACCACGAATAAAAACCCTGTTGCTCCTCTTAGTTAATATTGGAAGCTAAGAAAAGAAAACAAAAGCTCGAAACTTTTCATCTTGTAAAGAGTTTAAAGAAGAGCAAACGGTAAAAGTTCATAACTTTATTATGTTTGTATTACATTTTTTCCTCAGCAATCAAAATAGCAATTTAGCAAAGCAAAATTCCTAAACCCCACAAGCAGAACCTAGAAAGGATAAACCTTTAAAGAATCCAAGAAGAAAAAGGGAAAAAAAAAACCTGTTGTGCATCTCGAGGAACCCCATAACCGCTATAATACATTTGAGCGATCAGAACCTGCATGTTGACATCGCCAGCTTTGGCCTCCTTGAGAGTGTCTTTGAACCAACGCTTGACGCAATCAGAGACAACCTCGGAGAGTGGCAGACGTTGACTGGCACTAGAGCTCTCCATCTTCTTCTTGGACTTGTCTTCACTTATAATCAGCCGGTTCTGCGTTGTGGGTTTTGTGTTTTTCCCTGTCCTGTTGAGATGCTGTGCGGTGGCCTTTGCGAGACGTTGAACCTTGGATGCGCTCGGCGGCGATTTTCCCATAAAAAGAATTAAACAAAAACCTAATCAAAGCACATAAAGAAAAGGGAGAATTTAATTGTGTGTACTTATAAATATAAGAAAGATAATAAAGAGGGAAAATGAATTGACTTTTGTTTTTTTGTTTTTTTTTTCCTTTATTATGGAACATTTTCTATTAATAGTTTACTTATATTTTTTTTTCTTTTTTTCAATTTGATTGTAAGATGAAGTTTGAATATGATTGGAACCACAATTTGGGTGGGGGGGGGGGGAAGGGAGGAAAAGAGGGGAAAGGGGATTTTAGGAAGGATACACTGTCCTTGTTTGGACAGGTTGAAATGGAGAAGGAAAAGGAAAGAAAGAGGTATGCATATTGAAATTAACTTGCTAAGAAATAGAAAGGGAAGATAATGGTAATTTAGAACCCAATTTACTCATTTTACATTTTTACTAGTATTTTTCTTTGTGAGTTAAAATTGAATGTTAACATGAGGATAATTTCATCTTTGTAGTAAAAATTTTTAATGAAAAATTCTTTTCCTATAAATCTCTAAAGTTGAAGTGTTTAAAAATATATATGAGAAATTATTTTATTAGTTATCCGTAAAATTTTTAAATTTCGTGAGTTAAATTAATTGAATTATACATATCTATTAAGATATATTAAAAATAAAAAAATTAATTATAAAAATAAAATATGTATCATTTTTTTAATCTCATTTATATAATTAAAAATTTACAATATCTATTAAATACTAAAGTCTCTTTTGAAATCCAACACACCTCCCAATAAAATACAATTAGTATAGATAAATATGTTCATAATAACTTTGAAATCCAAACAATAGTGTGATACAATGAGATTTTTGCTAATTATTCACTGAGTTTAAAGTTTCAACCCAAATCTTCACTCTTTTTTTTATTTAAAAAAAAATTTTCTCCTTGAAATTAACAACTTTCCACTTTCTTTTTTTTAAATTTAAAAATTATAATTTGATTTTATTGATTTAATATAAAAATAAAATTTATTATTACATAATAAATTAATTATAAATAAATTTTATTATTTATATAATAAACTAATAAATAAATTTTAATAATTTATTAATAAAATATTATTTAATTTAAAAATAATTTAATATTTTTTAATAATTTATTAATATTAAATATTTTAAAAATTTTATTACATATAATTTTTAATTAATCTTACCATTAATTTTAATTTTACCACTAACTAATTTCACCTTCAGTTTTGTTTTTAAATAGCTCATTCAAATAAATCATATATATATATATATATATATAATATGGAAGATTTGCAGTTGTACCATATAACCTATTAGATCAATCCTTAGTCCCCTTCTCAAAAAACTGTCTTCCAAACAAAGATAATAAGTTGCTTACGAAGTATTGCCAATTTCATGCCGCTGAAATGTGGTACAAAACTTTGGGAAATTTGTTTTATTGACTATTCAGCACATCAACAGTCACATCCATCCACCACTGATGTCTTCAAAGAACAAAACCACAAACAATTTACAGAGAAAAGCATCCTTATAAACATAGAATTTGAAAACTTAACATCAAAATTTACATATTTAAGTGTTGAAAATAGTGATTCATATCTTATAAAAAATTATTTGAAATTGATTAAATATTATTTGATAAATTAAAAAATAATTATAAGAACAAAGAGATTTTTAATAAATAAATTTATCTACTTATAAATAAATAAAGTCTTAATAAGATTTGGTACGAGAAAAATATATAAAAAATTATAGGATTTTATGAAATACATACGCTGTAAGAGTCTTGGAGATTTGTGTATGTTTGAATAGACTAAAAGAGATTGAGAGGATCAACGTAAATAAGATACATGAGTGCACACGAATATATGTTTATTTGAATTGATAATATTCTATAAAATTAGAAAAGATTAAAAGTGGTTATGGGTATTGATTATGAGTAATTAATTTGATTATATGTTTGTAATTCTCTAAAATAAGTGATTTTTTTTCATCCGTGTACATAAGTCAGTTAGATCGAATTATGTTAAATTATTATTTCTTGTGTGATTGATTTATTATTTGATTTTATTTTCATTAATATTTAATTGGATTTAGGCTTTTAGCCTAACGAGTGATATCAAAGTAATTGTTATCCTTACAAGTGATATTAGAAACTGAAGGTTTAAGACATAAAAAGAGATAAACCCGAAAGAGCTCGATTTAAGAGGAGTTTGAGTTTATGTTTTGAGGATTAATTTACGTAAAATGTGAATATACACAAGAGAAGATGATTATGAGATTTTCATTACAAATAGAGCCAAACATGTCTAGCATGAAAACATATGATTTAATAAAATTTGGTCAAAGTGAAAATTATTGAGAATAGTGACTCAAATCTCATAAAAAATTTATTTGAAATTGATTAAATATTATTTGATAAACAACAAGACTTGCAGAAGAAGAATTATAAGAGGAAAAAGATTTTTAATAGACAAGTTTGTATGCTTATAAATAGATGAAGTTTTTATAAGTTTGGATATGAAAAAAAGATATAAGAGAGTTATAAGATTTTATAAGATAAACATCTCATAAAAGTACTAGAGATTTACATTTTATATGAATGTGTATGTTTGAGTGGACTAAAAGAAAATAAGATGGTCCACATAAATATGATGATGTGAATGTTTATAAGTGAATTAGAGAAGACTGAGAATGTTTACATAAATATAATGTATAGATGTACATAAATATATTTGTTTGAATTGAAAATACTTTATAAGACTAAAGAAAATTGATACTACCTATGATTATTGATTATGAGTGATTAATTTAATTATATATTTATAATCCTTTACAACTAGTTAATTTTTTTTTCATTTGTGAATATAAATTAATTAGATCAAATCATATTGAATTATTATTTTTTATATAATTGATTAATTATTAATTTTAATTTCGTTAATATTAATTGTATAAAGGAGTTTCAACCAAGAGCTTCCAATGACAAGACACAGCATCTGACTCTCGCAGCACTTGCATGCTTGCTGACCCATGAAACTCCTTTATATAAGCATTTCATCGCACATTGGATTCCGTGAATATATATACCATGTAGAAGGGCCGAGTGCTGGTGGCTAGAGTCTCCATTGTGCAAGTGAGATACACGGGACCTATCAGAATACACCGACAGAATGAGAATGCCGAGGGAAAAGAATACACAGTGACCAGACCAAAGACGATATTTCTTATTCAATAAGATGGAGATTTTAATATTTGACCAAACATTTTAAACAAGTAACCACTAAGAAAGTCCTTTCAAGAACCACTCCATCCATCTTCTTCGCCACTTCCACCCAAAGCCTATTTGAACAGAGATGATTTTAAAAATTGAACACTAATAACATGCACCAAAAAAAGACGGACAAAAAGATAAGGACAAAACACAGACCTGGCGAATTGCATTTGGTTTCTCCAAGATTGCTGCAACTCTTAAGTAGGTTTTAGGACCCTGAATGCTGGGTCTGTTCACCACTGCAGGCTTCAAGTTGAAGGACTGTAGAAAGCAAAATAAATCAGCCCTCAGTTTATACAGCAGGTGCATTTCCCACCTTTAAAAACTTTAACTTTATTTAAAAAAAAAAAGGGAAAAAAAAGAATGTCAACAATTAGGATATTGGATCTAACCTTGGTTTGTATCTGTTCCAGCAATGAATCTCTTTCATCTACCTTTGGAATAATTGGAGGTTGAATCCGCTTAGTTACCTTTCTCAACTGCAGAAAATTCGAACTTTTACTTCACAAGAAGAAAACACAGACTGGAAAACAATTGAAATCCAAGGCCATAATTACCTTGCTTTTGTCATGAACAGAAACAGCTCTTTCTCCCTCTGTAGTTGACAAATCGTGCTGCAGAGTTGTATTTGATATCAGTGCAGTTTGTCCTTCTGGAGCTGCCAAACTATGCTGAACAATGGCATTTGAAGTCTGTACAGTTTTCTCCCTCTGAAGCTGCCAAACCATGCTGAGGCTGCTCCTCTAGCTTGGTTGGAAACTGCTCTTCTACTTCGGTAGGAAGATCCTTCGGTACCTTGGTTGGAATCTGCTCCTCTCTCTTAGTTGGTGGAGGCAAAGGCATATCAGGAGGATTCCCATGTTCTCCCTCAGAATTTTGTTTAGGGTGCTGAATGCCCCACCTTCTAAACCTGAATCGAGTACAAACTAGTTTGAAGGATGTGTTGTTTTCTCATGCAAAGGTACAAGAATATGCCTAGAAGTTGTATCATTAGCTGGCATTGGCAACAAGTAACTGGATTCTACCCTATCACCCTCCACAGCAATGGAACCATGTTCACTGCTTTCATTAGATATTGTGGGGTAATGTTAAAAATGGGTTTGTGTGTGTTCTATCTACACAGATTGCATTTTATTGGCTATTAGTGTTGATACCCATAATTCCGGATGCAAAGGAAAAGGTCTGTGCTGAATGAAATTGGGTTTCTGGACTGTTCAATCCCCTGCTTTAATGCTGATAAAGCAAATTGAGCTTTCTCATCAGTTCCATGTTGTGGTATCATTGGGAGTGACCCCTGACCATGTTCTACCAATTCTCTTTATGAAGCTGGAGAAACATGTTGAACTCTCCCTATCCTCCATTGCATTGAAGGAAGAGGTGGCAGTGGTGGCATTTCCTCCATGCTAGCTTTAGTTGCATCAGGGAACTGGCCAAAGGCAGGACGAATTGGAGCAGATGGATAACTTTCTTCCTTATCCTGCCTACCTGAGTGTTGTGAAAACTCTAATGAAGGTTGGCTTGAAAAGCCTTCTTTGGAATGCTCAAAAAGCTTGTAAGAAGTTTTCCTGATCTATGTGATCCAGAGATTGTGTCTGAGGACAGGGTATTAAATGAATTTGAACTATCTTCAACTAGGTGCAGGCTTCCCACATCATGTTGATTAGTATGGATGTCTAATGACTGTTCTAAAGAAGTTTCCTTTTGTGCTTGGTAACGAGTAGGTGAAGACACAATGTCTACCCTACTTTCCATCAGATGACTCAAATATTTCGATTCTGACTCTTGATCACTAAATTCTAAAGAAGCTGGTGCAGTGGTTAAATCAACGAAATTCAAACTATTTTTGGTTGGTTCAGC